CTACCTGCCCCCCTCATCTTTAACAAAGTACCTGTAAAAAAAATAAAACTTACCATTCGATGTTTTCTTTCCTCTAAAATCTTCTTTTTTCAGCCCCAAAAAAGGCCAAATAAAAACCCATAATAAACAAAATCCATCTTCACCCGGCGAGGGCTCCATGCAGACTGAGCTCTGTAGGGCGGGGGAAGGCTTATAAAGCCTTGCCCCGCCCTGCAATTAGGCTCAGAGCACTCTGATTGGTGGGTTTAAGCCATCCAATCAGAGTGCTCTGACAGGTAAATGAAGAGATTGACAGGTAAGTCTCTACATTTACCTGTCACAGCACTCTGATTGGTTTGTTTGAAATCCACCAATCAAAGTGCTCTGTGTCATTTTATACAGCATGGGAAAGTTCTTTGGAATTTTCCCACGCTGTGTAAAATGACACAGAGTACTCTGATTGGTGGATTAAGTAACCAATCACAGTGTTATGAGTAAAATTACACAGCGTGGGGAAATTCCAAAGAACTTTCCCACACTGTGTAAAATATACACTTTTGATCTCCAGTCCTGCCTTGATCATAACATGGTGTTATATAAATGCTAATAATAATAATGTTAATAATAATATATCAAATGATGCACACTCATACACACTGACACATATCAGAAGACCCCACAAACAGACACATCAGATGATGTGCATAAACACTTTCACATTACAGTACACACACACACACACACACACACTGGTGTTAAATTATCCATACTGGAAATTACCCACAGAGGAAAGGAGAGTGTGGCTGCAGTAATTCACAGTACATGCTATTTGAGCGAGCACTTAGAGCTCTGAGTAGCCAAGTGTCACTCACATCAGAAGAAGAAGATCAACCCTATTTTTCTTGCACTCATTGCACTTGTCTAGTGGATTCTTACCCATGCATGAATTCATCTCAGAATTATGTAATTCCTTTGAATTATGAATTTTAATAAATAATTAACTCGTGTAAATAACAGGCAGCTCATGTAATATTACTACCAAGTGATTTAAGATTCCCTAATCTGTTTTGCACTTAAAAAAAAAAAGTGTATTGATAATTTTTTTGTAGTTTATGAATCATATCATAAGAGTTGTCATAGATATGTTTTTTTCATTGCTAACATTGGTCTTGATTTAAAGGCACCCTATAGTCATAAGAACAACTACAGCGTATTTGCTCTGGTGAGTAGAATCAGGTTTTTTGCAGTTTGCACTGTTTATTTCAGACAAAAGGCAGTGATTACATTACAGCCTAGGGATACCTCCAGTGGCCACTCCTCAGATGGCTATTAGAGGTACTTCCTGGGGAAGTGCTGCACACTGCATGGAGACACTGAGCTTTCCTCATAAAAACGCATTGGTTCAATTAATTTTTATGAGGAGATGCTGATTGCCCAGGGCTGCTTTTGGCTTATGCTGGCTCTACCCCTGATCTGCCTTCTTGACAAGCTTAGCCAAAAACATTGTAATTGGCTCAGAACACCACTTCTGATGATGTCAGCCAAGCAGGCAGATCATGGGCAGAGACAGTAGCAGCAGAATTGAAATAAAAGTAATATTTTACTATTATCAGGGGGGCAAATGGGGCTAAATTATGATTTTAACACTACAGGGTCCGGAATACCTTTAACCCCTTAAGGACCAAACGTCTGGAATAAAAGGGAATCATGACATGTCACACATGTCATGTGTCCGTAAGGGGTTAAAGGGACATTATAGTCACCAAAACGACTTTAGCTTAATTAAGCAGTTTAAGCCCTTGCAGTCTCACAGCTTAATTCTCTTCACTTTGTTTATGCACCCTAGTCACACCTACCTGCATGTGACTTGCACATCTTTCCTAAACACTTCCTGTAGAGAGTCATCTAATGTTTACACTTCCTTTATTGCAAATTCTGTTTAATTGAGATTTTCTTATCTCCTGCTCTATTAATAGCTTGCTAGACCCTGCAGGAGCCTCCTGTATGTAATTAAAGTTAAATTTACAGAGCAGGAGAAAATATTTTAAGGTTAGTTACCTCTGATTGAAAGTGAAACCGTTTTGTTTTCACGTAGGCTTTGTGAGTCACAGCCAGGGGAGGTGTGGCAAGAGCTGCATAAACAGAAACAAACGCAATTAAACTCCTAAATGGCAGTGAATTGAGCAGTGAAACTTCAAAGGCATGATCTATACACAAACACTGCTTCATTCAGCTAAAGTTGTTTTGATGACTTTAGTGTTCCTTTAATAAGCTTTCTAAATGATCCAGTACTATTAGTAAATCTTTCCAAATTATTTAACCATTCAAGAAATACACATAGATTTGAATGGTAACATCTGTAGATAAGTTTCTTTCTAAAAGTATTGAATCATTTGGAAAGCTTATTAAATTGCGGACATTGTTGGTATGGTATTTAAAGTATTATTAACATGGTAACAGTGGTTGCATATTCTTTGATGTGCAATTAATTTGCAGAACCTTAAAGATGGCTAAATGTAACTTGAATTTGTTTTTCTTTAGATATTATAAGGTTTTTTTTTTTTACCAAATGCTAAATTATAGTGAAAGTGGAAAAAAATTATTGAGATCTAAAATTTTCCCAGACCAGCTATTTCAGCTATTTTTTTTTATTTTGGTGATCAGTTACTGTTTAGTGAAAATCTTTTTCTTATTCATGTTGATTTGTAGAGAGTCTTTTGTATGCTTAAATTACCTCTTATACACTGAACAAAATTATAAACGCAACACTGCTATTTTTTTATGAGCTGAACTCAAAGATCTAAGACTTTTTCTATGTACACAAAAGGCCTATTTATCTCAAATATTGTTCACAAATCTGTCTAAATCTGTGAGCACTTCTCCTTTGCTGAGATAATCCATCCACCTCACAGATGTGGCATATCAAGTTTCTGATTAGACAGCCTGATTATTGCACAGGTGTGCCTTAGGCTGGCCACAATAAAAGGCCACTCTAAAATGTGCAGTTTTATCACACAGCACAATGCCACAGATGTCACAAGTTTTGAGGGAGCGTGCAGTTGGCATGCTGACTGCAGGAATGTCCACCAGAGCTGTTGCTGTGAATTGAATGTTAATTTCTCTACCATAAGCCGTCTTCAAAGGCGTTTCAGAGAATTTGGCAGTACATCAAACTGGAATCACAACCACAGACCACGTGTAACCACACCAGCCCAGGACACCCACATCCAGGATTTTCACCTCCAAGATTGTGTGAGACTAGCTACCCAGACAGCTGCATCAACAATCAGTTTGCATAACCAAAGAATTTCTGCACAAACTGTCAGAAACCGTCTCAGGGAAGCTCATCTGCATGCTCGTCGTCCTCATTGGGGTCTCGACCTGACTGCAGTTTGTCATCGTAACCGACTTGAGTGGGCAAATGCTTACATTCTATGGCATCTGGCACTGTTGAGAGGTGTTCTCTTCATGGATGAATCCCGGTTTTCACTGTACAGGGCAGATGACAGAGAGCGTGTATGGCGTAGTTTGCTGATGTCAACGTTATGGATCGAGTGGCCCATGGTGGAGGTGGGTTTATGGAATGGGCAGGCGTATGTTATGGACAACGAACACAGGTGCATTTTATTGATGGCATTTTGAATGCGCAGAGATACCGTGATGAGATCCTGAGGCCCATTGTTGTGCCATTCATCCACGACCATCACCTCATGTTGCAACATGATAATGCATGGTCCCATGTTGCAAGGATCTGTACACAAATCATGGAAGCTGAAAACATCCCAGTTCTTGCATGGCCAGCATACTAACCAGACATGTCACCCATTGAGCATGTTTGGGATGCTCTGGATTGGCATATACGACAGCGTCTTCCAGGTCCGGCCAATATCCAGCAATTTTGCACAGCCATCGAAGAGGAGTGGACCAACATTCCACAGGTCACAATCAACAACCTGATCAACTCTATGCAAAGGAGATGTGTTGCACTCGTGAGGCAAATGGTGGTCACACCAGATACTGACTGGTTTTCAGACCCCCCCCAGACCTCCCAATATAGTCTGATATGCCACACCTGTGAGGTGGATGGATTATCTCAGCAAAAGAGAAGCGCTCACTAACAGATTTAGACAGATTTTTGAATAATATTTGAGAGAAATAGGCCTTTTGTGTACATAGAAAGAGCTCCTGAAAAATGGGGGCTAAAACAAAAGTGTTGCGTTTTTTAAATTTTGTTCAGTCTATGTATAACATATATCTTCACCTACCAAACGTTCTAAATCACTTCACCATCCTCCATCTATTATGTTATATGTTTATATGTAGTAAATAGTATGACAGCATTTTTGACGTGTTACTCTATATGTGATTAGCTGAATACAACATTCTAACTCTTCATTTGTTTTTACATTTAAATAGGCCACTTGCGGATTTTGATTGGCATATATTTAATGAATACTGTATGACATCATATGCCATCAGTCTTCATTAATATATCATATGCACAGCACTACCTTCAGCAGGACTGTAATGAGGACAGTGACTAAGATGTGTCATGAAATTGAGCTTGTATATTCTTGTCAGAGTTGCTTTTTACTCTCAGTCCAGCTCGGACTGAAATTGGATAGAACCACATATATTTCAAGAATACATTTTGGGACCAAATGTCCCAAATACAGCAATTTTATAAATCCTAAGGAATCCAAAGGTTGCTGGTCACAAGCAGCCTGTGGACCTAAGAGATGACAACCCTGTCACAGAAATTATGAGGTAGGTGGTGTCAGCCATTTTGTACACACCATAATATAATCTAATGTATCAATATGTTCAATAATATATTATCCATACATTTCATTTAATACATCTTATACAAAAAGAAACCACATCATTAAAAACCCATTATAATCAAACTACTATAAATATAGAAGACACATATTATATAAAACATCAGGATTAAAAAACAACTAAAAACATATAAGCCACTAAAAATTCAGAAAAACAAAAACATATAAAATTATTTGAACACAAAATTATTTTTGAATTATTTTAAGTTTATTTATACATCCAGGAATACTCCACAAACATACAGATAATTTTTATTTGGAAATATTTTGCGCAGCTGATGATTAATGCTAGACCTGTGTGTGAGACAGGAGGCTCTTTCCATTAACGAGTGAGCAGTCCCTTTTTAAAAGCAAATAGACCAATTGCCGCTGTTGAAGTTAGTAATACTGAACATCCGATAAATCGCACCAAACCCTGAATAGATGGTAAGTTTCTTTCCCAAAAGGTAGCGGTAATAGGCAGGCAAAGGACATCCTATGAAAAAACATGAAAAAAAATTGGTTATTTTTTTTATACATATGCATAGATATGTTAATTTGTAGATAGTTATTGTTTTGGATCATAAATGTTTAGATGGATTGGAATACAGATTGTTATTGAGATTTAAAGTAAATTAGAAGTGGTTGCAATAATCAAGGCAATGTATTGCTGGAAGTACTCCTTAGTATTTTATTCTGAGATATGTATATGCTCTTAGAAAACCATAGCTTATACATATAACTTAGTATATTATGCTTATGTGCTGCCTTCAAAAATATATATCATTATTGTGAGAAATAAAAATATATATTATGACATAAACAATCTAATAAAAACATAAATAAGACTAAAAACAGAGCAATTTTACATGTAATAAAAAATGTTCCATTGCATGGACAATATACTCAGAGAGGAGAAAGCAATAATTTGCACTAATTTGTGTATTTTACTAAATAAAAGGAACAACTTAGAGTTAGGAATACAAAGCTGTATTCCTAACAATATAGTGTTCTTTCCCTATCCCCCGCTGGCAAATAAAGGGTTAAAAATCCTTTTTACAAACACCTTACTCCAGCGCCAAAGTCCCTCAGGGCTGGCTCCATATTAGCAACCTTTGAAGTCAGTGCCAAATGGCGAGCACAGCACATTAGGCCTTCCCCATAAGAAAACATTGATTCAGTGATTTCCTATGGGGGATTTGAAGACGCTGCATGTCCTCATGCACAGTGTCAGAAAATCCAGCGTCATTTAAAGGAGCCAAGTAGCACCTCTAGTGGCTGTCTGAGAGACAGCCACTAGAGGCAGTTTTAAAGGGACACTATAGTCACCCTGAACTATTCAGCTCAGTGAAGTGGTCTGCATGCTAAGACCTGCAATGCAAATCATTGCCGTTTTTAATAAACTGCAATAATTACATTGGACTAAGACTGCCCCTAGTGGCTGTCAATCAGACAGCAACTAGAGACACCTCCTGGTGGCTAACTGACTTTTTAATAACCTAACTTATGCAATGCTTTTTTTTGGGAATGTCTAATACGCTTGCAATGCACATGAGCATTAGTCCTCCCTGTTGGATGATGTCGTAGGAGGCACAAGCCAGCACAGAAGAATATCGGTGCTGGAATCGGGTAAGTGTTAAAAGAGTTTTTAACCCTTTAAGAGCCAGGGGACACGAGGGGGGGATGACGACCAGAGGGCACTATAGTGTTAGGAATACAGATTTCTATTCCTGACACTTGAAGCGTCACCAGATTCCCAATTGTGAAGCATTGTATAATGTTTTCCTATGGGGAAAACCTTATGGGAGCCCAGTCATTGCCTGACATCTGCGGGGGAGATGCAAAGGAGGACAGGATTGGGGGTGGGGCAGCGATGAATGGGGGTGCGGCACTATAATTTCCCTTTAAGTGGTCTGGTTGCCTGTAGCATCCCTTTAAATTAATATGCACACAGATGAAACTCTGAGTTGTCAGAAATTAACACTTAAGAGTTATTTGTTACAGTGAGAATTCTCAGGAATTCATGGAGAAATTTAAGGACAAACAGCTGAACTGAAAAATATAGCTATGGTTCAGTTACGTTGGCTTAAATTTGAAATTAACTTTGCAATACGAGCAACTCTCATTTTTGTGAATTGCCAATTTAAGACCATAATGTCTTACCTAGAAACACAGTTGACTTGGAGAATGTTTAAAAATTTTCTATTTCCTCCTAAACTTGCAATTACATGGTGCATTCCTGAAAATTCACAGTTTAGTGAATAACCCTGTGCAAGTTACTCTAGAGTTGGATCAAAGGCAGGCAGACAATGTAATAGAGCAGCAGGAAATGCTAGCAGAATGCTTGGTTGTATAGGGAGAGGTATTAGCAGTAGAAAGAGGGAAGTGCTCATGCCATTGTACAGAACACTGGAAAGACCTCACTTGGAGTATTGTACGCAGTACTGGAGACCGTATCTCCAGAAGCATATTGATACTTTAGAGAGAGTTCAGAGAAGGGCTACTAAACTGGTTCATGGATTGCAGGATAAAACTTACAAGGAAAGGTTAAAGAATCTTAACATGTATAGCTTAGAGGAAAGACGAGATAGGGGGAATATGATAGAAACATTTAAATACATAAAGGGAATCAACACAGTAAAGGAGGAGACTATATTTAAAAGAAGAAAAATTACCAGAACAAGAGGACAGTCTTAAATTAGAGGGGCAAAGGTTTAAAAATAATATCAGGAAGTATTACTTTACTGAGAGGGTAGTGGATGCATGGAATAGCCTTCGAGCTGAGCATGCGTGGGATAGGCATAAGGATATTTTAGCTATAAGATAAGGCCAGGGACTATATACACCATTGGGCATACTAGATGGGCCGAATGGTTCTTATTTGCGGTCACATCACATTCTATGTTTCTATGTGATGAACGCCCCTTGGCCTGGACATTCAACACAGGCTCTTGGAAAAGTGTGGAAGCTAGCCTCCTGCCCACTGACAATGGGCCATGGAAAAAGGCTTACAAACAAACTTAGTTTGTGGGATTTATTTGTACTTTTCGAACCAACTCACGAACTGTGGACCACCTCTGGGCTTGTTAACCCCTGGTAACCTCTTGTGACACTTCAATTATCGTGTCTTCTAATTGTGAGGCTGGGTGGGGGGAGGGAATGCAGGCAGCTGTGTTTGGGCGTCGATCGCATGGAACTAAAATCGGACCCGGCAACTCCCGAACTCAGCTGAAATGTGACGAACGCTTGCTTCCTTTCCACCCATGTCAGGAAGGTTTGTTCGTATGGACAGGGCCGGTTTAACATAGGGGCTGATGGAGCTGCAGCTCCAGGCCCATGCCTATGGAATAGACCTATTGATTTTTAAAAAAAATACATTTTTTCTTTTTACACACTACTTATCCAATATTTGAGGCTGCCTAGTTGGTGCCGGCATTGCAGTAATACCTGCAATACAAATGTCAGTCTCAGTATAAACAGAGATAATTCTGCAATACCAGCGCCAGCCAGTAGGGGTCGCTGTGTGTGTAGAGAGAGGCAGGGATAGGAAATTACAGCATCTCCCTCCCTGCCTCTTTCTACTCACTGATCCGCTCACTGGAGGAGCAGCTCTGCACAGAGAGTCCAGACAGCAGCTCCAATCCTGCAGAACAGCCTACAGCTCAGGTAGGTGAGGGATGGAGGGAAAAGCTGAAGGGAGACATGGGAATACAGACACTAGGGGGCACAGACACTAGGGGACACTGTGAGACCTAGGGACACTGTGAGACCTGGGGACACTGAGACACTCGGAGAAACTGAGACACTAGGAGAAATAGGGACACTGGGAGACATAGTGAAACTGTTAGACATAGGGACACTAGGGGGCGCTGGGAGACATGGGGACACTGAGACACTAGGGGAAACTGTGAGACACGGGGATGGTGAGACATTGGGACACTGGGGGCAAGGGGACCCTGAGACACTAGGGACACAACGGCACCATGTCTCCCAGTGGCTCTAGTCTCTCAGTGTCCCCATGTCTTCCTGCCATTGTCCCTGTCCCTGGAGACATGTGGCATTGAGACACTGTGATACACAGGGGACATCGTGATACATAGGGGACACTGGAGACCTGGGGACACAGACACGAGGGGACACTGAGACACTGGGAGATTAGGGGACTGGAAGACTAGGGGATACTGGTAGACATGGGGATACTGAGACTCTGGGAGACCTGGGGACACAGACACTAGGGGACAGTGAGACACTGGGAGATTAGGGGACTGGGAGACTAAATGACACTGGGTGACATGGGGACACAGAGACTGGGAAACTAGGGGACACTGGGAGACATGGGGACACTATAATACATAGGGACACTTATACACTGTAAGACATGGGAGACTGAGACAGGGAGACACTGGGAGCAATCCATATATACAGTAGAATCAAACTATCAAACTGTAAGAAGTTTTTTTGGTGATTTTACAGCATAATCTCTTATAATTGTATATGTTTATGAGAGTGTCATGAGCATGTTTACTGTGTCTCTGTATTGTATATAAGTGGGCCATTGAGTCTGGATTAAACACATTAATTTCAACCCTTCATCAAGTCTAGGCTGATGTTTGGGGAATTGGGAGCTATAATCACTGCTTCACTGGGGATTTGGCAGAACTACAGCGGATATACTCAGTCGGAGTATAGGGGATCCGTTACAGATCATATAGCTTTGGAAATGTGGAAGAAATTCACAGGATACTGTGTAAGTGTTTAGTCCTAGACACCAACACTATATTTCATCTCATTTGTGGGTCTCGCTTTAAGAAAATTAGAATTTCTTGACACATCTTACCAATGATGGTGGCTCTGGCACCCAGATATCACTCTCTCGTATTTTGCCCATTTTGTGCAATATCTGAAATGATATATTGGAACATGCATTTTATTAAAAGGTATGGTAGGCTACAAAATAGCGTATTTACTAATGTCAGAACATCAAACTGTTTTGGACCTATCAATTTGCCATAGTTGAGTAGACCGATTTTTCACAATGTTTGCTAGCAGCTGGATGAAAATGACTTAAAAATTCAATAAAAGAGCCATATGCAATGTTTAATTACCTGTTGAAGTTGAAACAGGTCCATTTTTATTTCATTTTACAGATTTCAATAGAAAGTGGCATATTACACCTCCTTTGCTTTCAAGCAGACAACAGGTCCTGTTACTTCCTGGGTTTGATAGTTCGGTGGAGCTAAACTCAAGAGGCAGCAATAGCTCAGAGGACCAGCCTTGCAAAGGTTTCTAATTGAGCTGCATTGGGAAGTTTGAGATTGGACAGCCACAGAAATTATGCAAAGACAGAACTGCAACTTTTGCATGCTATTTTTAGATATACCTCAATGAAAAAAATCTCAATGAAATACATGCAAGTTTTCATTTGGGTTATATCTACAAACCGTTGTTTTTTTTAAATTCATTTTGTATTTGTGCAGTGGATTGTCCCTTTAATGAAGCTGTTTTAGTCTATAGATCATGCCCCTGCAATCTAACTGTTCAATTTTAACCATTTAGGAGGTAAATCCTTTTTGTTTCTATTTATGCAGCCCTGGCAGTGACTCCATGGAAAAAATGGTTTCATTTGTAAATCATATCTTTATTTGGTTTCATTTGACTTCAAATTATACAAGTATAAGTTTTACTTTCTAAATAAATGTATATTGAGAGCTATGGAGCATGTACTATTAACCCCTTCCCGACCGAGGACGGTTCAGGACCGTCATCGGTATTTTTGCGTTGCCGACCGATGACGGTCCTGAACCGTCCTAACGGTCAGAGCTACTTACCTGATCGCCGTCGTTCCCCCGGCGGCGATCAGCGTGGCTCCGGTTGTGGGGAGACTGCCTGCAGCCCAGACAGTCTCCCCACAGCAGATTAGGACCCCTGTGGCCATGTGATCGCTTATGATCACATGGTCACAATAGGTGTCCATGTGTCTGCCTGCAGGGGGACTGTCTGTGCTGACAGGCAGTCTCCCTGCTAGTGTAAAATCATTAAAAAAATAAAGTTAATGTTAATAAAAAAAATAATTATTATATATGTGTATATATATGATATATAGACATATATTATATCTATATATATATGTCTATATATCATATATATAATGTCATACTAAGTGTATTTTTATATTAATATGTACTTATATTAATATAAAAATACACTTATAATTAAATTACACACGTATATATATAATATATATAATAACTATATATATTGTATATATATATTATTATAAAATATAAATAAGTAATTTAAATTAAATAATTTTTTTTAAATAATAAAAAATTTAAAAAAAATTATATAGCTATATGAAATTTTATTCTAACTGTATTTTAAAATTAATATATATATATTTATATCAAAATACACTTAGAATGAATTTGTATATATATCTATGTATATAAAAATAAATAAAAATAATAAGAAATATACATACATCCATATACAAAATTACATAAATAATTATATAAATATACACGTAGACTTCAAATATATAAATATGCATATATATTTAAATTCTACGTGCGTATTTATGTAATATTTTTACATAATTCAGTAATTTTATTGATTGCAATTTGAGGGACCTGCCTGCCAACCCAGGCCGAAATTCCAGAGAATTTAATTTGCTAGCACTGTATTTTACCCTGTAACGTTCTACGACACCCTAAAACCTGTACATGGGGGGTACTGTTTTACTCGGGAGACTTCGCTGAACACAAATATTAGTGATTCAAAACAGTAAAACATATCACAGCGATGATATTGTCAGTGAAAGTTACTTTTTTTGCATTTTTCACACACAAACAGCACTTTTACTGATGATATAATTGTTGTGATACGTTTTCCAGTTTTTAAACACTAATATTTGTGTTCAGCGATGTCTCCCGAGTAAAACAGTACCCCCCATGTACAGGTTTTATAGCATTTTTGAAAGTTACAAGGTCAAATATATGGGTCAAATATTTTTACATTGAAAATGGCCAGGTTGGTTACGTTGCCTTTGAGAGCGTATGGTAGCCCAGGAATGAGAATTACCCCCATGATGGCATACCATTTGCAAAAGAAGACAACCCAAGGTATTGCAAATGGGGTATGTCCAGTCTTTTTTAGTAACCACTTGGTCACAAACACTGGCCAAAATTAGCGTTCAATTTAGTTTTTTTACTTTTTTCACACACAAACAAATATGAATGCTTACTTTGGCCAGTGTTTTCGACTAAGTGGCTACTAAAAAAGACTGGACATACCCCATATTGAATACCCTGGGTTGTCTACTTTAAAAAAAATATGTACATGTGGGGTGCTATTCAGAGATTTATGACAGATAATAGTGTTACAATGTCACTATTGATAAATTTTAAAAATTATGTTTTGAAACCGCAATATCCTACTTGTACCTATAGCCCTATAACATGCAAAAAAAAGCAAAAAAGCACGTAAACACTAGGTATTTTTAAACTCAGGACAAAATTTTGAATCTATTTAGCAGTTTTTTTCATTCGCTTTTGTAGATGAGTAAAAGATTTTTCAAGTAAAAGTCAAAAAACATGTATTTTTTTCAATTTTTCATCAGATTTTTTTATTTTTTTTAAATTAAAATACATGAGATTATATAAATAATGGTATGTAAAAAAAGCCCCTTTTGTCCTGAAAAAAACAATATATAATTTGTATGGGAACAGTAAATGAGAAAGCGGAAAATTACAGCCAAACACAAACACCACAAAAGTGTAAAAATATGCCTGGTCGCAAATGTACAACATCGCAAAAACAGTCCAGTCCTTAAGGGGTTAATACTATACCAATGTGAACTTGATTGTAATTCCACAGGTATAGTCAGACTGTTTTTTTAAACAAAGGGGAGATTTCTAAAGGCAAACCAGGTGCTATACTGGGTGTTAAAAGCTCCAAATGGATATATAGTCTATTGCTTTCCATGGTCATTGCTCCTTATTTTGCATATTTGCCCCAGAAAAGCACTTGGTTTTCCCTTGATAAATCTCTCCTAAACTGGTTGACTTGGTTTAAATTATGGTTCCTTTGTCACTAGTGTGTATGCTTTATGAGGTATTTCTCATAACCTCAGCTAGCACAGCAAAACCATTTTTGGCATTTAATAGCAAATGCTGTTAAATTCTTGTTGAATAAAAGGTAGGTATTAGGGAAGTTATTTAGAAATATATCCATATATAAGAGCACTCACTTTTATTATGGAAATTCAAAAGTGGCCTCTCACCATTTCATACTTCCTGCTGGTCTTAAAGCATACTGACCAGGAGCAATACTGTGGTCATCAGTGGAAATGCAACATTAATTGAAAAGACTCCTCTAGTCACAGCACATAAAATAGCATGCTCCAAATCTGTATCCAATTCACTTTATTTAGAAAAATATAAAAATATACGAAATTAGTCAGCAACATCTCAACTTGAAAGATTCCCCACCACCTCACGCGTTTCGTGTGGACATCCCACATTTGTCCTATACTAAGTGTGTGTTGTCCACACTATGCATGAGGTAGTGAGGGTTCTGTCACGCTGAGATGTTGTTGACCGATTTCGTATATATATATTTTTTAATTTAATATTTTTAATACTCTTTTTTCACATATTCATTAATAATTTGGCAGACTAGATGGGCCGAATGGTTCTTATCTGCCGTCACATTCTATGTTTCTATGTAATTTGGTTACAACATCTTCAATCAAATAATATGAATGGAATGAACAAAAATAACAGAAACATATAAAATAAGCATATATTCTAGCTTTTCTTCCTTTTCTTTTCCTTTTATGTCAAAGTAACCATTATGTCTTACATCAATATAATCTACTAATGCCTCAAGTGATATAGTATGTTTTCCTTCTAATTATAAACAAGCAACAAAGAAAAAAAAGAGATAAAAAAAGAAAAAAAACAATATAATAATTTTCTCTTTTTGTTCCTTTCCTTATCTCTCCTTCCTTCTTTTTTTTCTCTTTTTACAAATAACTCAATCACCATTCTCCATATGCTCATATAAAAACATGCCTTACTTCCTTTAAACCTCCTCTTAATATCCGGTATATACTTGTGTTAATACATTTCCCCCAGTTTTCCAATGCTTTCCCCCAGAAAACAAGCTCTTTTTTGGTTCTCTCCATTTGTAATACACATACATCAATTTGTGGCGTGTTCCCAGTGAACCAGATTTTGCCTATATTTCTTAAAGCAGTTATTTGTCTATTTTTAAAAAATTTTATTAGAATTGGAAGTGAATTGGATACAGATTTGGATCATGCTATTTAATTTTATGTGCATTGGTCAGAGGAGTCTTTTTTAATGAAAGCCAACTGTGTACAAGATCACAAAACAATAACAGAACACAGCAATAACATCTTTTGATCAGTAAATAAAAAAACAAAACAAAAGCAAATGCTTGTTTTTTATAGTGCTATATTATGTGCCTTCATTTTAATCCAGTCCGTCGTTTATAGAATCATGTTTGAAGAATCATGTTTGAATTTGTTTGGATATATATGTGCTAAATACTGAATATACCTCTCTCCCGGCTCTCTCCCCTGCCTGAATGGCTCCTTCAAGATATCCACTCCATTCTGTTGCAGTCTCTGTTCCAGCAAAGAAGATCCGGCCAAAAGGTTGCCGAAGAACTCTAAAATTCAATACCATTATATTAAAATGATCGCTTAAAGACAAATATATTGTTAACTTAACTGCATATATCTGTGTGTGCATATGTTTACTGACTTATTTAACTTATGTATTTGTATTGCGTTTTTTACTTTACTCCTACCTGCCATACTGAGTCAGGATTCCTGGTGGGAAGTATGCTGTATAACAGCCTCCGGAATACTGTTCTTCACACCAATTCTTTTCTTCATAATGCACGGGCTGTTCAGGAAGTAATTATTGAAAATAGAACTAATTATCGATCTATTGGATAACATTTTTATGGGTCTGAAATTCCTAATGACGATTGCCAGTTAATCATGTTTTATGGTTTTCTAGCAGTTGAAAAAATAGCAAATTAGGTATTGGCATATTTAAACTAAAGGATTGCACACCAAATGGATCCCAAAATTCTGAAACACTTCTTCAAAATGTAAGCTTTTATTGAATTATAGACTTCATTAGCACACATTACCAAGAAACGAATTACAAACTAATCGCGCTATGGTACAGGACCCCGACACTGCTCCACAGGATCTTCCCAACAACGCGACCGACATGCTGGAGATGCCTCGATGAGAGGGGCACGACAATACATATATGGTGGGAATGCCGCCTTATAGTTCCGTATTGGGAGATGATCAGGGAGAAAATAACCGAAATTATGGGAGAAACAACAGAATGGACGGCAGCATTGCCCCTTCTACATATTTCAACGATGTCGATTGCCACATACAAAAAAATTGATCTTATGTCATTTACTTAATGCAGCCAAAGCCCTGATCCCGCTATACTGGAAGAGGACAGAGACGCCCCGAATGGAGGAATAGATTCGCAAGGTGGAGTACATTCAGGGAGCTGAGGCGATCCAAGCATCACTACTTGGGAGGAGGGACAGGCACGCAGAGATGTGGCGACCATGGTTCGTGTTTGTGTCTCAGGGCAGATAGAGGGGGGCGGCCTGGGGGAGGACACACTGGGGGGGGCGAATGGCTCAACGGAGCATGACCATTCCTACCTGCTTTACCCTATTCTACCTAATCTACACTCAGGCCCAGGGGCAACTCTTCTTCTCCTACCTTACTACCAAATCATTTCTGATTTTCACTTCTAATTTTAAGATTTACACACGTATATATGGACAGGACAAAAATGCACTACAATGAGGGGCCTGCTTTGTAACAGGGAACAGTCAGGGCGATCATAGAAAGCAAACACTTTTAGCCACTTGAAGACATATATGTGTTATACTGACAAGTGGAAAAAAAAACTACAAATAAATAATGATTTAGTTTATTTATTTATTTATTTTTTTATAAAAGTGGTGATTTTCATATATTTCATAAATGTTTGTTTGTTTTTTTATATATAATTCTTTATTTGTACCCAGCTCACAAGCGCAAGAGGGCATGCAGGTGAAAATAAATAGAGACATGACAAAATATCAGAGTATACATTCAGTGTTACATTGCGTCTAATATTAACATAGCCTGGGAGCTGATGATTTTATTTTTATACTAATATGAGTCGAGTGGATCTTATATTCCAACATCGTGTATTATTCCCAACATCGAGTCCTGGCCAGGTGAAGTGTACAATGCGTCAGTGTTGTAAATGAAGGGTAATTAAGCTAGATAAGAGAAATTTAGATTCTCTAGCGTGTTTGTGAATGTTGCTTCGCGTTAAGAACAGAAATCCTGTGTCGGTTGAGTTGAAGCATACGTCTCACATAAAACTCCTGGCACTAGGTTTGATGTTGTACCCTTTATCCACCTCCAATAACTTGGTATTCTGAGCAGTGGGTCTAATTTTGTCTAGGAGGCAGGGTTGGGGAGTGGGAGATCCCTGTGAGAGCCTAAAATTACATTACAGTGTCACTTAACTAAAAAGCAAATCAACAAAACACAAAAACAAAAATAAGCAAACTTCAAACCGCAATAAGATATTGTCCCAAAGAACCACAAAGTCATCAGTAGGTTTAGAGTTCCTTCATTTAAGGCAGCAGGTGCCCTCAGGTTTTACTTGGTTCCGTAGAAGAAAAAGAAAGGTAAGGATTCCCAAAATAAAATTGATTCAGATGATGGTAGCCGCATATGCGTCAGGCATCCCTCCTTGAGGCACAATAGGCTTGATCTTCACTGGATCCCAGGGCTCCAATAAGTCTCTGCATCAAGTGTTGGAGTTCTTCCGCTGGGATGTCCTCAGGGATTCTTCGGACTTTCACGTTGTTGCAGCGCCTTTGGTCTACAAGCACTGCAAAACGCTGTTCTGCTTTTGGTTTGTGGCACTTTAAGTGCCTTCACCTCCAGTTGGAGCTCCGCAATGGTTAGGACTTTTTTTCTGAGGAGGCCTCCACCACCCCACTGTGACCAACTAGGCCTCTGAGGTCTGTATGAAGCTGGGCCACATCAGCCTGGATTATCTTTTGCAGGTATCCCAGCATGGCTTTCAGCGTCACTGCATTGACTGGTCAAGAGTGCCCAGGTGTAGGACTCTGCTGTGTCAGCGGGCGAACATACCGCCCATGCATTCATCCAGGCTCAGATCCTCCAAGGAGTCTGTGTAACCCAGGGTTCGGTGGCCATTTTGATTCAACTTAGTTTTTCACCCCATAACTCTTGTTGGTCTATGAGGTATAATCACAGCTTTGTAATTTGTCAGGAACCGCTGATTTAGTCAATTTGGAAGCAGAGACCATCTAGTGTGCGTCCGTCAAGGTCTGCTGTCAGGCCCCTCCCCCCCCTATTTGTTTGTTTTTATGTAGCTGCCACAGATGTGGAAATTCTAAACTTTTTATATTTTTGGGATGGAAACATGACTAACTAGTGGGGAATATTTATCCAAGTGTTCTGAAAAGTAAAGGTTAAGTTTTGTTATTATTTTGATTAAATATATTTAAGTGTTCTAAAAGTGATCTAAAAAGTGAGGTTCTTTATGTTAAATCCCACCAATATTCACAGAAATTTTAATCTTAGAAAACTGCCAAATTTAGTGTAGTGGGAAAAAAAAGTAACAGAACAGTTTTATGTAGAAAAGGTGGCGAAAATTTAAAATCTGTTTTGACAAAAATATGGTAAATATAAAAAAAAATGCTGGCTAGTCACAAAAAAAGGAACAGATGACGAAACTAACAGATTTAATAAACTGTGCCAAACATTTGGCAAAATTTATATATAAAAGTGTTGGGGTCTAAAATCCTTCATTGTGTCGACCAGTTTTATAGCACATATCATTTCATCTTTGTCACAGACATTGGGTATTTGTGAATCATTGCATTTATTTTATTATGTTACAAAATCATAAACAAATAAAGTATATCGCTTAAGTATTTCAAGGAATTATATGCATAATAAATGCTTATATAAGAAAATATAATGGTAAAAGAATTGTTGACTTTTTACAGCATTTTTAAGCATTTTACAGTTTACAATTATATTCAAATGATCTTACATGCAGAGCTTCTTCTGATCCTAATACTTTTGCGTACAGTTCACAGATTTTGACCTTCCTAAAAACCAAGTAATAAGCAATCAATAAATATTGTATTATGCAAAAAAATAATAATAATACAAGTATACCATGTGAAATAGAGATCAAAATTATTGGAAGAGAAAAGAAAAAGAGATGGATGTAGGTGTTATTACAAAGTTTTTTTTGAAAAAAAATATATAATGAAAAAAAATGTGCATAAGCATAAAACAAGAATTTGAAATCTAGATTCTTATTCATAGTGGGTACATAAAAATTTCATTTTGTACTTTTCCATCATTTTAATTTTTCATGTATTCATTTATCCTCCACACAGGGTTGTTAGATTAGGTAGAGACTCCTATAAAAATTGCATAACTATGAATTCTTGTGATCTGGAAACAATTTTGAAGAAAAACATATTGGCATGCATTCAGTTTACACTATTGTGTAATTTATTTTAGAAAATAAAAACATATTGTTATATTTAAACTACTCATTATAGAGTTCTTCAGTGATCAACAAATGGCTAAATTTATGTAATAAGATACCTTGCTGTACATTAGAATCTACACAATTGATGCCGAATAATAGCTGAATGCTACTCAGTTGCCAAATTTTGGCTCTTTTTTTAACCTTTTAGTTATTTAGATATTAGGTTTTGTAATTATAAACAAAGTTGCACTTGCATTTGGTTGCAGATCAGTTGTTGGCTGCAATCAGCCAAATCTCTATATAATCTGACTCGTTCGGCTACCCCTAAATGCTGAATTACAACCATTTAACTGTATTTGGTTGTTATAAATATCAATGGAAATTGCACTTATAACTCTAATCTCCCCTAACACGTAGTCACCTTTAAATACCCCAGCCCTTATTGATCCTATAAGGATACTCCAACCCTAAATTCCCCTGAAAAACCTATCTCATCTTAACAGAACCTTTTTTTTTTTTGCTAAATTCTTTTATCATTTTATTAGTGAATATAGTGAACCACAGAAGAATTTTAAAAACCAAATGCAGGAAAATGGTGCTGAATGCAACCAATTAGTAAACAATATGGTATTTTTCACATTTGCAGAACTATGTATTTACATTAATCCATGAACTATGTGATTGATGTAATTACAGATTAGCAATTTTTTTGGAAAACATTGCAAATTCAAATATAAAACGTAATTAAAGCAAAATCTAAACTTGTTTAACTGTACCTTTCATCTTTTGTGAGGTGGGCCAGCCTCCTGGATTTATTGGCAAGAATAAATCTATTTAAAAAGATAGAAAATATAATAATTAAGCATTATTTCATGTTGCGTTTATACGTTTATAAGAGGAACATCATATTATTTAGAGAGGATATATTTATTAGTATATAAATTCGTATACTTTTGAACTACATTTATAGAAAGGAGGTGAAATGTATTCTATTTAGAGAACCTCAACCGTTTTGCGGTTCTTGGGGAGGAGTGTTGACCGTTCTGCACACCCACATAATATACGGATTCCTGCATGTGGATGTGCTTATGATGGATGATTGATGTCTCTGCAGTGTGACGGATCAGACTTGCCCAACAGCAGGTAGAGGAGATGTGTATATATGTTCACACCCCCCGTTCGATGCTAATGGGTGTGCAATCTAACTCCCTCCCCAAGTAGGAGGTCTGATTGACACGCAGGGCATTAGGTACCGCCTTGTAGCAGGAGGGCCCAATGGGGATTGGGGAGGGTGTGTACACTGCACACCTTGTCCAGTACACTGTAAGAACAGATAAAATGAGGGCACGCTAACCAACTCCCCTCCCCATTTATACAGCAGCCAACACTCCACTGCTAATTACCAATCAAGGATATATAAAAAAGGATAGACTGGCTAACCCATAGACATTGCTCCTGATGACGGCATGCTAACACGCCGAAACGCGCGTCAAGCTATTTTGCTGTTTTTTCAATTACTACACTTGGTAGAACTAATATGTACTAGCTTAGTTAAGTTTTCTTTTTTCTTTTAAGACTAGGAAGGGAGAGTGGTTCAGGTAGGCATTAGTGGCTAGTCCACAGTGCCGAGGTGATATAGGGTCAGACTCCTTTTGAGTTTTTGGCTTGGGATCTTTGTGTGTGGTTTGGGGTTAGGCTCCTTCACTTTCACCCCAGTATCTTCTACCTCAGTACATACCTGACTTTTGTATACTTGCTGGGAATATGCTTAAGTTTAGGTTTATACCTACTTAGTAGTTTTGTTTATCCTAGATAAACCTAGCAGTATATCTATACTTATATATGTATGTGTATGTGTGTGTATATACATATACTATATATACTTCTCTGTCTCCTCTCTCCTCCCTCCTACAATTCCCGTTCTTTTTTTCCTTAGGACAATTAAAGGTAGGGCTCCCTTTCATCAATTTTTGTTACTCTCCTTTTAGTCCTTTGTAGTTTGTTTTATATTGTATTTTGAGGGTTATCCCCCACTTTAACCCCTTAAGGACCAAATTTCTGGAATAAAAGGGAATCATGACATGTCACACATGTCATGTGTCCTTAAGGGGTTAAGGAAAGTGACACTGGGCACCTCTGGAACTAATCCATTAGCCCCAAGTATAATTGGGACTTCTGGATCAGCCCCTGTATATTTATTTATTTATAGAGGATATATTTAGCTTTCCTTTGTATTCATGCACATACCGGACATCTGATGTTGTCATTGTCATCAACTAAATTGGACTCATTCATAATAGCTAATAATTGGAATGATCAAGGCTCTTACACATGTGGCCTAACCCGGCTGCAGCATGGCACAGCAGACCCTACTGCACCATCCCCAACGGGAAGACCCTGGACCTCACAGGAATCCAGGTTTGTGGTACAAGGGTACTGGCTCTCTTACAACCCCGGGGCTGGAGGGGCGCCCCCACCTCCACATCGCTGCACTGCTCCCCAATGTGGACTGAGACCTGCAGCGAGAAGCGACCCATTGGATGACTGTCCGGCATACCAGCTGGAGGGGCTAGCATGATTTCCCGCAGCCCACAACCGCCTTTACAGTGCAGGACTTTATTACTAAACCCTCTTGCAGACGGCGGCGGATCAGACGGCATAGTCTCGCAACCTCTTTAATGACCTAACTTGATATGTATACTGCTATGCACCTGATCTCTCCCGTGTACAACGCACCCTTGCCTCTGGTGGGGATCGGCTGAGGTGACCACCAAGAAACCATGCACCCGAATATGATGACAGTGGGGTCAGAGACCATGTTGGATGAGAAAAAAGCTCAACACTTCCATTGTGTTTGATTTTGTTTGAGTTTCTGCTTTGCTTTTGTTACTTGCTGACCTGCTCCCACTCGGAGCATCTTCAGCAGTGCACTGAACCCCTAAATTAAGCTTGAGAGATCCGGCGTACAGGGGTCGTACCCACTCATTAAGCTTGTTTATTCTAAAAATCATAAAATTGTGCAGCCCCATAGAATACTATGAAAGTGTTTTTGCAGCAAGCATTGTGTACATATAGTCAGCAGCATTAGTATACATGTAGTCAGCGTGCTTAACCACACATTACTTAGCCTAGCATGATTGCATAGCTATACAGCTCACATAAATTCACTCTATTTACAAAAAACTATTGTGCATGTCATGTTTGTGCTTCTCCTCTTTGTCACTCCTCTGATTATGTCTCCTTGACATGTACAATCAGGTCCATAAATATTGGGACATCAACACAATTCTAATCTTTTTGGCTCTATACACCAACACAATGGGTTTGAAATGAAATGAACAAGATGTGCTTTAACTGCAAACTTTCAGCTTTAATTTGAGGGTATTTACATCCAAATCAGGTGAACGGTATAGGAATTACAACAGTTTGTATGTGTGCCTCCCACTTTTTAAGGGACCAAAAGTAATGGGATAGATTAACAGTCATAAATCAAACTTTCACTTTTTAATACATGGTTGCAAATCCTTTGCAGTCAATTACAGGCTGAAGTCTGGAACGCATAGTCATCACCAGACACTGGGTTTCTTCCCTGGTGATGCTCTGCCAGGCCTCTACTGCAATTGTCGTCAGTTCCTGCTTGTTCTTGGGGTATTTTCCCTTCAGTTTTGTCTTCATCAAGTGAAATGCATGCTCAATTGGATTCAGTTCAGTTGATTGACTTGGCCATTGCATAACATTCCACTTCTTGCCCTTAAACTCTTTGGTTTCTCTTGTAGTATGCTTCGGGTCATTGTCCATCTGCACTGTGAAGCTCCGTCCAATGAGTTTTGAAGCATTTGGCTGAATATGAGCAGATAATATTGCCCGAAACACTTCAGAATTCATCCTGCTGCTTTTTTTCAGCAGTCACATCCTCAATAAATACAAGAGAACCAGTTCCATTGGCAGCCATACATGCCCATGCCATGACACTACAACCACCATGCTTCAATGATGAGGTGGTATGCTTTGGATCATGAGCAGTTCCTTTCCTTCTCCATACTATTCTCTTCCCATCACTCTGGTACAAGTTGATCTTGGTCTCATCTGTCCATAGGATGTTGTTCCAGAACTGTGAAGGCTTTTTTAGATGTTGTTTGGCAAACTCTAATCTGGCCTTCCTGTTTTTGAGGCTCACCAATGGTTTACATCTTGTGGTGAACCCTCTGTATTCACTCTGGTGAAGTCTTCTCTTGATTGTTGACTTTGACACACATACACCTACCTCCTGGAGAGTGTTCTTGATCTGGCCAACTGTTGTGAAGGGTGTTTTCTTCACCAGGGAAAGAATTCTTCGGTCATCCACCACAGTTGTTTTCCGTGGTCTTCCGGGTCTTTTGGTGTTGCTGAGCTCACCGGTGCGTTCTTTCTTTTTGAGGATGTTCCAAACAGTTGATTTGGCCACACGTAATGTTTTTGCTATCTCTCTGATGGGTTTGTTTTGTTTTTTCAGCCTAATGATGGCTTGCTTCACTGATAGTGACAGCTCTTTGAATCTCATATTGAGAGTTGACAGCAACAGATTCCAAATGCAAATAGCACACTTGAAATGAACTCTGGACCTTTTATCTGCTCCTTGTAAATGGGATAATGAGGGAATAACACAAACCTGGCCATGGAACAGCTGAGCAGCCGATTGTCCCATTACTTTTGGTCCCTTGAAAAGTGGGAGGCACATAAACAAACTGTTGTAATTCCTACGCCGTTCACCTGATTTGGATGTAAATACCCTCAAATTAAAGATGAAAGTCTGCAGTTAAAGCACATCTTGTTAATTTCATTTCAAATCCATTGTGGTGGTGTATAGAGCCAAAAAGATTAGAATTGTGTCGATGTCCCAATATTTATGGACCTGACTGTATGCCTTGCTAGCTTTCTTAAACAAAAAGAGAATTCTAACTGTTGAAACCTTGCTTCTACTAAAACAAAACTGTACCTGACTAGCAAATGTCACAACTTGTATTGTAACCTGAACCTCTATATACCTTGATACAGCTGATGTGTGCACAAAATTTAAAAAAATATAAAAATAAATATCATTGGAATATCATTGATGAAATAATAATAATAATAATAATAATAATAATAATAATAGTTAACATAGTGAGACTATATAAAAGAACAAAAATGATTCCCTAGTCAAAGTGTCACTGAAAATTGCTATTATTTCACAAACAATATTTATCTTATACAATGGTTTTAAAATGCATACCCCATTATGGCAGGCACTGTGCCATCAGGTTTGGTGTCATCAAGAGTAAGTCCAATTGCTGCATTGTCATCCTCAATAATCATACTTCCACAATAATCTAAATAAAATTAAAAAAAAGGAAAATTAAACCATCACACATGCATCATCATAATACAATTATTTTTAAAGTTAAAGGAAAGGGATACCACAGGAAACAAAAGGTGTACAAATCATACCACTCCAGTCTCACCCACTTCCTTTAAAGAGAGATCTAATGTTTACTTTCTTTATAACACAATCTGTTTAATTAAATATTACTTGTCTCCTGCTTAGTTAATAGTCTACTAGACCCAGCAGGGTCTCCTGTGTGTGATTGCTTTGGAGGGTATGTGGTTCACAAGCAGGGTATATGTGGCAAGTTCTGCTTAACCCCTTAAGGACACATGACATGTGTGACATGTCATGATTCCCTTTTATGCCAGAAGTTTGGTCCTAAAGGGGTTAAACAGAAACAAAAGTGATTTAACTCCTAAAGAGAATTGAGTAGTGAGACTGCAGGGGCATGCTCTATACACCAAAGCTGCTTCATTAAGTTAAAGTTGTTTTGAAACCTATAGTTTCCCTTTAATCTAATATTAAACATGTAATTTTATTATTATATTACAATATTATTAGGGACTGGTAGTCAGGTTGTTTTTATTTTAATCATAAACTCTAAAGTATTTTAGTAAATATAATTTTTATACAATACATTTTATATCCACTCGGATACTGTACATTTACCTTTCTTCCTCCAGAAAGCTTCTTTATAATAGACCATACACTTGATTACAGAACCCATAGGAACTCGATTGATGAGCTGGTTTCTCATTGGTGGTAATTCAGGGCTAAAATGGATCTTCAGGCAAAGAGTTGGTGGAATGGCACTGATAACATATTTGGCCTATAAAAAGAGAGAAGCAACATGAACATAGTGGGGTATGCCACATCACAGACAGTCAAAAACATTGGTATCAGTAATAAGTGGTGAACAAGAGGAAAGTATTTATACTTACCTCATAAACTTCATGATTTAGTGTCTCCACTGTAATATTTTTTTCTGACTGGTCAATCTGTACTACCGGCCTTTGCAACTTGACTCGACCTTGTAAGGATTCTGCAAGCTTTTCACTTATCTGCCCAGATCCACCAACAAATTTTCTCTCCTTGATAAAGCAAACATAGTTTAGAAAATTGTAAAATAAGGCAAGAACCTATCATATAACAAATGTAAATAAATGATTTCTCTCCAACCTTTGGAATGTTTATGTTAAATTCGGTTATGGATAATGATACCTATAAGAGCCTTTCAGTTTGTATTCAAATGTGCAACAAACGAGGATCTTAAAATATCAAAATATTGGTAATTTAAAGTCTTACATGCAAATAACAGAGTACAAAAATGGAGATAACCAAAATAATAAATATAGTTAGGTTAAATGAGAAGGTATATTTGAAAGTGTCAAATAAGAGTAGATTTTATTCTAATACTGTATATGTATTAATAGAAGGGAATTACATTGGAATAAAATATTTAAAACATTGTGCAACACAAAGAAAATGAAAAAACATATCCGTAGTACAAGCTAACCCTGACCTAATCGAACAATGAGCCTAGCTAACACTAACCCTAGCTAACTTTAACTCAAGCTAATCCAAACTAACCCTAACACAAGCGAATTCTAATTATACCTAACCCTAGCAGTCCTTAGCCAGCCACAACCCTAGCTAACCCTAGCAAACTCTAACCCTAATACCAAATTGTTTAGTAGATTGGCCTTCTGATTGAGTGATCTTAGTGAAAGCCAGTTACAGTAATCACATTGCCATATCACTGTGACTGGCTTCCATGGTGATAGGGTTAATCTCTGCTCAGCTGTGTCATAAGACTAACAGCCTTGTACATTGCAAATAAGTCACATACATAGTTTTGCACCTGACCCTGCCAGATTGTCACATATGTAGGCTTGGCACATGACCATCTTTGTTCTCTTCTATTCTTTGAAGACCCTACCCCTACACCCTCCTATACTACGACGTTTCTACCTAGTAATGCCCCATAAATACGTTTTTTTATCAATGATTTGTTAGATGCCTATACCATGATGCATACACTAGCTGTCCATTCTGTAAATTAATATTTGTCAATATTTTATTGGTAATTAATGATATTCCCCTAGACTCCCCTTTACTGTGTGTTATTATAAAACCGTTGCTATGTTTAACAAAGATAAGACATTTTCCTGAACTGACTCCCTTATATTTCTTTCAGTGGAGTGTTTCCCAGTACTGGAAGGGCATGGCTTCGTCTGGATAGCACTATAAGATCATGGTAGGTAATTCTGGTGATCATCAAGGACAATAGAATGTTACAATACATGGTGATCCTAAGATCCAGTCAATGATTGACAGCTGAGTGTGCACTGCTGGAACCAAGCAGCAGGTGTCAATCACAGCATTGGATCATTGTGAATGACTGTCAAAGCTATCCTATGGTGCATGGTTGCCTTTTCAGTCTATTAATGGAAGGCCTCACAAATATGGTTTCTTGTAAAGTTAAGTACATGACACAAAAACAAGAGCATGGTCTATACTGTGTTAAGTGAGGCCTGCTGGCTGGCTGAGGACATAGTAATTGCTGGAGCTGGCAATCCCCAAGATAGCATGCTTTGGAGGAACTTCATATTGCTATTTCTATAGTGCATCAAGAAATAGCTTGGTCTCTCCAACCATGGCGAGACCTGTTTTCTGCCAACAATTTAAACAGCTGCTGAACAGGGTATGCTTGGCTTTTCACAAGGTACATTAGAGCAAGCACCATTCCCTGTGTTACAGTTGTCATGAAGGAGTTAAGCACTATATGAAAATAGAGAGCTTGCTGTTGTCTCTTGAGGAGAAATCAATATACCTCATGGCACCATTCTTAGATGATGGCTAATAATACCACTTCAGCCTTCAATCAGCTTTGTCTAGCGATTGCTTTCTGACAGAAATAGATACAGGCTATGAAAATGATTATCTAGAATGATTGTATTAAAAGTCTACAAATGTTTGAAACTCGATTATGATTTCTACAATAAACATGTCCATATGCTGCCAAACACCTTTCGAAAAAGATAATTACAAGTCCCCAACAGACAAATGATGGAGAGATTGTGGACAAAAAGGTTCATACATGTGGTGGACATGACCCAAAGTTCAGCACTATTGGGAGATAGTTGTTAGACTTGTTGACGGACATCCTACACAGACTTGTAGATAGAGAACTTGGTACTTCCTACTGGTCAAACCAAAGAATTACCTCTCCGGGGAAGAACAAAAACTGCTGAATAAAATTACACTGGCCACAAGGCGGATCCTAGCACAGGTATGGTTGGGAACAGAAATATACACAAAATAATATAATAATAAAAATAAAAGACAAATACTTAATTGACAGGCTCACAACCGAGGCCCGTAATTCAACAACAACTTTTAACAAAATGTGGAAAATGTGGGTGAAGTATGACAACCGGGCATCATGGGTGTGGTCTGCCACATACACAAGGCTGCTAGAACATGGACAAAGAACCCCCATCTTTTTTTTTTTTTTTTACCCACCCCCAACTTCTTCTAGCCTTTCTGTGTCCACCTCTTCTTTTCTATTTTTTTTCCAATTTCTTTACCTCTTATGAGAGGGAATAGTTCTTAAGTTTATAAATTTGAGAAAGGATACTCCTTCAGTGTAAGCTTCACCATATTATCATACAAATAGTGTATTCCTCTAAAACCGACCTTGCTGTGATATAATGTAAACCTTACTGGCAAAGCATTGTGTACTAACGATATTTGACTATGAAAACATGTTATCCTGATCTCTTAAATAAAGAATTTGAAAAAAGATAATTAATAAAAGGAAACAAAGCTGTTTATATATTTTAAAAAGATAAATCATCTGTCTTTAATTATATGAGTACCATAAGCCAGTGCTTTCTACAAATTCCAAAATATAGACGCTAACATAATTGTGTTTTGTATTTAATTTTTCCCATTAATTATTATTAGTTATTATTGGTTAAAGCAATATGATTTTGTTTATACGCTGATCTAAATAGATCAGTGTTTGAGTGCCAAACATTACAAATGAAATCACAATAAATAGATAAAATAGATGAAACACAAATGGCAAAAAAGGGTCAGAGACAAATATATGGACAAAAATGGCCATAGAAACCATAATGGGGTGGGTTTAAAGAAGAACATGAGGGTACTAGAACGGACAAGACGGAGAGAGTGCAGCCAAAAAATAAGAGAGAAGAGCTGATAGAAAAAAATAAGTGTGTGAGAAAAAGACACAAAATACAAAAATTATCTAACATTTTCAGCTATTTCTGATATTAACTCTGACGGTAAGGTTGGTTTTTCATGATAGATAACGAAAGAGTCACGATCATATGACATTAATAAGACAACATATGCCAGGGCTAAATTAAAATAAGTATTAAAACATTGTTTTATTTACCTGTCCACCATTAGATGTGGAAAATATTCTTGTGGTGCCTCCGCACTGCTTTACATACCACAGAAACCAAAGTGCCGATACTTCATGAGGCTCTGCAGTTACATTCACATTCACAAAAAGAGCAGCAAACCTCTTTGCTGCACTGGGGAAAAAAATGGAAAAATCACACCAAATGTAACAAACATTCATGTATTTGTGGCAAATAACATGAGCAAATACTATCAATCATGAAAACATTTGGGAACTACAAGGTAAAAATGTACACAGGTTTACACACATGCACACACACACAAACATGTAAATGAAATTATACAAACACCTGTAAACATTAACAAAGTAAAGTTACATTTGGGACATTGTCAATACAGCATTCATTTGCACAGCGATTCTGATATTACAAGTATTAAGTACACTGAAATGAAAATTGTAGGTGCTCGCTCTTTCCTTTCGTGATCTCATGACGGTGTTAATCAACTACCTCTCAATTATAGAAGATAGGGTAAGATATCACGAGCATGCAACCCTTTTATCACATGTTGCTATAGCAACCTTTGAATGAATTTAATCAGTACATCCATGCAATAAAAAATTACATGATTGCTTATGGTTTGTCTGGTAATGAACATTGACACAATTTTATACATGAGTAAGGCAAGAGGGCAGAAACGCATATTAGTTTTTTTATATGGTCTAATAAAAAAATATTTTGAGCTGAACATTATGATGCTTAGTATATGGTATAGGGCTATTCCAAGCTAGGAAAATAAGAAATATATGGCATAGTGTAATACTGTATATGATAAAGTGGATATATATGTAAGTGCCAAATGTTCACTCACACTTTAACATCACAAGAAATGCCTTCAAAAGTGTACTTGGTGTGCCTTCTTGCTTCAATGTTTGGTGAATATAAATCTCATAAAAAACAAGATGTAAAAAAAAATGGATGAAATGACTATATGAATAAAAAGTAAAAAAAGCATTTATTACTTACATCAAAGTAAATAATAGCAGATATATCAGTTCAATGTTTGGTTAATATAAATCTCATAAAAAACAAGATGTAAAAAAAAATGGATGAAATGACTATATGAATAAAGAGTAAAAAAAGCATTTATGGGGGGCGGGCCCGACCACCATGCTGACCGGTCACGGGCTGGAGAGGCTCCTGACAAAATATGGTCCCTTGTGGCACAAAACCCAAACACCACAGTAATCTGGGTGACCAAGAGATGTCTAATGTATCCGAGCAGATGCCGGAGCCATCACGGTCCCTGAGATCGGGAGTTTCGGAGCCCCCGGTGGGCAATATGAGGCTTCAGGGACTGCGGCTTACAGGGGTGTGGAGCAGGATGGAAGGCAGCCATCCTGTTTGTGCAACTGGCTGCCACGCAACGGCCTTGAGATGCGCCTCGCGGGCCCCGCTCCCCCCCCCACGGACCGGGGGGTTATCCCGGTCCCCACAGGAGAGAATCACCGCCTTGCAAGGGCTCAACAACAAGCCTACCTGGCATTGTACACCATATGCCTGGTCATCAAAATGGCGGCAACACGGCCTATACTAAGCATCACGTGCAGTCCTCCTTGCCTTACCAATCGCCGGAGATGGCTGATCCCAACCTCGAGCTCGCTGCACACGCTGTGCACCTCTTTGTAGCACCATAGACCCGACGGACTCTGCAGTACACTGTGTGTGGCAGCATACATAAGGCCAGGACTGCCAATGGTTGTCTCACTCACTGCCATTTGCTACAACAGGCTACACCGCTATACTAATTAGCACAGAAGCCAGAGCCAAGTTCCAATGCTGCGGCCCACATCAAGCTACCAAACTGCAATAAGACACCGGGCCCCACCAAGAAACCCCAGGCAGCACGCTGAACAGCCCTTTGCAGCATACCAGTGGCATGGGTTGAAGTCGGGAGGACCGGCCTCCGAGTACCTGCTGCCAAGGCCAGTGCGGGACTTAGTACAAATACCCACTGTCTAATTTATTTCAGCTGTAGAGATGCACATTCAGCTCATCATAGTGCCTCAATAGTCCCTAGCCCCGGTGGTTAATAACCCTGTTAATACTTTTGTTGACAATCTATTATAATCTTGTTTGTCTGTTTTTGGTTATCAAAGTGTGCCAGTATACACAATCTTTCACTACTACTCATACTCATCCAGCTTATGGCATACATAGCATTATCCTGTTTACTCGTGAGAAAAAATGTGTTGTTCCTGTCACAAAATGATGTGTCAAAATCCTGTCACAAAATGATGTGTTTCCACGCAATTTTATGCCATTGAGCGTTATAGAAAAAATCGTATGCCTAAGCTTGTTAAACAACCTATAAAAATGTGCAGTTATTCCCATGCCATATAAGTACCAATACTGTATTTCTTAATCGCTTATACATGCTGTTGTGGCATGGTTAACCGGATGTTAACACCTGCATAATGAAAAATAAAGAACTAAAAGCATTTATTACTCACATCAAAGTAAATAATAGCAGATATATCAGTCCAGGACTGATATATCTGCTATTATTTACTTTGATGTAAGTAATAAATGCTTTTTTTACTCTTTATTCATATAGTCATTTCATCCATTTTTTTTACATCTTGTTCTTTATGAGATTTATATTCACCAAACATTGAAGCAAGAAGGCACACCAAGAACACTTTTGAAGGCATTTGTTGGGATGTTAAAGTGTGAGGGAACATTTGGCACTTACATATATATCCACTTTATCATATACAGTATTGCACTATGCCATATATTTCTTATTTTCCTAGCTTGGAATAGCCCTAATCATATACTTGTTGAATTGAAGATAGGAGGAAATCTTCAGGCATATCCTTTATTGCTAAGGGAAGTTATTTTTTATTTGTTTATTTCATCGTAATCACTTTTAAATTGAAATCTTTATATCACTGTATGTGGACTTTAGAATCACTGCTGTGAATTTATGAGTGTGTGAGAGATTCCATATATACTTCTTCATTATGATGCCTACATGCTGCCTATCATAAAAAACATTGGATAAAAAATTATAAGCATTTTTCAGTGAACAAGTATGTAAATATCTAAAAACAAAACAAAACATGTTCTGTGTGTAATTATGTGATGCTCCCATTTAAATGCTCCTGCCATACCTCAAATGTTTACTACAATCCCATTCCTCTCTTACTAATAACCTCTGACCTAAACCCTTTGATTTAGCTCAAACAACATATTAATTGTGATGCTTGCTTGTTCTTCTTTTCAATGGTCATGGTACCTTGCATAGAAGTTACATTGACATATTCTTGAACTACCTGACTTCTGTTATACATTTATCTAAGTTCATCTAGCAAACGCATTGCTAGAAAATGTATTTCTGAAATATAACACAACCTATTGTATGAGTTGTGCTGTTTAGTTTTTAGGTAACTATTAAAACTACTAAAATTCAAATGACTCTAAGACAATTCTTTTATTTTAACACGGTACATTTTTCAAAATGGCAGTACACTGGTCCACTGTCTAATATATTAGAATTTATTCTACTGACAATAAATGAATCTTACTTAGTCCAGCAAATCTTATCAATTAACTCTTTCATTGTTATTGTGTCCCATTCCTCAGCATGCGGTGCAGCCCATGGAGCCTCATTTGGAATCTACAATGCATAACACATGAAAGGGTTTTCTTTTGTCATAAAAATATAGTGCATCAAGAAAAAATAAAACACATTCATTAAAGCTTTATAGCTGTAGTGTGTATTATTTTAAAATGCATACATGTTTGTAAATACCTCTTTTCAGTGTCACTCCTGGCTTTCCCTTGCTCTGCGAAGGCAGGTATCTTTAATCCCCTTTGGCCAGAAATACCAATTGTCTGACCAAAAACAAGTATGTAATCAAGAATAAGTGCGTGTTCACAAATCCTGAATTCATGTGTAAGCGCCAGTCATTCCCCCCAAAATTTACTCTTGGATGGTTTCAGGGCTTTCATATTGTACAAGGCTAAAATGGCAACACCCATTTGTACGGGCCACAGAACTCAATTCCAACAAAAAGGACAAAAAGGGGTTATTATCACTATGGGAAGGGGACCCCCTGAACACCTAGTCTGCCTTTCAGCTGGAATCAGGGACCTATTTTGATCACCTGGACCCATTCTACATATCAAGCACCTAAAGCTCCTAAAACATTCTGGAACTGTTTGTTGGATTGGCAGTGTGCTGCGATCTGGTGAATCTTTGATTGAGTATCGTTTGGTCCCCCGACCACCCACCAGGGCGCTAAATGGTTACTCAGGGTGCTCGGTGTTAAGCTATCCAGGGACATATAATGTGATGGGGTGCTGTCCTCCCCAGAGCAACAGGAACTACATTTTGTGAGACTGGGACTAACCAGCCACCCGCCTGGAACTCTGTGCCAGATCTGAAAATGGCAGCAACTCAGTAAATCTGTCACACGTTGTAACTCGGGTGTGGATTCTCAGCTTTGTGAAATTGTTTTCAGTAATAATAAAAAATGATGACCGTTTTCCTTTAACACAGTTATTTTCTTTAATATTCATACCGTATTTTATTTAGATTAATTTGCAGATATACCTTCTAATCCTGGCATCTTAAATATTTGTGAAATGCAATACAGGTTTTATAGTGGCTGAACATCACTGGGAGTTGCAGATCACAAACAACTGAACTATAATCAGCAATAATCTAGTCTGTGAAATAGAGATCCCACTGTTTGTTTGCACATCAGTGAAATCCACAGCCTGACTGGTGAAGTATTATGTGTATTTACAGTGTATGTGACTGGATTGTCAATCGCTTGGGAACCTAACAAGCTGTAATAATATTATTCCAGTGCAAGGTAAAAACAAGTAACAGATTAAATGAGGTGAGCAAAACAAAACGGTGCTAATAAATGATTTGAGCAGAAATAAAACAGTAGGAAAATCAAAACAAGTATAACAGTACAGTGCCTCATATCGAGAATAAATATCATGAAAGATGTAAATATTGATTTGATTTCAATACTGTTTATAAAAAGAAAATGTTATTTTTTTTTTTAGTAAACAAACATGTAGATATTGAAGACATTAAACTGGCCGCTCAATGGTCGTCCTAGTATAGGTTAGTATGAAAACTCCTAGAACCCTCAGCCAAATTAACCCTTGACAAGGTAACGGGTACGTGGAGGCACAGATCTCACTGAATAAGTGATTGGTATACAACGATGCTGGATACCCAATGCTACTCGACCCCAGATCACAATTGAATTTCATACACCTCCTCTTTCTACATCATTAAAATAGTCATTTTATTTATCTTATATGCATTTATTTTAGTTGGAAAGGGAATTTTATACACTTTTCCACTGCTGTGCTGTGTAGTAGATGCGATAAAATAAGCCCATCATATATACATGGCTATCTACAAGCAACTTTACAATAGGAATGATCAATAAGTCTTATAGCTAAATATTTCCCTCATTCTGCACATGTTGAACAACTATGAATTATTAAAAGAGGGCTGTACATAGTCTTGATTATTCATTTCTGCTTAAGGTACGGATTGCACAGATTTCCAATTTTAATAGTGATAGTAAGAAGCATAAAATTAGAAAATATAATGAAAAAGAAGATGGGGTAGAACACTATCATGGTTGAATACATCTATTAAGGAGCATATTGGGTGATAAGAGGCCCCATTAAAGGAAATACGGTTGGTGGAGAAAACTTTAATAAGGACCTAAAATAAGGTAGAATTGAAAAAGGTAGCTGTAAGCAGATGAGTAAGAGTGCAATAATTGATAATAAGGTTAAAACTTTCTTAAATGCACCTTTGCCAGGCTGTATGCTCTGTGAGTAAAAAATCAGGCAAAACCTGTAAGAGTTATGACTGCTGGTTAGGATATTGTGAATAATACTTTAAATGGTACCTCTTTCCCCATTTCATCCATGGTTCTCCACAGATTGTTGTAATCCAAATAGACAATTGGGTTCCACATAGGAGGAAACGGACCTTGGAAAGGATAGGATTTACCCTGAAACACATAAAGATATAGATTGATTTGTAAAATGTCTTGATACAAAAAACTTTTGCAATTTAGTTTATTTCACCATTTGATGCAACACAAATAGTAAGGAGACTCAATATGATATTATTTTGATTGCTTGTGTATATATATCTCAACCGGTAGAATAATATAGTATGTTAGGTATTACACCACGGATATGCTTTTAACTTTTTTTTGCACTCTTGACATCACAGTTGTTTGTACTAAATCAGTAATTCTGGCGACCAAGTGGTCTGCATATGGCCCACAGGGAAACCCATATTTACTCAGACTTAACTATATCTATTGTGTTATGTCACCTGTATGTGAATGCAGGGATTTCAACAATTACACAACAGAGTACCAATTGGAAGGATCAGTATTGAAAACTTATTAAAATATTCAGTTCTAGAATACAAACAATTTTTAGATTTTAAGACAGACATATGCATTGACAATGGGACTTGAATTTTTGGAATCCTGGGATCCAGGATTGTAAGAGCCAGTCTTGTAATTATAGGCAATCTCACCTCAGTTTTGGGGTAATATTGTTTGCTCTTGCAAGCAGTAATATGATGGCATACCAGTGAAATATTTTATGGGAAGGAGTTAGTTTAGTAGCCTCCTCCTTCCTCTCGTTCCTCACACGTTACCTTAAATTTAGCCAAGAGGAGACAATCTCTTTGCTCTGCCTTGGAGTCCTAAAACACATGTGCAACAATCACCATGCTCAGCCAATAGAATGCTTCTCGTAGAGAAACACTGAAACCAACACTACTGAGATTCCCTTACTTCCACTTTGAGCAATCAGCGAAAAAAGAGACTCAAGGGACAGGACAACCTGGCCCTGAAGTCAGAAAGGGACTAAGTGGGTAATATGGGCATAACCCAGATAATTTAGAAGAAAAGGGAGGATACCTTGAATGGATATGTTGAGAATAGGAATCCAGGTGCAAAATCACACGGATATCGTGTCTCAAACAACCACACAAGGTTTTACCCACATATTGAGTAGAAACTTAATTGGAAAGTTTAAAGTGTTTAATAATCGATATCCTTATTATATATGTTAGACTAGGCACAAAACGTGAAACAAAAATAAATGAGTGCAAAAAACTGTGCTAGTGACTTAAAAAAGGGAAAAGCTAATTCTATGATAGCCCCATATATATCTTATAGATAACTATTGTAGAGATAGCCAAATAAAAAGTAGCTTATATAAATAACCCGACACACTGTATGAGGTATCAGTATTGAAAGGATAGCTAATAGTATCAATATGCTGCAAACAAGTGTTTGTTTTCACCCAGGCTAACAGTTTCCATTTAATCAGCTTTAAATATGCATAAGGGTGGGAGCAGATAGCTGTATAGGATTTAGAAAGGTCTGACAGCAGGGGAGTGGAGAACACTAAGGGACAGGATGGGGGAGTTCTGAGGGGTGGGCAGAGCCCTAAGAGGCAGGGGGGCAAGGGAGAGCACTAAGGGACAGGAGGTGAGCGGAGATCACTGAGGGACAGGAGGGGAGGGGAGAGCACTAATTGACAGGACGTGAGGGGAGAGAACTTAAAAAGAGCTGCTCCCCTCTCAACCCCTATCCTACCCCACAAACCCTCTCTTTCAAACTACACACATACACAGTGCATTCTTACACATACACAGAAACATGCAATGCATCCATACACACACACACACACACACAGAAACATACAATGCATTCCTACTCATACAGAGACACACCGAAACACACAGTGCATCCTTTAGGCACACACACACTGCTTCTCTTACACACACACAGAAATAAAATGTATCTCTTACACACACTCAATGCACCCCTTACAGACACATACTGCATTACATTACATACACAGAAAAACACCTTTCATCTCTTACACACACACCCAGAAACACACAATGCATTCCTCACACACTACATCCCTTACACATATTGGTATCCCTATACACTACATGCAATAAGAACACACACACACATTACATCCTCTACAATAACACATAACACATCCCCTACACACATGCACTCTACTCCCTGTGAACGAACTCAGGTGTGGGCCATGTAGGTGGACTTATGGGTGGGCCTTGTAGGCATACTCATGGTCAGGCACTGGGTGCCCAGACCTTGAGCTGTGTAAGGGGCCCCAAAAATGGAGCTGCTTCCTGTTCATTGATTTTTGTGAACACTGTTACAAACAGTCTCCAGAGATCCTCTTCTACACCAGACCAGTGGAGCCAGACTGCAGCCTGAGCCCATCATCATTCTCTAGTCCTCATCTGGTGGTAAGTAGGCAATCCAATATATTGTTAGTGGCACTAATCTCTAATTTACCTCACATTAAAGGGCCACTATAGTCACAAGAAGCACTACAACTTAATGTAGTGGCTCTGGTGTCTATAGTCTGTGCCTGCAGGCCTTTTAATGTAAACACACTGCCTTTTCAGATAAAAGACACAGTAGCAGCACTGGCATTGGCCCATATGGCAGAGCATGTGGCAGCTAATTTTTTTTTGCCTAGAGCGGCAAAAATCCTTGCACCGGCCCTGCTAGGGCAGCAAAAATCCTTGCACCGGCCCTGCACAGTGGAATCCCTAAAACCCTAATTTTCATTAGATAAGTTATTTTAAGCAAAGATATATAATATCTAATACATTATAAATTATTTTAAATCATTTTTGTTTGCACCAGTAGCAGAATGACCCTTTTCCCTTTGTTCGGATGTCCGTACCCCTCGTTCGTTTACTGAACTACCATCTGTGTTATCCCTGAGTTCAGTTATTTTAACTCCCCTGGCTGTTAACCACAAATTGCTCATTAAAGAAGGATTCCCCCTTGTCTCTCGAACGTGGGCAGCGGTATATGGCCATCGACGGCCTGGAACTAATTTTGGCTACTGGACCCCGCAAAACACCTGGTAAATTATTACCACTGCCCATTCAACTTCCCGAACCAGTAGGAGAACGGTGTTCGGGAGACCTAAACTACCGAACAAGGGGGAACATTCATATGTTAGGGGGAGACTTCATCTGCATTCGTGCGAGAACTCAGAGAAGACTGGTCAAAGCCTAAAATCCTCTGGAACTATTTTGGGGCTTCACCTCGTGGTCGACCAGTCTAAACTTCACTCGAATGGCGTTCATAATCTACCTAACGGGTCTGAGTGATAGATCCCTGCTATTCAGTGAACTAACTTTCGTGGAGTTCTGAAATATTAATATGTATGTTATATGGTTTTACAATATTGTGTATTTTCTGTACCTGGGAGATAATGTAATTAAAGAGTTGTTCTTACTCAATTATCTCCCAGGCACAGAGGAGGAGTCTGTGAAATGTTGCTTTGTCCCCTGTCCCCAACAAGATCCACCAGGGGAAAAACCCTGGGGTGTAATTTAAGAAACCCCTTGCATAAAAGCCAGCTGTGGCTGAATAAAAATCTGTTGACTCCCAGAACTGCGTGTCATCCAGTTACTGGGGAGATTGTGCCTTGGATATCATATTGCTTCCTCAGCTACAAGGAGTCTACAGCGGAGATAGTGATGCTGAATATTGGAGTTTGGCTACAGCACCCATTCCTATTTGTATATTCATTTATATTCATATAAGCAGCACTACCATTAAAAAAATGCACGCTCTGGGTAATTCAACACAAATATTGTTTATCTTGTTGTGAGTCATCAGCAACGTCATCTGAGAGTAGTTTGTTGTTTTATCGATGGCAATTCAAGGCCATTAGCGCCTTCTCTAACTATGTTCAGTTCAATGGACATAAGAGAGACTAAATTTTGTTGCCACTTGTATTTGCTGCAAATCCATGCTGGACTAAACCAATAAATCCCCAGCTGTTTGGAGATATTAGCATTAATAATAATATTTAAATTGATTATGATTTTTGATCCAAGCATGTAATGTGCTGTAATAGAAACTCATGAACCAGTACTGTTTAAGTTTATAGTGTCAGCCAAACGACAACTTTTAATTTCAGTGTCTCTTATAGTAAAAACAAAAGGGAATTGGGGGCACAACCAAAACATGCATCTTGCAGGAATGGTACTGCTGTAGTGACCAATATTTATACATAATACAGATTAGGAACAGTGCATTCATGAAATACTTTTCTAAATTCGATGTAAGCAAACAAATACGAGGATTCAGTTCCAACATATGGCCATATTGTGTTAAGCCCTTATGACTCAACCATGTCATTGTTTTTATTACACTGCCATTTACATTGATGCTGTTACAATGAAGACGCTAAAATAGGACTCAATTAAATGTGTTTGATTTAGTATCAGAAGTGATTCTAATCTGTTAGAAAAAATTGCTTTTTATTTTATTAATCTACAGTCACCATTAAAGTCTATGGGAATTTTAATACATGAATCATTTAAAATATATTTTTCTTTTTAACGTGGCATTGTTACAGCATTGCTGTTAACTATGGTGACATTTAAATATAGACTTTTCAGAAGTGAATCAGTACAATATATAAAAATTGTTCTGGCTTTGTCATACACAGTGTCACTGAAGGGGATATCATCAAACTATGCTACCAGCATATCCGCAGGTGTGCAAGTATACGTTACATTAACTTTAACGCATTTTCTTTCTTATGTTCATGCACTAATGTGAATTGCAAATTCAATTCCATTTACTTAGCATGGAAGTAGTCATTAGATGGCGCCATAAGCAAATATATTCTGCATGAGACAGTAAATCCGTATAGACCAATGCTGAAACTAGAGGTTTGATATAGTCCAATCTAACATTATGTACACTGAATATCAATGCTCAAAACTATCCACAAAAATGGTAAAATAGCTGTATGATGTTTTGAATAGCTATAGCTTAGTTAATAAGTAATAAAAGGCTGCAGTATGGGTTGTGCAATATTTATTTCAAGTGCCACCATTTGCTCTTAATCTCAAGATTTTGAAGATTCTGCAGTGACCTTTACCTAGTAATGAAAGCGACATTCATGATAAGTCATCAATCACTATCTTTTGAAATTCTAGGTACATCCCTGAACAGCAATGCTTTATGGGCACAGCAAAGGTTTCTGGTATTTGCAGTTCAGTGTCATGTTTCCACCATAAGGTCTATAAGGTATGTGTGGAAGGTAAGTAGCTATGATGCTTGACATCTTCTTCTTTGTGAAATTCTTTTGTTTTCTGCAAGGTAATGTAGATAAGTTCTGCAGGGACCAGGAAGTGGATGAGAACTGTCAGCCAATCCTGGTCTGCCATAGTTTCACTGAGATTCTCACTCTGGGCATATTCTATATGTTGCTGCTCAACTATTTAGCTCATAAGTCGTTAGTAGTTACATTCATGAAACAGTTCTGCAAGCTGATTGCATTCTCAGCACTACTTCTATTAGCTTGCTGATTTGCGTCTTTCCTGATTTCTCATGTACATGACTACTATACTGGAAGGAGAATGCCTAGTCTTTATTTGTGATGTCACAGAATGGGGGGATTTTAACTGCAGAGACTATTTCCACATTCGTTGGATTTAGTGAAGTCATTAAGAAAAAAAATAAAAATTCTGATAAAAAAGTTTATTCAGAAGTTTATATAACGCTAGCTAGACATGTGCATTTGTTTCAGACATTTACGCCGATCATCTGTTTAACTGAGCTACATATCTCAGAAGCGCATATATTTTGGAGACCACGGATCAAACCATTTTCATCCTTTTTGGTTTATATGAATTGTTTTCCAGAATATTTTATTTATGGAAAATACTTGGACGCAATAAACTGCCAAATCAATGAGTGTCGGAATGCCCTAACTAAATTTAATTTAAAAAAAAAAATGGTTTGGCCGAATTAGAATTGCCATGCACAAGTCTAATGCGAGCCAAAAACATTGATAATGGCTCAGAATACCCACAGCCTGCTAGTCCAGGGGTAGGCAACCTTTTAGCAGCACTGTGCCGATATAGGATTGTGATGTCCCGTAGCGTGCCGATCCTCAGGCTCGTCGCTACCAGGCAAGCTAACCAAGCAATTGCTTGGGGCCCCGAGCTGGCCTGGGCCCCCAAGCAGGGCTGCCGCTTCCTATAAGGCTGCAGCCGCCTGAGCGCTCTATAGAGAGCCTCAGACGGCTGCAGCACTGCCTCTCTCGTCACCTCCCCTTCCCTGTAGTGTGGCCGAGCTCCTCTTCCTCCTGTCAGTCCGGCCGGGTTCCATGCGGTACAGGAGAGTCAGTTTCCTGTTCCTGGCCGGACTGACAGGAAGTGCACCCTGAGCTCGGCCACGCTACAGGGAAGGGGAGGTGAGAAGAGAATAGGGGGGGGGGAGTAAAAAGAACATAGGCAGGGGAGTAAGAAGGACACGGTGAGGAGTAAGAATGACACGGGGAGGGAGTAAGAAGGACACAGGAGGGTGGGAGGGAGTAAGAAGGACACAGGGAGGGTGGGAGGGGAGTAAGAAGGACACAGGGAGGAGGGGAGTAAGAAGGACATTGGGAGGGGAGTAAGAAAGACATAAGGAGGGGAGTGAGAAGAACATGGGGAGCGGGAGAGTAGTAAGAAGAACATAGGGGGGAGGAGTAAGAAGAACATGGGGGCAGTAAGAAGAACATAGGGAGGGGGGAAGGAGTAAGAAGAACACAGGGAGGGGGAGGAGTAAGAAGAACACAGGGAGGGGGGTTGAGGAGATGAGGAGAACACATGGAGGGGGAGGTGAGGAGAAGGGGAGATTAGGAGAACACAGGGAGGGGGAGGTGAGGAAAAGGGGATATTAGGAAAAAACAGGGAGGGGTGAGGTGAGGAGAAGGGGAGATTAAGAGAACACAGAGGGGGTGAGGAGAAGAGGAGATTAGGAGAACACGGGGGGGTGAGGAGAAGGGAAATGAGGAGAACACGGGAGGGGGTGAGGTGAAGGGGAGATGAGGAGAACACAGGGAGGGGGGTGAGGAGAAGGGGAGATGAGGAGAACACAGGGAATTTTCAATTGTTGAAAATGTCCAAATTTTATGCACATTATATGCAACAGCAGTATTTGCACTGTAAACATTTTTTATTTATGCACAGTATATGCAACAGCAGTATTTGCACTGTAAACCTTTTTTATTTATATAAAGTGTGGGTGAACTTAAACTGTATGGCTATGCTGTGGTTCCTGTAGGCTTTGCGTGTGTGGGGGGGGTGCCTCCATGTCCATTTTGCTTGGGGCCCCCAAATTCCTTCAAACAGCCCTGCCGATCCTATTTTTTTTAAATTGAGGTGTGTGTGCCGCCGTATTTTACTTGTGTTATTTATACTGTAATTGCTTTGTATCGTTGTATTTGTGCGTATATGAGCTATTATATTGTATATGTTCATTAGTAGTTAATGGTATCGTGTATGATACATATGAATGTGGGCTGTGTCTGAGGGCTGCTTGTGGAATTGTGTGTGGGTGGATATGTCACATTGTGTGTTTGGTAGTGTATGGGGGCTGTTTGGGGTTTTGCATGTGAGAGGCTGCATGTGGGATTGTGTGCATGTATGTAGATTGTTAGTGGTGTTGAGTTTGTGGGGATTTTGTGTATGTTTGTGTGTGGGCTGTTCGTATTATTTGTATGAGGGGAGGCTTATTCTGCAGGTCTGTGTATATCTAGCAGTGTGGGTGGCTTCCCTGGGTTCCAGTGGGGACCAGCCTGGGCAGGTACAGGTCAAGGACAGGAGCTGCAACATCAGCTGTGGGCTGCTCTACTACAGTGTGGATTCCCATTCACAAGTGATGGGAGGAAATGATCTGAGATCACTTCCTCTAAGTGCTGCAATGCATAAATTGAGGATTGTCCTTCACTACCTCTTTGTATTAGCAGATATCTGAAGTTTCACTGAGACTCCTGATAGGCCAGACCCTGTTTGGCTCTAGCAGCCTTGAGTGCCGTGGAAAGACACCTCGAGTGTCGTGCATGGCACTAGTGCCGTAGGTTGCCTACCCCTAGTGTCAACTGATGCAATCAGTCAATGAATGTCCCAAGCTACACAAAACCGCAGTATGAATTTTCACTGTAGAATATCAGTGCGACTTAAGGACTGAGTGCTCGACACAGCAAGGTAAGTATTGTACCACTTGTAAATAGTTTTCATTTAGACAATTAGCATTGCATTTAGTTTTATGAAAGACTTAACATCCATATTTTATATCATGTGGCTTCAACGTAATGTCAGAAATAAAAAGGTGTAATTTGTCTTTAACACAATAGATAATACACAAATAGTACAATGTGATGTTCAAACCACTTAATTTACACATAAGTGAAAAAATATGTGCATATGAATAAAATGCAAACAATACAATATAAAAGTGCACTATACCAATAGTGCAAATAATACAACAAAGTGTTATAATTTACTGTACAAAAACAGTGAAAAGTGAAACAATCCACTTACATTAGTATGTATTCTCATACAATGAATTAAGCAGGTAAAAAGCTTCAATTTAGTATCACATGTAAAACAGAACAAGGGACACAAAATAATATTTTCTGAATTAAATTGAGGCCATGGTGTAATACACAAGAGCATTAAACACTGTTGCATGGAAAAGGTTTTTAGCTACAGAGGACTGCTCACTCATACTGTAAGTATAATGCATAGGCAATAATTCCCATGAATGAGACTGTCGCTTGAATAATGAATATTCTGAATATGCAATGGGGCAATAGATTTATTCAATGGGGCAATTATGTAATATTGTGAATGAAAACATGAATTTCCCCTGCAATTACCCCAAATGTAATAGATTTTACAACAAAGACATTGATTTAATATTGTTGGATAAGCATTCCAATTTTAGAAAGCTTTTAAAATATCTTCAAAAATATATCATATATAAAATATATCTCAATATATAAAAAAATCAGGATATTACACAATTTAAATATTTATCATAATATAAAATTATTTTAAAAATGTTTTCCAAAAATATACATTCATTTGAAACGCTTATCCAACAATATTAACTTGAGACCAAAATGTCTTTAAAAAGTGAAGAAATGTTCCTGAATATGCTCATTTATTATATAGTCCGTAGACAATACTATGTAAAAAATATATAATTATAAACACATTGCTAAAATAAAAATTAACATAAATGTAAAAATGATGTAAAAATGAGTTCTTCAGATTTGTTTTATAACTTACATTTTGGAATTTATTCCTACCTTAACATGATGTATGAGTTGCTGCTCTTCATTTACTTTATACGTTTCCACTCCAAATTCCTTAGCAATTCGAAGGATTCGATTCTGAGTTGGCCCTACGTATGCACCACCAAGGTCTACATATTTTACCTTTTCATTCTAGTAAAAGAGCAGAATAGTAATGTTGCTTCATAAGAAACCATGTAAAGAGGGCTGCAGTTTTTAACATTATATTGCTCTATTCTGATAATGTGTGCAAGAAACAGTCGATAAAACTAAATAAAATTATTAATAACTAAGCAGGCCCGGTTTGCCCGCTGGCCAGTCTCGGCCCGCTGCTATCTACACTTTGTTCACACAAACTACTATGCACACTACTGCAATTACTGCCACTGCTCACACTATCACACACATGCACATAAACATTTACACAAACATACTGTACATACTGCTACACACACTGTTACACATATGCTGACACCTCTGCACTACTACACAAACTGTTACACATATACTGACACCTCTGTACTACTACACACACTGTTACACATATACTGACACCTCTGTACTACTACACACACTGTTACACATATACTGACACCTCTATACTACTACACACACTTTTACACATATACTGACACCTCTGTACTACTACACACACTGTTACACATATACTGACACCTTTGTACCACTACCCACACTGTTACACATATACTGACACATCTGTACTACTACACACACAGTTACACATATACTGACACCTCTGTACTACTACACACACTGTTACACATATACTGACACCTCTGTACCACTACCCACACTGTTACACATATACTGACACCTCAATACTGCTACACACACTGTTACACATATACTGACACCTCTGTACTACTACACACACTGTTACACATATACTGACACCTCTGTACTACTACACACACTGTTACACATATGCTGACACCTCTGTACTACTACTACACACACTGTTACACATATACTGACACCTCTGTACTACTACACACACTGTTACACATATACTGACACCTTTGTACTACTACACACACTGTTACACATATACTGACACATCTGTACTACTACACACACTGTTACACATATACTGACACCTCTGTACTACTACACACACTGTTACACATATACTGACACCTTTGTACCACTACCCACACTGTTACACATATACTGACACATCTGTACTACTACACACACAGTTACACATATACTGACACCTCTGTACTACTACACACACTGTTACACATATGCTGACACCTCTGTACTACTACTACACACACTGTTACACATATACTGACACCTTTGTACCACTACCCACACTGTTACACATATACTGACACCTCAATACTGCTACACACACAGTTACACATATACTGACACCTCTGTACTACTACACACACTGTTACACATATACTGACACCTCTGTACTACTACACACACTGTTACACATATGCTGACACCTCTGTACTACTACTACACACACTGTTACACATATACTGACACCTCTGTACTACTACACACACTGTTACACATATACTGACACCTTTGTACTACTACACACACTGTTACACATATACTGACACATCTGTACTACTACACACACTGTTACACATATACTGACACCTTTGTACCACTACCCACACTGTTACACATATACTGACACCTCAATACTGCTACACACACAGTTACACATATACTGACACCTCTGTACTACTACACACACTGTTACACATATACTGACACCTCTGTACTACTACACACACTGTTACACATATGCTGACACCTCTGTACTACTACTACACACACTGTTACACATATACTGACACCTCTGTACTACTACACACACTGTTACACATATACTGACACCTTTGTACTACTACACACACTGTTACACATATACTGACACCTCTGTACTGCTACACACACTGTACACACACTCAGGGCAAAACACACGACGGCGCAAACGAGTTTACATATACACCGCTAAAACACACACTTCTACACATGCTGCTACACCTACTGTTACACACACTGCTGCACTCTACACAAACACACACTAAAGAAAAAAAAAAGGCATGTCTCCCCCCCCCAAAAAAAAAATCCCCCCAAAATCTCTTCCATAATTCCCCAAATTTCTTGCATAATTCCAAGTGCAACAGAATTAAGGGATTATTTTTAAAGTAACACGTGTAGATCAGCAAATCATATTTGATATATATATATATATATAATATTCTAGCTTATAACAAGAAATTTTATTTTTATTAGTGAGATATGTGTAAAATGACACCCCTTTCTGAAAACACTCAAATTAATTTATAAAAATTATACAATATAATAACTATCTCTATAAGGAGAGTATTACTACACAGTGCCTGAAAGATAAAAGCAGCTCAACACTAAAAGTAGAATACCCTTTACCCACAATAAAATATAAATATACAGAAAAAAGGTATAAATATTATACCAAACAAGTGGAGCGCTATAAGTAATAGAGGGATACACTCACCCCATTAATACAATGACAATCCTGAATATTTATGCTTGGATGTACATATAAAAGGAAACAGAAAGAAAAAAAAAATATATAGTGCAGATGGTTCCAAAAAGTAGACAAGTGATGGTAATAAATGGCTGAAACCACTCACATGGACGGGAGCCTATGTAATATTGGCTCCGTAACCAGATCCTTTATGCTCTTTGGGCAGCAAACACACCCCTTTGTCCCAAGTAGTACTCTTCCAGGGATATATAACAAAACAAGAAAACAAAACTGGCTGTGTAGAATGGCACAAACTGTAATAGTGGTATAAATAAAAATGGTTGTGCTCACCTTTGCCAGAGCCCTGGAATCCCGGCTCTGAGGTTAATGGACAGTGTGCTTTTTTGGGATAGCACTCTCCCAAATGAAGTTCCTGATGGCTAGGAAGGACTATGGACTAAAGTGTAAAGTAATAACATTAAATTTATTAGCAGTATAATAAAACAGTATAATTTTACTCTAGAAAATAAAAAAGTCCAATTAAAAGTCCATTTTCAGTAGTGTGTTCCATTAGAAGCACTACCACTGCCGTAAAAAGTACTCCTATATTAACTTCCGCCTAGACCCTCCTTCCCTGAATATTGGTTCTGGTTTGTATTCTGCCTCGGGAGGAGTGTCCGGTGAGGCTGGCGGAACCACTCCCCCCTGTTGGCGCCCGTTTTTTTTTATAGTAATGCAGCAATATAGCCAGTTCTTTAGAGGCGACGCAGCGGAGCGACGAGCCCGAATGGGCATATTTTTTTTTACCTTTTTTTGCTTATTTTAGAGACTTTTGTGTCAGTGTTGGAGGGCGGGAGTGGCAGGCGGATTCATCCAAACTGTCACTTCCGCCAACCATTAATACTACTGGATGCCCTATTATGTTAGCACCAATGAAAATTGTGCAATTAAGCAATATTGATGATTGACAACAATGTTTGCCAATGAAGACCTCTACCACAGGTGTCTTTCCCAGCATATAATTTAGGGGAAAAGACTGCTTGTGTGATTGGCTAATTGTATACCACGTGACCCTAAAAGGAGGACCCACATGGACTCTCAAACATTTAAAAAGAAGAAGGATTCCTGAGGATATCATGCAGCTACTGAGGAAGCTCACAGAGTGAAACGCGTTTAGCTGATTTTTTTGACTTTTAATTGGACTTTTTTTATTTTCTAGTGTAAAATGATACTGTTTTATTGTACTGCTAATAAATTTAATGCTATTACTTTACACTTTAGTCCATAGTCCTTCCTAGCCATCAGGAACTTCATTTGGGAGAGTGCTATCCCAAAAAAGCACAGTGTCCATTTACCTCAGAGCCGGGATTCCAGGGCTCTGGCAAAGGTGAGCACAACCATTTTTATTCATACCACTATTACAGTTTGTGCCATTCTACACAGCCGGTTCTGTTTTCTTTTTTTGTTATATATCCCTGGAAGAGTACTACTTGGGACAAAGTGGTGTGTTTGCTGCCCAAAGAGCATAAAGGATCTCTTTACGGAGCCAATATTACATAGGCTACCGTCCATGTGAGTGGTTTCAGCCATTTATTACCATCACTTGTCTACTTTTTGGAACCATCTGCACTATATATTTTCGTTTTCTTTCTGTTTCCTTTTATATGTACATCCAAGCATAAATATTCAGGATTGTCATTGTATTAAAGGGGTGAGTGTATCCCTCTATTACTTATAGCGCTCCACTTGTTTGGTATAATATTTATACCTCTTTTTCTGTATATGAATATGTAAAAATTCGCTAACATTTTACTGGAGTATTTCCCCAAAGAATGCACAAATTCTAATTAACCAAAACCAAGTTTCATCCATCCTGATAACAGATGAATATTTATTTTTCAGATCCAGGTACAGAGTGGTAACCTATAAGAACCAAAACAAAACAACAACAAAAAAATACTTCAATTGCATTTTGTTATTATGGTGCTTATACTGTTCCTTTAACAGAATATTTTAATTTAATTGAATATTGTATTTTTTTCTCAATATATGATTATTACATGATGAATTATATCTTCAAATCTAAAAAGCATATTGTTTGATTCAGCATCTCACCTGGACCGTAAAAGTTCTTCCTCCAACTCTGTTTCTTGCCTCTAGCACTACTACACTGAGTCCTGACTCTACCAGCAATTTAGCGGCGGAAAGACCTAAAAAGGAAGCCAGTATATTGTTAATGCACATATAGCATGCATGCAATATTTATACCTAGATGTTTGTTTCATGGAAGACAACTATACTGTAAAAATATCTGTAGTTACAACGTATCTCGTTTGTGAGCAGGAAGTCAAGACTTTATGGGAGCAGTTCAAAACATGTGGTTTACAGCAGTATATTTGTCACAATGTTTCTTTTGATATTTAGAAACAAAATACCTTTAAAGGGTTACTCCAAGTACCATGATGATGTCAGTGAGCATGTGCCGTGTCAATAAAAAGGGAGCGGAGTTACAGCAACCAGCGTTCAGAATGCTGGTGGAGGAAGAGGGACCATCAGGAAGCCCACAGAATGTCTGCAGACCAAGTACCATGATATCTTAAAGGGACACTATAGGCAACAAAACAATTTTAGGTTTTTGTTGGTGTATAGATCATGCCTCTACATGTCTCACTGCTTAATTCTCTTCCATTTAGGAGTTAAATCATTTTGTTTTCGAGGTCCTAGTCACACCTCCCTGTATGTGACCTAAACTTCCTAAACACTTCCTGTAAAGAGAGCTCTAATGTTTAAACTTCCTTTAATGCACAGTGTGTTTAATTTAAAATGTCTTATCACATGCTAGAGCCTACAGGAGCATCATGTGTGATTAAAGCTCAATTTACAGAGCAGGAGACAAAAAAACATTTTTTTTTTCACACAGGCTGTGCCAGTTGCAGCCTGGGGAAGTTTGACTAGGGCTGCATAAACAGAAACAATATACACAAAAACTGACTCATTAAGCGAAAGTTGTTTTGATGCTTATAGTTTCCCTTTAAGTGATTTCAAGTTGTCATGGTGCCTGGAGTCTGTAAATGCAACATTTTGTTATGAAGTGCTGCCCAAGATTTAGTTCCCTCAATAATCAAGTCTTGTCTGTCAGGGTACCTTGTACTGTGGTGCCTGAGACACAGCCTGAGGGAGGTCTGCAGACCCTGATGGTCCTCTTTCCTCCACCAGCATTCTGAATGCTGGTTGCTGTAACTCTGCTCCCTTTTTATTGGCACGGCATATGCTCGCTGACATCATGGCATCAATGATGTCGTGCAACTTGAAAAGATGCATTTGCAAACATTTTGGGACTGTGGCTACCTAATTAAGGGGCCACACTATAAATAGCTAGGTAGGGCTTAGTTCTATGCCCTGTTGTGGCTCTGTTTTGGTTCTCAGTAGCATGTTATTTATCTATTGCCTATCTGGTTTTGATCTTATTTATTGTTGACTATATTCATATCTATACTCCCTGACTCAGCTATTTTACCCTCCCATCTGGTTTCCCTGACTTTTCTCTGATTATTCTCTGTTTTCTGTATGTTAAGCTCTAAGGTCCCATATATGTTTTTTCTATATTAGCTATATTAGTCTATAGTTTAGACTCTGTGTATTCTGTCTACCTAAATTCCTGACATTGTCCTCTTGTTTTATTACATATTTTCTTTAGTAAGCAACCATAAAACTTGGGGGAAAAACATTTTGTGTGTGTGTGTGTGTAAATATTTATGCTAAGTGTTAGACTTGGTGTATGTGTCCACAGTGGTGTATCCTGGTTTTGTGCTGACCTCAATTTCTCTGTTCATGCCACCTCCCTCGTTTCCGTTTTTTTTTTGTATTTCTTTTCTATAACCTTTGCTTTTTCTATTCAAATGTCCTCTGTTTTAGTCACCTGGTGATTTTTTATTTATTTTGAAAGCCTAGAATCTATGTTTCATTGTATGCATTATCTGTCTTATCACTTTGTAAATTAAGTAAGCAGGGATGGATAATACTGTAATGTCTTCTACATATAGCATATGACGCTGTAATCTATGCTAGTAACCCAAGCTACAGCAGCTTGAGGCTGTGCTCCAAAACCAATTCACAGGAGGTAGAAAAGTGGATTGCAAAAAACAAACTCTTCCTAAACACTGACAAAACTGTCACAATTATATTGGGAACTGTAACTAAATTACGTAAACTACAAAATCAACAATTGTGTATCAGAACAAATTCAAATATCACACTGACCGCAGTCTGCTGTTTTAAATATCTAGGTATGTTGCCAGACCCCAATCTATCCTTTGGCCTTCACATTGAAAAAAATCTCTTCAAAACTTTACCCAAAACTAGGTGCCCTGTACAGAAACAAATCCTGCCTAAGCCCTAAAGTAAGGAAACAGATAGTGCAACAAATGCTAATGCCGGACATTGATTATGGGGATGTAGTGTATGCACCCGCACCGCAATCCCACCTTAATAAACTTAATACGTTATATAATTCATTCTGTTGCTTAATACTAGAATGTAATTACTTTACCCACCACTGTTACATGTTAAAAGAGCTAAACTGGCTGTCGCTGGAATCCAGACGCACTCTTCATCTTTCCAGCCTTGTGTATAAGAGCATTTCTGGGAAGCTCCCACCCTACCTGAGTAGAATGATCTCCCCATCTGTTCTCACCTCCTATAACCACCGATCCAGTACTAGCACGATATTTAGCATACCGCAATACAAAAATAAAGTGGCTCGAAAAAAAAAAAAATATATTATATTTTTGTAAGATTGTATCCTGTTGTAACAATGCAATGTTTTGTGGACCCAGGACATACTCGAAAATGAGAAAAATCTCAATGTATCCATCCGTGTAAAATATTTTATAAATAAATAAATATGTCATATACTTTTTTTTCAGTATTTTGTGTACCTATTGCTTTAATTGTTTTCAAAGTAAATCTATTTTCTTTGAACTGGAACAATTCTATTCTCTTGGCCTTGCTAATGTATGTCAATTTTATAGCATGACAGGAGGCTTCATATTTGCTTAAGTCTTTCTTTACTAGAACTCCAGAGCAGCACATTAACATAGAGATAAAAACACCAGAGACAAAAACAAATCAGGAATCTATAAAAGGCTTCTCCCAACTAACTATTTCCTCTTTCTTTGCTGCTCCGCAGTTAGTACAGGTCAGAGTACCACTGCCTCCTGTTTTATATGGGTGGTTGTGGATATTTTACTGTATTTATATGTTTATTACTATATTGATTTATTTGTTTAGAGGGTATTTTCTGCATCTACCTATTTAGTGCTCTAGGGATTGATTTATTTAGCTATACTGTATTTTCTGCATCTACCTTCTTAGTGCTCTAGTGATTGATTTATTTAGCTATACTGTATTTTCTACACCTACTTGCTTAGTGCTGTAGTGATTGCTTGATTGATTTATTTACTCTGTTTTTCTGCATCTACATTCTTATGGCTGCAGGGATTTATTTGTTTAGAAAATGTTCACATTCCTACTGCCATTATGATTTATTTATTTAGATTGTATTTTTCTGTCCCTACTTTCTCTTATGACTTTTCTGCATTTTCCTGTTTTGGGCTCACCTGTCTGGGGATAGTTTTTTTTCTCGGGTTTGGGGGGGTTTCCTTTTTTCCCTCCCTCCCCCTACCTTTTCCGGGTGGATTTGCCCCCTTCACTTTTCGTCCGTTTTGCAGCTGTCAGAAAGCGGTCCTCCGACCGGTTTCCGTTGCCGACCGCCGAGACCCCGGAGTAAGACGTGTTGGATCCCGTCCGCCGGCTCCGACCGCCGAGCGAGATCCTCTGCTTCCACCCCCCACCCGACCCACGCTTCCGCTTGTGGTAAAACTGCTCCCTCGGCGTGGGTCGGGTGGCGCAGGGGTGAAGGTACCCCCCCCACCATGGCCGCCCTAGCTGAATGGCGGGCGGACCGGTTCCCCTCGGAAGGAGAGGACGATGGGGGTGTGGATTATGATGACGGCCCCTAGTGGCACCATGAGATGTAGAACAAAGTCCACTACAGGGGCCCCAACGACCGTGGAAGAAGAGGTCACCTCGTGGATCACCTTAAATGAACCCCTGTTCGACCCTCGATCCATTGCTCACCTGGTTTCTTTGGAATGGTCTCTGCCCGATCACCTAGCACCATTGGTGCGTTTCTGGGCCCGTAGACCGCTGGCTTGAGAAGCCCGCAGGATAATTCGAGCGGTATTCCCAGCTGGGCTCCCGAACAAAGTAGCCGCAAACCCAGACTTAGACCCTGATGGGGCACTGCGGTTTTGCTGGTTAAGCACCTGTCTAGTATTCAGGAGATCCTGAGTGCGGCCCACTGCAGTGCCTATACTATTAAGTCTGCACTGGCAAGCCGATTGTTCTCCGCTACACGAGTGAGTTGTGCTAGCGGAACATACAAGGAAGTATAAGGTGTGTCCTTTTTTACATGGAAATACTTGACGGAGGCTTATCTCAGCTCCAACCCATACCTTTTTATAGGGGATTGGACCCTTGACCCGGAATTTCACACTTGCCTCCACTTTCGGATGACATCCCAGACGGGGCCCCGAGTCTGGGGTGGCAGACGACCCTATCCTAAACGCAATTTGGACCGCTGGAAGTGCTTGGGATAAAGGGATCTTAGCCCCTCGGAGTCCCAGCACAAGTCTACAATTGAACGTATATTCATTAGTTACTTTGAATTAGACGTGGCACTCAAGAAACTTCTAGGGTCCGCGAGGCCCAGTTCTGGTAAGGTGGCCTCTATTTTCTCCCTGGTGAAATGGGTATCTTGTGAATCAGTCATTTGGGCGACAATACAACCTGGTTGGCAGGTTGGGAGGAATTGAGGACATTCAGGAATACCAGAACTATCTGAAGAGGTCTTCTCTCTTTCCACACGTTGGGACCCGGACGTGACTCTTCATCGATATAGGACCTCTTGCTGTATGGTCTACCTGGACTGGCTTGCCGGACCCCCTGCGAGGTACCTCCCAGACTGAAAGGTCAGACGCTCCCTGCGTTTTCCCTTGTTAGAGTCCCTGGATTTCGTTTTCAACCAGGGAAATATCAACCTCCTCTACATCTCAAGGAGTGGAGTCCTGGAGGGCAGATTGGATGCAAGGGGGTACCGCCTACGCTCTCCTCTGCCTGAGTTCTCGTACGTATGTATTAGTTTTCTCTGGGAGGACCCGGCGTCAAGACTTTAGTCCACGGATGAGGATCCATCAGGCCCCGACCAGTTCGGCTGGATGAAGAACCAGTTTGCTCAGCGATGGACGCTTCCCTCCAGCAATGTTCGACACGGAGACGTGGACGAGTCTCCTCCATTTGTTTGGTCTCAGGACCTTTCTACAGGTGTCTCGGTCTGCTGGTACTTTGGAATTATGATCTCTGCTTTGGCAAAGTCGAACCTAGTTCCTGGATTCCCTGGACCCTTGCTCATTTGATCTCGGGGATTGTGAGACTTTGGTCTGCATGGCGACCCTGACGTAGTTGGGTCTGGTACAGATCTCCTAATTTTGCTACTGCTTTTACAGGGTTCGGTCACTTTATTACCGGGGACTGCCATATTAATTAGATTAGGTAGCGCGTACGACTGTTGTCGACGGTCGTCACTCTGCTTAGAATTCCCTTTATGATTCCTGAGGACAGGTATTCATCTCCCTAGGGGGTACACGCATTGTTGTCATGCTCCTATGCTGGGTTCTCTCGGATTTTGCCCATTCACTGATTCTGGATTTATTTCCATTATTATACCTTGTTTTTCTTTCAGATGGGTTCGGCGGTTCGGACCTTAGTTGTCTATCAGCCTTAGTCGGGCCCGAGGGTCATATTCTTACTTTGGTAGCGCTCCCACCGTTAGGCGGTGTTCAACGTCACCGTTTGTTTAAATGGTTCTTCCCTTTTTCTCGCCCTTCATGTACCACTTAGTTGTGGTTGGCATTGGCGGGGCGTATAGGTTTTTTTCGGTTCACTTCAGTCCGTAACACTGCGACTTCATGTACCGACATGGCGGGCATTTTTCTCCAAGACATTGTACGCTTTCCTGCCGGTTACGAGGAGCTATCTTCGCAGAGTTTAGGTTGGTACGGTGGATCAGGTTTCTTTGGTCTTTGCTGTCCGAGCGTTAAAACAGCAAATATGAAGCCTCCTGTCATGCTATAAAATTGCAGGTTATACTAGCTTTAGTGTAACTATAATCTTAATTTTATTAATGACAGGAGGCGAATATTTCCCTCCCAGTTTCTCCCTCCCCGTGTTGTTTGTTGGTTTGACTGCCTTTTTTTTCCACGTAATAATTCCAGATTGTCTGGCCACTTTTAAATATTGTTTGAAATGTCTCTGACATCTGTCTCTGCAGAATTTCTTTTACTATCCGTTTAGAAATGATTCATCCATTAAATTTTTTTTTACTAGCCTTCCGTGAGTTGTTCTAATTTTAAAACAGACTTTTTTTCACAGTGTGGATCTGTGTTGCTTGAAATCAATGTGTCCTCTTTTTTTCCTTTTACAAAAAGTTCAGATTTTAATAGACATACTTGAAATCTGCACTTTTTGCAAAATTGTAAAATAGGACTTACTCGTCACTCATAAAGCTTGTCAGCAAGCTAAAGTGCTTTAAGGATCTGGACTGTCCTTTACGGCTTTTTATTTTATGTGCCTAGTATTTGTAGCCTGTGTTAAGATGTCTCCTACATTGTGATTGGCTAGACATAAGAATCATAATGCAGCACTGAGCAAATCATGTATGGATTTGGGGAGTTTTGAAATTATATTTAAGCAATGGGAAAATACGGAACTCTTTGAGAATTCTAGATTAATTGCTTAGTGCTGCATTTTTATTAGTTAGATGGAAACTCTATGGTAGGTATGCAATACACAGATGTATACATACATACATTTTATTTTTTGATGCCATAACTAGATCAAACGTATTGTTGTATTTGTTAACACTGTAAATGTGCAATAAATGATTGAACAAAAATAAACAGAGGGAATTATTGCAGACATTAGCAAATGTCAACTAAAAATGATGATTCTGCAGCTTGCAATTATGAATTTACTGTGACATTATCACATGTGAGTTTTACTGTGTAAAGGTCAAAATTACGTTAAGCAAGGCAGGAAATTACTTTAGACAGCTAGCTTTGAACCTTTCACTGTCAGATAAGGGCAATGTTTGATGTAGGTAAAGAGACATAGAAAGCAATCAAATACAGCAGCATGCAACCTTCTTTGCAAACGCATGTTGACTTTTATTGAATATATATATATTTATATATTGTAATTTATGTTTTTAATTTTTTATAAATGTGCTTTCTTGAGCTATTCATATATTTATTTATAGTTTTCATTATATGTGATTGTGACGAAGTGCCCTTCGCCACTTGGTACTGGAGAGGCCTGCTTGCCAGCCTCCTCCCCTGTGACTATGACTCTTTGATGTATTTGCCTTTAAAGCCCCTAGTCTACCTTCAGACAGACTATTTATGTAGGCTGCTTTATTTATCTTATGTTTTAGTCACCCTGTACCCATTATAGGTGCAGGGTGTGTGTAATGTAATTGTTTATAGTGTGTGTGTGTACTGTGTAATGTATTGCCTGCTCTCTTGTATTGCTGAGGTTTGCTACCAACTAGGTGGGTTTGGCTATGGAGCTGGTCTAGTGCCCTCTGTTGGTAGCAACAGCAATATGCACTACCTGAATTGCAAGACTGGTTCATTTGCATATTCGGGTAGATTTGCATATTGCTAATTCTGCAGGCAGGTGAGATATTTACTGTTAAATATTGTCTCCCCCCACCCCTTTAAAAATGTGCCATTGTGTTGTGATAAGTCAATGTGTGTTTCTTGATATGGTTTGAGTGTTTGTGATTTTATTGAGGTTTCACAACAATGTTATTGTGGTGACTGTATTGGCTGGTTCCAAGGGAATAAAGGTTTTGACAGTTCTTCTTGATCCCTCTAAATGTAGCCTTGTCTCGTTATTGGAGGGAGCTGTTATAATCACACTGGGGATTGCTATGCTCTGCATGCTCCCCTGAGCTTGAGTCACTTAGCTCTTTTAAGAGCTTGTTCCTGACATGCTCTCCTTGGAGGAGGGGTCTTCACCACACAGTCCTGGATGCTGGAGGTTCGTACAGGGTGGAAGGAAGAGTTCTTTCCCACACAGTCCTGGAGGACGGAAGCTGATCCAGTGTGGAAGGAAGACGGCGAGACTCCAGTCAAGATACGGCGGTTGCGGAGTCTGCGGTGGTTGTGGTGTCTGCTGCACTGCTTGGAGTCCTCAGGAAGCGCTACGAGCATCCGTCAACGGAGGAGTACTCAGTCGGAGTACAAGGAGCTCCGTTACAGTGATAAATAAATAATGTAAACTACCATGTTGGAAAAATATACTCAATGCATATATTTGACATGCTCATACTTAAAAATACAATATTTAATCACCATTTTATTTTGAAATTAATTTACATCTCAATGTATACATCAAGACTGTCAAACTCGCGGCACGATGAGCCACGAGTACATGGTTGGTGTTAAAGCAGAGTAGGCATCTGCTTTCTCCATATGGCAGGTGCCTACTCTGCTAAAATTTACCCGGCCGGGGAGGAATCAGGATGCTGGCGGCAGCAGGGGAGTTCAGTCTTCCTGCTCCTCACTGCTCATGCACGCCGTCTGATGTGATGCTGGGTGCCGGAATATGACGTCATATTCTGGCACCCGGCATCACTAAACTGCGCGCAAGGGAGCAGTGAGGCACAGGAAGGAGATTTCCAGACAGAAGATCCCCACTGGACCCCTGGGAATGATGTGAGTGTGTGCAAGAATGTGTAAATGTGTGTGTGTGTCTGTCAGTGTGTGTATGTCAGTGAGTGTGTGTGTGTGTGTCGGTCAGTGTTGTGATGGCCGTGACTGGACAGTGGAGTACCTGGAGGTGCACGAAGGCACGCAACACCACGTCACATTCCGACGTGACGTCAACGTGCTCCACCTTTACACTTCACAGGGTTTCAAGAAGTAGTGGAAGGATCCACTTTGGCACAGGGTGCAGACGGCGCCATTTGGAATATACCAGAGGCCAGACTCCGTAGTCGCATACTGGCAGCGACAATGTGAGGGGAGTCTGCTTGTTGGCTAGAGGGGGTTCTGGGATTTAGTAGAGGGAGGGACTGGGATTTAGTATATGGGGGACTGGGATTCAGTAGAAACTACGTTTCTATGAAAATTTTAATTTGTTTTTTTTTGCAGCCCACATAAACTTAAACCTTGTTTATTTGGCCTGTGCTAGACTTTGAGTTTGTCATGCTTGGTATACATGGTATGTAACTGTTTTTGTATAAGATATTAGTTATTAATTATCTAATTTGTTTCCTACTGTTATTTAGCAAACCCACCTCAAATGTTATTCTTGTTCATATATTATGACCTTACACCTAAGTCTGAATTTCTGCCTTAACCTTGATTTTAAATTAAACTTTCAATTCCTTTGATCATCTATATGTGTTAATGCTGTGTTGTAATTTATGTAAGCATATTGATAAATACATCTCAGCCCACAAGTATAAAAGTGGCAAAGGAACACTTAGAATTCCCCCGACCGAATTGTTTAATCCACTCGCTATGAATTGTTGAAAATTGACAGAGATAAGTGAAAATATTTGGTAAAAATTGACAAATTAAAAACATTATTTTCTAGCTTCATTATCTAAATTTATTTATTTTATATCACAAATAGATGACAATATAATTAGTATGTTCGAACTAAAGAATGGGTCATCAAGCTAATTTAGCAAATGATGAATGGAGGAAGCTAATGCCATGTATATAATATGGGCTACAGCTAGGGCTGGCCCAAGACATTGTGCTACCTGGGTCCGAGAATGAAATGCTGCCCCCCCTCCCCCCCCAACCAAAACAACGATCACCAAAGCACGCCAACATCTGTTATGCAGAGTGTATAGGGAATACAGTGTCTGTGCTTGCGTATTGTATGCAGTGTTTGTGGAATACATTGTGTGAGTGTGTATAGTGGATGCAGAGTGTATAGTGGATTTAATGTCTGAATATTTGTGGTTGTGTATTGTATGCAATGTGTGTAGTGGACACATTGTGTCTGTCTATAGTGTATGTAGAGTGTGTGTTTGTATAGTGGGTGCAGTTTGTGCAGTGGATGCAGTGTCTGTTTGTGTAGTGGATGTAGTGTGTGTAGTGGATACAGTGTGTGTGAAGTGCATGCAGTCTGTGTTTGTGGTATTAAGTGGTGTGTGAGCCGTTTTGGTTTTGTATAATTAAGTTTATCCCCCCCTACCTCCCCTTCCTGCCTGTAGTGGATGTGGTATGTACAGTGGATGCAGTGTGTGTGTATTTGTGTAGTGGATGCAGTGTGTGCTTATTTAACAGATGCAGTTTGTATAGTGGATGCAGTGTGTGTTTTGTGTAATGAATCTAGTGTGTGTTTGTGCCGTGGATGCAGTGTGTCTGTGTTGTGTAGTGGATGTAGTGTGTGTATCTACTACAAGTAAGCAGCTTGTGCAGTCTTTTCACACAGAGCTTGGCAACTTTGGTACAAGGAAAAAAAAAATATCAAACCTGAAATCTCTGAAATGACTATCTGACTGCCATAAAATGAATCCTGCAACAACTGGTTCTTAATGTGTTAAATGTTAAATCTTGTAAGACAATTGTATTGTTTAACCCCTTAAGACCGGGTAAGTATAGAAAGACCGGAGGGCGTACTATTACGCCCGGCGGCGTTTAGAGCCGCCTAAACTAGGGCGTAATAGCACGTCCTCTGGTCTTTCTACACTTACCCGGTCGCCGGCGGTCCTACGCCGGCGATCGCGGTTGGGGGGACTCGCAGGGAGCCCCCCGCGGCACGTCCGACCCCCTGGAAGCCCCCCCGGCCATGTGAGAGTGAGGTCCTTGCGAGGACCTCACAATCACATGGCCGGGATAGTTGCCTGCTGTATTGCCAGCAGGGGGGCTGCCTGTAATGACAGGTGGTCCCCCTGCTGGCTGGAAATAAAATAAATAAAATTTAAAAAAGTTTAATAAGTGTAAAAAAAGAAAATATATACTTAGATCATATATATATATATGATATATGATCTTTGATCTAATATACTTTGATCTAAGTATATATATACACATACACATACACACACATACTGTCTCGGTGTATTTTACTATTAATATAAATATATATATATATGTGTATATATATATATATATATATATATATATATATATATATATATATATATATATATATATATATATTAATAAATTACACATAGACTGATACTGATTAAATATATATATAATTATTGTTATATATATATTTATATATAATATAAAAAAATAAAATATGTAAATACGTTAAAAAATAAAAATAAAAAAAATAAAAAATATATAGATGTGTGTTATTTCGTTCTAACTGTATTTGTGATATTAATATATATATATCAAAATACACGTAGAACGAAAATAATATATATCTATATACATAAATATATACGTATATATCACTATATATATATATATATATATATATATACATACACACGATATATATAAAAAAAATATTTAAAAAATTATATATATATATATATATATATATATATATATATATATATATATATATATATATATATATATATATATATATATATATACACATATATTAATTCTACATATATATTTATACAATATTTTTACATAATTAGGTATCTTAATTAATTACAATTAGCGGGACCTGCCTGACAACCCATGCCGAAAGTAAAGGGAATTTAATTTGCTAGCACTATATTTAACCCTATAACTTTCCAAGACACCATAAAACCTGTACATGGGGGGTACTGTTCTACTCGCGAGACTTCGCTGAACACAAATATTAGTATTTCAAAACAGTAAAATGTATTACAACGATGATATCACCAGTAAAAGTGAGTTTTTTTGCATTTTTTACGCACAAACAGCACTTACACTTTCATTTTTTTCACATTAAAATTTGCCAGATTGGTTACGTTGCCTTTGAGACCCTATGGTAGCCCAAGAATGGAAATTACCCCTATGATGGCATACCAATTGCAATAGTAGACAGCCCAAGGTGTTGCAAACGGGGTATGTCCAGTCTTTTTTAGTAGCCACTTAGTCACAAACACTGGCCAAAATTGGCGTTTTTTGCATTTTTCACACACAAACAAATACTAACACTAACTTTGGCCAGTGTTTGTGACCAAATGGCTACTAAAAAGACTGGACATACCCCATTTGCAATACCTTGGGTTGTCTACTATTGCAAATGATATGCCATTATGGGTGTAAATTTCTTTTCTGGGCTAATATAAAGTCCCAAAGGCAACGTAACCAACATGGCGAATTTCAAATGTAACATGCTATATTTGACCCTGTAACTTCCCAAAACGCCAAAAAACCTGTACATAGGGGGTACTGTTTTACACGTGAGACTTTGCTTAATACAAATATGTGTATTTTATTGCAGTAAAAGCAAACAGTATTATGACATTGACCGTTAAAATGTCACGTAGAACTAAAAAAAACAAACAATCTTATTTTCTCCCATTTTTTTCATATTAAATTATGTTTCATAGCTAAATATTTGATATTAAATGAAAGCCCTGTTTCCCCTGAATAAAATGATATTTAATAAGGGTGGGTGCATTTAATATGAAAGAGGTGAATTACAGTTGGACAGACATGTAGTGCAAATGCCAGGTTTTGTTTACATTTTGTTTTGTTTACAACGTGTACATTTGGCTCCGTCCTTAAGGGGTTAATGATTATAGGGCATAACTATTTAACTTTTCTGGTAACACACTTTCTTAATACAAAATAAAATGTATCATGCAAACATTGCTTAGAGAATGGCTGGTGCAATGGGGTTCCAAGAGCTATAGTATAGCTAAAAAAGAAAGGAATTTGAGCACCAAAGAAATGATTGGATATCTTTTGGAAGGGTATCGTCTTAACCATTCTGAAGTAATGGGTGAATTTAAAAAAAAAAAGAAGAAACAGAAAGAGAGAAAACAGACATCTAAGAGAAAGATATTGAAAGAAATGGAAAATTAAATTTAGTTCATCCACGTGGCATTTTAATTCACATGAATTTTGTCTAACATTTCGGGAAAACAATTTGAACAAATTAAAATGGCACAAAAATGTGTCTATGTGTTAGTGTTATGTGTTGTAATTAAATCTAGCGACTAATCAGTTGATAGCAAAATATCAGTGGGCATCGGTTGGAAGAAGGAATTAAAAAATGGGGATGTACACTATCCAACCCCTTGTCCCAGCATATAGCCACATCTGTGATGAGACTTGTGTGGGAATATTGCCAGGCCAGTCTCATAAGAGGTGAAACCTGCCTGTCTTACGTGCCTAATCAGAGCACTCTAGACTGTCTCTGACTGAAATTTCAAAGCCAGGGAAGTCCCAGATAAAGCCTTTTTCTTCTTTGAAAAATTCCTTCATGAAACCATTGCAGGGGTTACTTGGATTTTTTTTAGATTCGTTTTTTTTATGATTGCTTTTTTGTGATTTAGGTTTTTTTGTTTTTTTTTTAACAATATTTATTTGTGTTGGTATTTTATGTTTTCCAGCAATGCAAGGTAGAACCACAGGTCGGCTTTTGATCATAGTAGATGATCAGGGGCTTCTATACAGCAAGCCATGTATTTGTACCTAGGTCAATGATATTCAAACATGCATTTTCAGGCTTATAAGGTTACAAGTATAAAGGTAGTGCATAGATTGGGCTGCTAATTGGACAGTTGAAATTAAACAAGTTATTGCCCTCTTACCAGCCGTATGTTAAAAACACTACTGCAGCTTTGCAGCTCGGGCTGCTCCTCAAGGGTATATACCTGTTTAATGGTTGAGTTATTTCAAGGTAGTAAGTGGGGGGGGGAGTGGGGTCTGTCTCTGTCAGGGGTCGTGTGTAGGCAGTGAGCCATAGGCATCAGTCGGGTTTGTGAGAGAAAGAGGGAAAAAATTTTTTAAAAAGGGGTGGTGGGTGTGGGGAAATTAGAGTTAGTTTAGGTACTTGAGTTATTCGCGGCTATGTATATCAGCCATGGGGTCCATGTCTGGGTACACATCTCGGAGCGACCCTGTAAGGCTGCAGTCATTGATTCCACAGCATAGATTTATCCCACCCCGTCAGCCCATTGCCGGAAGGTGGGCACACGCATCTGTTTCCAATATGTGGGTATCAGGGACTTTGCCGCAGTCAGCAGGTGTTTTGTCAAGGACTTCTTGTAGGATTTTTAGTGTCATTCTTGTGTGATGCAATAGCAGGGGCAAAAGCTGGAGCAGTAGCTCTGGGTCGGAGAACTCCCTAATTTTAGTGTTCGCCATTGCCCATAATGGGGAGATACCAGGGCAGGACCACCAGACGTAGAGCATCATGCAAGTGTCTGACCCGCATCTCCAACACTTCTCCCCGTTATCCACATTCATACGGTATAGGATATCAGGGGTTACCAGGTAATTAGCAATTTATGTAACGGATCACCTGGCACCCCGACTGGGTACCTCCGTTGAAGGATGCTCCTAGCGCTTCCTGAGGACTCCAAGCACTGCAGCAGACACCACAACCACCAAACCGGAGAAGCATACGAATGCTCTTAAGCATACGAATGCTGTAAGCAGCTGAACAGGAAAAGCATACAATCAGCTTACACTCCTGGCAATCAGCATATAATCCAATTCCCCCAATAACGAGACGACACTTCGTTTGAGGGTTAAGCAGAATCTGACTGTACTGGCACATACATCCTCTTTTATTCACAATCCACAAACATAGTACTGCCCACAGGGTTTTGAAATACAACCAATCAATCCTTACAATACACACAGACACTCCCACACAACATCCTCCCCTCTGCCTGTGATATGATTACTGAACACAATGGTTAATATAATTATGACAGGCAGAGAAATACAGTATCATAAAACACATCACAGGGACCCCAAAACATGCAATAACCCCATAAAATTATATCCTCGGAACCAGGGGATCTGGGTGAACCACATATCCAAAATTCACCCAGATCCGTTCAGTAGTTTGGAAAATACAGTTTAATGCAGATTCCGCAGAACATATACAGGCTATATGAAAAACAATTACTGTATAATGTGTCCCCTGTTGTATAGTCCAAAACCACTGCACGAAGTCTATGTGCACCAAATACCGGCGAAATGGCACCGTGTAGAAAAGTCCACACAGTGTCTGTGAGTTAAAATGGCCGCCATCCATTGTTCTCACCATGTGCTTCATCCATTGTTCTCACCATGTGCCTCTGATACATGAAATAGTGGCCACCCAGTAACTCCCCAGTATGTGCCCAGATGGTTCTTAAAGGGCCAGCAGCAGCACAACACAAATGCCCAGTGGCGAGGTCGGTTTCGCCACACCCTTCACAAAGAGATACCGGCCTAGTGGGTCCACCTGCGTGGCTGTGCATTGAAATGGTATGGTCTACGCAAAGAGTATGGTTACTCTAGATCGCTTGGCTTCCTGGTGGTTTGCGAAGAAGCCCTGTGGGAATCGACTCTACTAGCACAAGGGCACTCCTTTCTTTAAAGTTTGTCTCTTGCAAAAACGCTACCGATGCCCTGTGTGTCCGCAGGAGCTGTTTGCATTTTTTAGGGATGTTAAGGTCTCTAGTGTTGTTGGTCCAGAGCCGCAATGGCGCAGGTTGGAATCCTTGTGTCATTGCTGTAGTTAGTGAGTCGGATGGGGGAGGAGAGAAGAAGAGAGAGAGAGAGAAAGAAAAAGGGGCAGGGAACGGTATGATCGGTGTGTAGTTGGTCAGGTGGGGGAGTGGGGAGTCAGGTAAAGTAAGGTCAGACAACTATGACCCAAGATTGCTTTGTTATACCAGAGTGTGTATGGCCCGTTTAGGGTTCGGAAGTCTATCGGTTCTGATCCAATATACATATCCCATCAAAGGCACCTGGCATGCACGGGAAATCGTGGAGAGCATGCCTAACACCGTGGGAGCCGTCCCTACTGGACAGGCTTTCGGTATACCAGGATATGGCAAGGAAGGACACGACCGACCGTCAGCAGGAAACATGCCTAGCAGCCTAGTTCTTGGGCTACTGAAGCGATCAAGGCTAGTTGTCTACACATGTTCCCCATGCAGAGTACCCCAGGCAACCGGCTGCACCGCTCCCAGCTGGCACTGCAGGGGAGGTCTAGTACCCACGGTCCCCCACCCAAACCAACATCTCCCACCTAGTGACAATTTCCCAGTCCCTGTCTATGCTGGCGGATGCAACCCCAGAGGGGGCGAGATCAAGTGTCACGGTGGCTGCGGGGCCAGTAGTGTACATACCCCCTGTGGTCTTCATCCATAGTGCTTACGATGCAATAGGGGAACAAGGGTCTCAGTGTCTCAAGGTCAGGCACACCGTGGGTCAGGCAGCACCGACCACCTGGGCAGGAGCCACCAGGGTGATTCAGGACTTTATTCTTCGGGATCATAAGGCCCCCATTGGGGCTGACTGCCTCGGCCTCCGGGTGAGTAAGGCTGGTCAGGTCTCTCCATTGGGCTAGGGCGCTGTGGAGGTCCCTCCAAGATCCAGTTTTGGGCTTGCCACTTTTGGTAGGCTCATAGCCCGCAGGAACCTGGGAACATCATTTGGCCTTCTCAGGGTGCACCAGGAGTTATCCTTCCATGCCTGCAGGCTAAATAGGATATTTATAAGGGATCCTACTTATAAGGGATCCTCCGTTCCTGGAGCATGCGGGTGAGTGGTCTCAGTGCTCGGCGGGCATCGAGAGTCAGTGAGGAGAGATCCTGATACAGGGATACCTGTGCGTCTAGGTAAGTAATGGCTTGCGGCCTAGCAGATCGCATAATGGTGTCCTTAAGTTGAAAGGACAGAAGGCAGCAAATTACATCACAAGGGAGACAATCGTTCCTGGGTGTTCAGAGTGCTCTACGAGCTCTTTCAATATTATAGATGTCAGGGGCTTCTTCCCCAAGGATCTGCGTACATAGCTGTGTCAGGGTATCAGCAAGATCCTCGTCTTTTCACTCAGGTAGGCATCTGACGCGGATATTATTGTGTCACCCATGATTCTCAAGGTCCTCTACTTGCCTCCTACTGCCTGGAGGTTGCATTGTCAGCTGCTTGAGAGTGTTGGGAGGCCTGCAGGCAGTCAGCTTCTAACTCCGTGACCCGATGCTCAAGGGCAGTGAGGTTCCTGCGCACTTTGTGGACTTCCTCCCTTATCACAGAGTGCAGCTTGCCACTAAGGCAATTTTGTCAGCCCTAGTTAGCATGTTGGCAGAGATTGTAGCCAGTTCGGTGAGATCTGGGTCAGTGATTCAGCTCCCAGGGAGCCCGGCAGGGAGTCTGCTATGCTATCCACGCCAGGAGGGTTCGTGCCATCTTGTCTGCCGGCCGCATGTGTCGGAGGCCGGGGGGGGGGGTGGACAGGATTTCATCTAATGAACCCACTGTTCACCTTGGTGATCCCGAGCCCGAGGGTCCACGAATTGCCAAGTGTCGAGATTTCCCCATTTTGGAGGGTAGGAGTGCTTATTATTAGGTGCTATGTGGGCTGAGGTTGCAGAGCCTCGGGAGTGTGCGACTTACTCCATGAACCGGCTAGCCATGCCCCCTTTATGTCTTTTTTTTAATTTTAATAGTAATATTGGATAATTATGTTTTTTTTATTTGTTTTTTTTAGCGCTGAAGAAAAGAAGATTTGAGAAGAAAGAAGATTTCTGAAATTAAGTATGATTTTCTTTGCAGGGATTATATTTATTGCCCCTGTCACTATCATTAGGTATGGAATTTTTTATTAGCGAGATGTCTAGGTGCTTGAGGAGCCCAAGCCACCAGGGGAGAGGAAGGTATGTTTGGGATTGGACAATGACATGTTGACACCCTTATGCTACCTATGCAAGGGATCTTGGGAGAAAAATAGGTTTTCCCTCTTATTCTTTTATTAGCCCCCACATAACACTTCTGAATGGTGACTATGGGGAACATTTAATAGACACCCCACAAGTGGGGATATAGGGTGGACACTGATCTGTCCAGTCACTCTTATTTAATTTCTATACTGACCTGATGCTCATGGTTGGAATATGAGAGTGGAACTAATATATGGGTCATATTGTCACCCTTGGGAGGAACTCCAGACATTAAACATACAGAAAGACTCACCCATTGCCCATTTAATCAGTTTCATGATTTGCTCATATAGCATTTTGGAGTTTTGGAATTCGAACTCCAAAATTCAGATGAGCTGCACAAATCTACCAGGAACCATAACCTTTTGAATAAGATAAAATGGTTATAGTGCCTAAAATGATCTTTTAACATTTCTTGCCTAGCTTATAACCACTTTTACGTTACTCTATTTTTACATAAATGTTAAGTTTTAACACCTAGTGTCTACTTTACTATCTGTCAAAGGTCTAAGGTCAAGCCTTCTGCAGACATCCAAAACTTCGGATTGCCCTTCAAGAAAACACACTATCATCCTCTAGTATAAAACATTCATATAAAACATCTCCCTTTATGCATCTACAATCATACCATAACAACAAATCATATCATACCTTCAATAACCAGGAAAGTACAATTATATTAGTATGCATATATTTTACCTTTGTAACGTTGGTCATTAATTTAATTAATATGTTGGTCCAGCACATCATTGAAAATGAGAGAAAAATATTCTACCCTAATGGGTGGCATGAGTTTGAGATGTAAATAGTAACTCTGTTAACTCTGGAGCGGCACACGAGCTACAATTTGAGTCCAGACCATAGACTAACCGAAGAGTAAAACATATTTGATCATTCTCATTGTTCTCTTATATAATTATATGAGTTCTATTCTTCCTGGTTTTCTAAATAAACCTCTAAATAATGCATTCACTAAATACTAAATACAAAATGAAGACCATAATCTAATCAATAACCAAGGGTTAAATACCTAAATGCTTTCTAATTCAAAGCACACTTTCTAAAATTTTAAAATTAAAGTATTGCACCAAACAAGTAATGAATTGAATAACTAGCACATTATTTGATTTTAGATCTATTAAATTAAATTTCCTTGTATTTCCTTTATTGGTTCCAGAGGGCATGCTAAATTTTTATATCAGACTAATACTAAGCATTGCAGTTTATGCTGGGGGCAAACAATGGCTTGCATTTAATCGAATAATGCTGTTAGACAACCCTATTACATCTGTCCTTTGGTATCATCAAAGACGATTATATTGATTAAGAAAAACGGTCACTACCAAATACGAAGCTAGAAAGCAAGGAAATATAAGAGCAGTGGACTAACAGTTCTCTTAAAAATAGATAAAACATGAGTTATTTTTTAAAGTTAAAAAAAATAACATATTTAGAATGTACAGCATATTCTAGGGAAAACATGCTTACTTTTTATTGGAAATGGGAGACTAAACGACAGAGCTCCCTCCTCAACCCGATTCCTCTCTTTGATATTTTGATGTCATATACAGACACCAAACTGCTGCATTACAAGCTCAATTAAAATATTATATAAATAATGCATTTTTAAGGTGGTAAAACTAGTACCTTAATGCAGAATGAACAAGTAGGAAGGTGCATATCTTGTCTACCTATCAATCATGTCCTGCCTACAAGCACGTAACTAAAATACTGGAAATTTCAAAATGATATCACAGGAACATCTAAAATAGAATACAAAATGGTACTTTCAGTGTGTATGCATGTACATACATGCATGAATCATATGCACACTGTGACTGACAATATTTAGTTTATTAACCCCTTAAGGACCGATGACGGGTTGTTGTATCTCTCGTGCAGAGAGAACTTGCTGGCATTTCGGATCTGGACTGCCCGTATGGGTGGGACCAGTCTGATATGCTTCAGATATGTTCTCTCTGTAATGGCACAAGATGAGCTAAAACCAGCTTGAGTTCTGAGCGGGGACCCACCGAAGGGCAGGCTATTTTAGCTGCTGTCTGTTCTCAGAATACTCTTGCGACCCATTTTTGCTCTCCATTTGTTTAAATAAGCCCTTAACAACTTTGATTGCCTGAAATTGGCCTTTGACCCCAGAACGTGCGCGCGTGTCTCCCGCGTGAAGTCACACGCACGCCAACGTCGTCATCAACGTGGACGGACGTGGGGCTCTAATTGGGATTGGATCCGCAGAAGCCGGCGACCATCAACCTGTTGCAAGAGTCAGTTATGCAGATGCATGGCCGCTGAGCACAAATACCGCAAGGTGAGAATGAATATGTTATAGATATTTGTCTACTGGCTCATAGGGATCAGAGTCCTCATATTAAATCTTTCAGGCCTTTATGCCTTAACTTAGTGGTCCCGTGAGGCCAACACCCATCCTCATACTCTGAAGTATTCATTGAGGTATTCACGCCCATCGGCCCAACTCAAAGTCAGGTGCCTCTCATAGTGGTATAGAGAGGGCCTCATCTGTCACTACCATGCTATCTTATACTTTAATAGTCAACGAGGGGATGACACATTGTTTGGTGACCACAAAATCCCCTTGGAGCCTCTCAAGCCGCTTGAGAGGCAATTAGTAGGGCTCCACCAATCATGAATACAAGATAATTTCTTTGCCACTTGGCATTAGTTAGCCAGCCAGTAAAGTATAGTCTCCTAGGTAACCTATAGATATTTATCCATCCCTAGTATGTCTCAACTACCAGAAGTGTGGAGGATTTGTCGATCCCCAGCACCCCAGCAAGGTCTATATCTCCATCATACGGAGGGGACAACACCTTCCCGAGTTGGGGAGTAGTATGGTAAGGTCAGGCAGTTAGATGTTTTTTGGACAACTTGGGCTCATGCCACATTATTAATAAAGGTCGTTCAACATCTCTTACCATAATGCGCTTTCTAAAGAAATTGACTTTGCTTGCTGCTAACTATAATTTCTTCTTGGTATGTGTCCATATTCCAGGCATTCATAATGTGGCAGCTGATCACTTATCTCACTCTTGACTTCAGGATTTCCACAAAGCATTACCAACCGCAGCCTTGGTAGCTCACCCGACACCGTCATGGCAAGACATGACATTGGACTAGGAAGTCTGTTAACTCATGGCCGGCACCTCTCACAGTTGGCTCTGTCTGATAATACCAAAAAAATCATACAACAGGACATTCCATATTTTTAACAGGTTTTTGTTAGATTTTCATGTTGTAAATAAATATTCCATGGAAACTATTGTAGCTTTCACTTCTTTTTGCCACCTTAAGTTAAAATTATCATTTAACACCATCAAATTATATTTGACAGGTATTTAACATTATATACGCCCACAGTTTCTTGTCATTTTATCCATTCAAACCTATACTGAAGGGCATTAAGAATTCAACCTCTACACCACCATCCTCTAGGTCACCTATCCATAGTCAACTCTTCCAATTACTTTCGGACTTAATGGACACAACTTCTTTTGAACCAAACACTAATCATGTCATTAAAACAGCCATCTGTCACGAACGCACCCTACTCCAAGAGTGTGCGTGACGTAGTTGTGGTGGTGAAAGGGTTAAAGTACACTATTTGTCTGCACTAGACCGGAAATAATGACAAAATCCCCCTTTAACACCACCCACACTTAAACATAATAGTATAACTATTACTACTTTAACGCTGCCACCACCAAGACAATTTATAAATGGGGTGCCTTGGTCCCCCAGGTAAATCAATAATAAAACCCACCAAATATTACTTAATACAATATTTAAGGAATTATAAAAATACTAACTAGTCTCTTCAGGTAACGTGATTCTTAACCAGACAAAGGCAAAACTTAATAAATGAATGTTTATTATGAGCAAAAGATAGTCACAGTGCATATAAAAATATATGATAAACAAATTATTTACACCAACAACAGATAAAAACAAAAAGGATAAAATACAGAAGTCCTAATTACTCACTTAGGTTTTCAAAGTACAACTTCTGTCCAGGGGGTCTCTGGCAAGGAAAGATGGTGACTCACTCAAAATTAGATCTTGGCCCCAAGCAAGTACACAAACACCCTTCAGGATCATTAGATATATACCCTGTGGTTTATCAAGTCTTGCCCAGGGGTGGAGTTAAGGCATACCTACAGTAATAATAACTGACCACCTCCTTTGTTCCAGACCACTGTCAATCCAAATGGAAACATTTGACTCTATCTTCTTTTTTTGTACCTGCCACAGAAATAATAATTGCATCTACAAATTTGTTATTATTTTCCCATTCCATAGACATGTTGCACGTCCCACCCACGATCCAATAGGACGGACATCACAATTCCTTTCCCTAGGGTCAAGTTAGGCCACTCATGTTTGGACTTGGTTAGAAGATGGCGCTTGTCACATTCCAAATATAACAAAAATGAGGCTTAATTATTATTCTGTGGGGGTAAATATGAATGTTTTTTGTCCTTCATTTGGATATGATACTAGAACAAAGCTAATGGCATTTACATATCAAAGAGATTTACTCACCACTTACAAAGTACAGGCCAAATGGATGAAGAGACATTCAGACTTTTTCCAAGTGTAGAACCTCACACCTTGCAGACTTCACATCCATACAGTAAAATCCTTTTCACATTCCTATGCCATTCACACTACCCCTTCTGTCATCTGCCCTCTGTGGGGGTCCCAGCTTCAAAAGATGTAACCCCTGTTGACCTCAGCAATAGCATCTCTGTAATTTGTGCCATTTACTACAAGAAATCACATTAAAAGATGATATTCCATAGTGTCATAATAAATTATACACCCTTGCCGTGACACCATCTACCTAGCTTTCTATGGTTTTCGCAGAAAAAAAAATGTTTACCACCATAAACATCACATCCCAAGATGTCATTAAAAGATCTCAGATTGTCAAAATACAAGATCACTACGTACTATCCCTCAGCCATACAAAAACCACATAAAGAGATCAAGTGGTAAAGATTCCCTATTACCCTACAGGCAACAAATAGTGCCCAGTACAGATAATAGATAAATGTTTAACCCTTTAAGGACCAAACTTCTGGAATAAAAGGGAATCATGACATGTCACACATGTCATGTGTCCTTAAGGGGTTAACCATAGTTCCCGGTTCCCCTAACCAACCTTTATTAACTTTACACGGCAATGCTCCCACTACAAACAAATTCATGCTCTATATCAGAGTTTTACTGGTAAGATCAGGCCTTAATCCATCCAATTATTCAGGTCACTCCTTCCGAATTTGAGCAGCCACCACTGCATCTAGCAGAAACATACCAGTACATATTATCAAAAAATTATGATCTAAATGGTCCGCATATACCCAATACATACCCCAACCCGTAAAGGAAATATGCAAAGCATTTTGTAATATAAACATGTAAAAGATTACATATGTTTGTCAATTGTAGGCTGAATAAATCTTGTATGGTATACTCATTTTTGCCCTCTTTTATTACAGGCCTACCGCATTGTCGGTGTCGGCACACCACAACCGACTGCTCATATTTTCTACCTGGTTCATATTGTGTTAATATTACTTTATATGCTTTAATTATGGCTTTTATGCCCTGAACACAAATGGAAGGCTGGGCCTGTAGTTATTAGAGGGGCTTGGTTTCCCTACTTAAGGGTCACCAGATCTCTCCCCATTATCGTTATTGGTCTGGCAATTTGCCTCTCCCACCACTCCCTTTACTATCAGTAATATTCAGGATGGACCCTCTTTTATTACAAGCCTACCGCATCATAGGTTTCGGCACACCACAACTGACTGCTCATATTTTCTACCTGGTTTATATGGTGTTAATATTACTTTATATGCTTTCATTACGGCACAATTATATATATATTATTATATATATATATTTGATTTTTTTATTTATATAAAAATAATATAAGTATAATAGAAGTTTTCTTCCAAGAGTCACCTTTATTTTATCTGTTAGCATCCACTGGCAATATTACAGCAGGTATTTCATAAGCACTTTCCATATACAGAGACCCCTACGTACACAGCTTGTACGTACACCATGTATATTAGATATGCAGGGCGCACTAGACATACAGGGTGCAGAAAATGTGCAGAATGCAATAAATAAACAGGATACATTAAATATATGCACATAATGCACACACGAAAGAGTAGATATATGCACATAATAATACACACACAGATTACAGTAGATATTTGCAGGTATTAATATACATGCAGAGTACAGTAGATATATGCAGAGTGCAATAGATACACAAGATACAGTAGATATATGCAGGGTACATTACATATACAGGGTACAGTGGATATGCAAGAATAATATATCATTGTGGTACAGTGTATATGCAGAGTGCAATATATATGTAGGGTATAATGAAAATGCAGAGTACATAGCCCCAATCCATACATTAAAGGACAATTCAAAGTCCTGCAAAGCTGTATTGTTGAACATGCATAATGTACATGCATCAAGATAAATCAAGCTGGCCTGTTAGCTCAGCTTGATCATGTTCTTTGTAGGTTTTATCAGAAATATTGTTTGCAATAGATTTATGTGTGTTGGTTCCCATGTCTACCGTAGATGCCAACATTTGAGAATAATGTCCAGGGACAATTTGAAGCATAGGTCTGACTTGAACTCTGGCTCTGAGTGGGTCCTGCTGGGCAGAGGTAGTGCTGTGGTCTGTACAATAACAGGTAGAGACCACTTTAAGGGTGCCCTTGCGGTCCCCGGCACTTTTTGATGACTCAAAGTGTTGGAACTGTGAGTGGTATGCACCAGATATTGGTGCAGATCCGAGAGCTCCACCACTGAACTACCAGGGATCCAGCGTACTCTACTGAATCACCAGTGAATGTAAGGAGGAGTGGGACACACACACACACACACACAGCACTCAGACTCCCCAACGCACACAATTCAGCCACCACACATTCAACTCTCAACCTGCATACATAAACACACTTAGCCATCGCCATACAGCTCTCACCTTCATTCGGCTCAAAGTTTACAGGAGTGTTGACCACACCCAGGGCTGGCCCGTCCATAGGACAGACTGGGGCAATGGCCCCAGTTGGCACTTTAAAAGGGGCGGCATTTATATTTGCAGTGTGGTGGCTCTCTAATTGGGCGATTTATCCTGCCCCACACCCTGCCACCCACCACTGTCACCCTTACATCCTGCCCACCGCATTGCCATTGTCACCCTCACAACCTGCCCCCACACTGTCACCCCCACACCCTGCCACCCACCACTTTAACCCTCACATCCTGCCCCCCACCCTCACATCCTGCCCCCATCATTATCACCCCCACACCCTGCCCCACCACTGTCATGCCCACACCCTGCAACCCAAACTGTCACCCTCACATCCTGCCCCCCAGCACTGTCACCATCCTATCTTGTTCTCTACACTGTCACCCTCCCATCCTGCCACGCACCACTTTCACCCCTACACCCTGCTCCCACCACTGTCACCCTCCCATGCTGTTCTCCACACTGTCACCCTCACATCCTGCTACCCACCATTGTCAACCCCACACTGTCACCCTCACACTCTTCCCGCTACACTGTTACCCTCACAATCTTTCCACACACTGTCACCCCCACACCCTGCCCCACCACTGTCCCAGGATTCTATTGCTTCATTAGTTTTTTTATTTATTATTTTTATTGGAAGTTGTCCAATTAATTTTTTTCAATGACTATTTTTACTTCTGATTAAATCATATAACTAACCCACCCATTTGTACTCAGCATCAATTTTCTGGTTTCTGATTTACTGCTCAAAGTCGTTTAATCATTTATATAAAGACAGTAATCAAATATATCTCATTACTAACTTGCTTGCGCAAATGACGCTACCTTAATTCACTCCTAACAGATTTTTCCCTTACTGTAAATTATTTAAGACCACAACTTGACCCTATACTTAAATAAAACAAAATGCTTTCTTATTTTAATAATATCAAGTTAACTGTAAATCATGTCTTATAATGTTGAGTCATTTTTGATAAATGTCCAAGATATTTGCTGATTCTGCATAATGATGTAATGGTATGTGGTAAGATACCTATATAACTTTATATGTTATACCAATAAAATTCAGAGTTGATTTTAAACCTCAACACTACTGGGGTTGTGTCAGCCAATTCTTCGAGCTTCTAAGTGTGTAGTTGGAGATATTCTGGAGAGTTTTACAGAAGCTTCAACTGTCTAAGAGTTGTGCTAAGCGCTTTCTTTTCTACTGTTACAGGTAAGATTCATCTGTAGGAAAAGGTTACTGATTGCACAAGGTTTGAATTCCTGTTGGTAATTATAAGGCATTTGATTAGATTACTTGCTATTGATTGCTGTTTAAATTAGCTATTGTTTGCAAATAAGCAGAGGCCTACCCAGTGTTAAACATTCCTAGTGGGTGGTGATTTTAGGAGTTATATAAGGGCTGTTGTCATTAGCTTGGCTTATATAGCTTGGTTGCTACTTCTAAGTGATGTTTCTAAGTGTGTGGTTGGAGATATTCTGGAGATAACCTGGAGGTAATCTGAGGTATTCAGGAGGATAAATAAAAAGTTAAGATTTGTTTGATTTAAATTATTCTCCTAATTGGAATGGCAGACAGTTCAGTGTAATAGTTGCAATGCATTTGTTTCACGTTCCACTTTTTGGAGGTTTGGTTGTTGTCTAATCTGTAGACAGTTCTCTATCTTGTGGCAGGAGATTGTATTTTTGAAGGCTGGGATTTGTAAATTATCTGGTGAACAAACTCCGACTGGAACTGCTGTAAAGCCACTGCCGCAGAGACATACTAGGCATGGCAGATGGATTACTGTAGGATCTGGTAGACTTAGAGTTGTGGATAAAAGGCATTTTGCACAGTCTGTTGCTCTTCATAATTAATTTTCTGCACTTTCAGAGTGTAATGGTGTTGTGGAGAGAGGCACTGAGGCTAGTGGTGTTGTGGAGAGAGGAACCTAGTGGTGTTGTGGAGACCGGCTTGGAGACTATGGTGAGGCCTAATAGAAAGCATTTGTTGTTGGGGGATTCCATTATAAGAGGTGTGGAGATGGACAATGATGGTCTTGTGAGGTGTCTTCCCGGAGCTACTGCTCACGGAGACAGGAGACGTATCTGTAATATTGTTAAGCAAGCAAAGCAGGAAGGGGAATTGGATGTACTTGTCCATCTAGGGACAAATTACTTGGCTTGCAATGAGGTTTCAGAGGTTAAGGAAGTTTTTAGTGTTTTTGCCAATGATATACGGCAGGTTGCTTCCACACTGTCATTCTCTGAAGTTCTGCCTGTGCATAACACTCAGAACGACAGGCGGATGCGTATTAGGGACTTTAATTTGTGGCTTGGTGAATGGTGTCGGGAGCAAGGATTTGGCTTTATTTCTCATGGTAACTCTGTTTGGAATGGAGATAAGCTGTACAAAAAAGATGGTTTGCATCTTTCTCAAAAGGGAACAAATGTTCTCAGTGAGCAGTTCAGAGGTTTTGCTAGGATGTATTTAAACTAGGAGAGGGGGCAAAAGGGTGATAAAACATCAATCCAATTGTCCCCCAAAACAAGGACAGAAGGTGCCTGGAGCAAGTGTGTTAAAAAATGATAAGCTTAGAGTCATGTCTACAAATGCTCGCAGTTTAGGGAATAAGATCCATGAACTTATGGCAATAATGGCAACTGATAGTGTAGATTTAGTCGCTGTTAATGAGACATGGTATAATGAGAAAAATGACTGGGACATAGCAATACCAGGGTACTCTTTATATAGGAAAGATAGAGAAGGCAAGAAAGGGGGAGGGGTGGCCTTGTATGTGAAGGATAGCCTAATAAAAGTTAGTGAGGCAAACATAGAGTCCATTTGGGTTACGTTAGAATTTGGTAATCACACAGTAACTCGTGTAGGTGTGATTTATAGGCCCCCAGGACAAATTGAAGAGTTAGATAATCTACTAGTTGAGGAAATAGCTAAAATGACAATGAAGGGGGAAGTTATCATCATGGGTGACTTTAATCTTCCTGATGTAAATTGGAAAACAAAATTAGCTACTTGTGCCAGGAGCACACATATTCTAAACTCCCTACTGGGATTGTCTCTAAAACAAGTTGTTGAGGAGCCAACTCGTAAAGAGGCCATACTAGATTTAGTGTTAACAAATGGAGATTTGGTATCAGATATTACTGTAGGTGAAAGTTTAGGATCCAGTGATCATCAGTCAGTGTGGTTTAATATAAGAACAGTGACTGAGTCACACCACACAAAAACAAAAGTTTTAGACTTTAGAAAAACAGACTTTTCTAAAATTAGAATATGGGTAGAGGAGTCATTATCAGACTGGAGCAATTTAAATGGAGTCCAAGAGAAATGGGATTATTTAAAAGTTGCACTATTGAAGGCAACAGAAAATTGCATTAGGCTTGTCAGTAAAAGCAAAAAATTCAAGAAACCACTGTGGTACTCCGCAGATGTGGCCAAAATAGTTAAAAACAAAAAGTTAGCATTTAGGAATTATAAAAAAACCCAGAGTGAGGAAGACAAAATGATCTATAAGATTAGGCAGAAAGAGGCTAAGCAAGTTATAAGAGCTTCCAAATAACACACAGAAGAGAAAATAGCACAGTCAGTAAAAAAGGGGGATAAAACATTTTTTAGATACATAAATGAGAAAAGAAAAGTAAAACAAGGATTAGTTAGATTAAAAACAAAAGAAGGAAGGTATGTAGAAGAGGATAAAGGACTAGCTGACTGCCTCAATGAATATTTTTGTTCTGTATTTACAGATGAAAATGAAGGAAAGGGACCTCAGTTGAGAAAAAGGATAAATGAGTCATTTATTACACGTGAGTTTACAGAGGAAGAGGTTCTATTTCAACTGTCAAAAATAAAGACAAATAAGTCAATGGGACCTGATGGAATACACCCAAAGCTATTAAAATAGCTTAGTGGTGTACTAGCAAAACCATTAACAGATTTATTTAACCAATCATTGTTAACAGGAGTAGTCCCAGAAGATTGGAAGTTAGCGAATGTTGTGCCCATTTACAAGAAAGGTAATAGGGAGGAGTCGGGCAACTATAGGCCAGTAAGCCTTACTTCAGTAGTGGGGAAAGTGATGGAAACCATGTTAAAGGATAGGATTGATGAACATCTAAAACCACATGGATTTCAAGATCAGAGACAACATGGGTTTACTTCAGGGAGATCATGCCAAACTAATCTTATTGATTTTTTTGATTGGGTAACTAAAATTATAGATCAGGGTGGTGCAGTAGACATTGCTTACCTAGATTTCAGTAAGGCTTTTGACACTGTTGCACATAGAAGGCTTATCAATAAACTGCAATCTTTAAGTTTGGATTCCAATATTGTTGAATGGGTAAGGCAGTGGCTGAGTGACAGGCAACAGAGGGTTGTAGTTAATGGAATATATTCGAAGCTTGGACTTGTCACCAGTGGGGTACCTCAGGGATCTGTACTTGGACCCATTCTCTTTAATATTTTTATTAGTGATATTGCAGAAGGTCTTGATGGTAAGGTATGTCTTTTTGCTGATGATACTAAGATATGTAACAGGGTTGATGTTCCAGGAGGGATAAGCCAAATGGCAAATGATTTAGGTAAACTAGAAAAATGGTCAGAATTGTGGCAACTGACATTTAATGTGGATAAGTGCAAGATAATGCATCTTGGACGTAAAAACCCAAGGGCAGAGTACAGAATATTTGATAGAGTCTAACCTCAACATATGAGGAAAGGGATTTAGGGGTGATTATTTCTGATGACTTAAAGGTAGGCAGACAATGTAATAGAGCAGCAGGAAATGCTAGCAGAATGCTTGGTTGTATAGGGAGAGGTATTAGCAGTAGAAAGAGGGAAGTGCTCATGCCATTGTACAGAACACTGGTGAGACCTCACTTGGAGTATTGTACACAGTACTGGAGACCGTATCTTCAGAAGGATATTGATACCTTAGAGAGGGTTCAGAGAAGGGCTACTAAACTGGTTCATGGATTGCGGGATAAAACTTACCAGGAAAGGTTAAAGGATCTTAACATGTATAGCTTGGAGGAAAGACGAGACAGGGGGGATATGATAGAAACATTTAAATATATAAAGGGAATCAACACAGTAAAGGAGGAGACTATATTTAAAAGAAGAAAAACTACCACAACAAGAGGACATAGTCTTAAATTAGAGGGACAAAGGTTTAAAAATAATATCAGGAAGTATTACTTTACTGAGAGGGTAGTGGATGCATGGAATAGCCTTCCAGCTGAAGTGGTAGAGGTTAACACAGTAAAGGAGTTTAAGCATGCGTGGGATAGGCATAAGGCTATCCTAACTATGAGATAAGGCTAGGGACAAATGAAAGTATTTAGAAAATTGGGCAGACTAGATGGGCCGAATGGTTCTTATCTGCCGTCACATTCTATGTTTCGAGGTGTGGTACGCTGGTTGGAATTCCAAATACGGACTGTAGCTGTAAGATTTCCCTGGGAAGAAATTTAGCCCTAACAACTGTCTTAGTGGTGAGAGATCATATTTATATCGGCACTATTGCTTCTCAATAATATTTAAAGGGACACTATAACAACAAGAATCAATACAGCGTACAGAGAAGAATGTTTCCCATTGAGATTCTTAGACCTAATGCATTTCTATGAGGAGATACAGGCTGGTACAATATAGGGAATTTGTGCATGCAAACCAACCCCAATGCCTCTCTATAGGGAAGCATTGCAATGGTAGAGATCATCAATAATGATTTCAGCTAGAGGAGGGATAGAAACCAGAGCGAGACCGGCGAGGAATAGGAAAAAAAGGAAGTAAAAACTTAATTTAAAGAACCCAGAGATCAATCTAACGTTAGAAATATTAGTTTTTTTGTTGTTGTTTTTTTACATTAGAGTGTTCCTTTAAATCACTAATAAACCTCCTTTGCAAGGTTATTATTGACAATATTGACATTGACATATCAATGTATTGTACTATAATTTTGACTGATAACAGGGATGGCTGACTCATACAAGCTTTCTCTTTACCAGTGCATCTTCTGATGTCATTTAAATTGTAGTTAAAGTGGATGGATTGCTACTTTAAATGACCCTTATAGGATTAGTTCAAATAAGAGAAAAATACATATCTCTTGTTAGAAGCCTGCGGCTGAATGTAGGCATATGCTTAGATCATTTCACCAAAGTATTGTTGCTTCAGGATCTCGAAAGTTGCTATGGCAACTTTGAACTAAGAAGATTTATTTACTTGTAGATATGGTGGCATGAGTTGTGTCTGCAGCTGCAAATATCATTCTGCTTCAAATATAATAAGCTTGAAGCAAACTTTCGAGTGCATAAAAGACTTGTTGTTTGCAGCATCTGTAAATGAAAGGATTAATTTCATTGTAAAATCAAAGAAGTTTTTCATCTAGCTCTTAGTTGCCCTTTAAGTTTTTATTATTATTTTTTTCCTTTTTATTTAAATTGTACTGTAATTTATATTATATGTAAATAAAGAATAGAAAGGCTTTCAACTACTTGAAATCAAAATAATCATATTTGTAATGCTTGTGGTCAATTTGAATTCATCTATCGACCTTAATTATCATCTTCTCCATCTTATCTGTACATGGCATTCTGTGGTTTTAGATCACGCACATTTCTAACCTCCTATGATTTACATAATAATTGTCATTCAATTAATTCACATCTATTTACGATGTTATTTTTAAGAACATATGTATTTATCGATCTATACATAGAATAGGGAAATATTGATTAAATAGTTTTATCTAAAATAGTCCGATTATTTGAGACTTTTCCAAAGATAATTTTTTTATCTTTATTAATTAAAACTGTCAGGGTTATTCACTAAACCGAAAATTCTAATTACATTTTGAAAAAGGTCAAAATCGACAAAATAGAAAAATTCTCGCAGATAGCTATGCTTTCACTTTGGCCACTATGGCTTTAAATTTGAAACTCACTTTGAAGTCACTTTGCACCCTCATATTAGTAAATAACCCTGTATGGTTTGTCATACATATATACATAGTACCTAAAACGTATGTTATACATAGGAGAACAGATTCTCACTTTAATATTCTATTAATATATTATATTAGTCTAAAGGACAGCATTGTTATGGGGTGAATTATCAGATGGAAATTGAATGAAGCACTTAGAAACCGAATGCCAGTGAATTCATGTGTACATACAGACACACATTGGTTCAATCACAGGACAAAATGGAGTGTGCTTTTCATTTCTTTCAATCTTTTTTTTTTTTTCTTCTTTTTTTATCCCAAATCTTCTACTTTCAAAAATGAGTGAGAATTCTGCCCTATAGTGTCCATTTAAATCCATATAATGTTTTCGACACTAGTTTATGGTTACAATTATTTAAAAAAGACAAAAACAATGATCTGCCTATTAGACGAGTTAGCCAAAAACATTAATACATCATATGAACCCTTTTTTGCTCTATGCCCCTCTGTGGTAATGTAGGTGACAAATCTGCTTTCTTTTGTGTTATTTTTTATACAATAGAGTGTTAAACATCTTAGAAGTCCCACACCTTTGAATATGAATGCCATATTTTTTATATCAATATAAATTCCCTTGTCTTGTCATTATAGTGATTTTAAAGAAGGAACGGTGTTAATGTTCAAGGAAACACATACAAAATAAATACTTAAATGAATGATGTAATACAAAAATACTTCATCCAAGGTAAAAATCATTGTGGTTTTGCAGGACACATTTTTCCATAAATCTCTCTAATTACCCTATGCTTGTGTTCATAGGAAGAAAAATATCTATCAATGTCAGTTTCTCTTGAGGGCAGAACATTGAAGCAGAAGCTAAGCAAGAGACCTGCCTTCACGTCAGCTTTGTGTACTCTGGTGATGCTCCCTCTTCCAGTAAAGTTCCTCTTCTTTTAAGAGAAAAAAAATTACAGAAATGAGAGTGAGTATTTAACAAATGTACTTGGCAGAATAAGTACCGGAAATTTCCTTTAAGAAGTTCTTGAAGCCCCGAACATTGTTATGAGCATGGGACATCCCAATGCACATTGTCCTCACATTCCCCTGTTTTAGTCTCCATGGTGACATAAGCATTTGTTTGGGATAGCTTATGTTTTTGAAGAATTTTTTTTTTTGTACATACCTGGTTATTGGCAGAAATCATTTGTATTGGATACCTCTGCTTTTAAATGGGTGTTTTTAAATCCATTTTGATTGCATTTTGTCGTGTGTATACCACAATGGGATGTCTGACGACGCCCATGGCTCCAGAACTGAAGTATCATGAAGCATCATTTCATTTAAGCCCATAGACAAAGGAAAACACCAAGCCTGTAAACTGGTATGATACAGAGGAGACCTATATTCCAATTTAAACCCTCATGATCTATTGTAGTTAAAGGGCAACTGTCACTTCTCAGGAATTCACATGATTGAATAAAGCATTCAAAATCACCTATACTTTGAGCTCACTTTATTTTCATCATTTGCTCTGTTTTCTTTTTAAATGTCCGTTAAAGAATTGGCAAATGACATCATAATCCAGTTCAGACAAGGCAGAGTTAAAGCAAATATTACAAATGAAGAGAAGAAATAAAGGGCGGGCCAAAATTCAGGGTAGGGTTTTAGAAGTCAATAACTTTTTTATTAATAAACCAATTTCAGTGATATAACATACAGTGAATGCTTAACGAATGGAGATTTGTTTGACTACATATGGAAGATAAGCTCCATTTGCTGCCTTGCAAAATCAGGCTCTTTCTATTACATTGCTCGTAATATTAATGTTTGAGGATCTAGCACTCAAATTTCTGCACGGATATGCTAATTGAGTGGCTTGTTTGTGTACACGTCTTGTTCATGTACACCTGCTCCTTCCTATATTCTCACAGGAAGTAATCTGGAGCTGAAAGGTTGCTGCCCCATTGAGAGCCAGCGCAATCAAAGCATAGTCCTTGCTGTGTGCCTTAACAGGCTGATGGGGAGTTCAAAGATTTATTTCACTGGCCCACAGGCACTTCATTGCAGTAAAGCAGAATGAGAGGAGAGGAGGACTCGTCCCATGAGCAGGGCAATTCAGAGCGTTGCTGTGGTCACCACAGCAATGCTCCAAGGCCAGTGGTGTATCCTGGTTTTGTGCTGCCCTAGGCAGGACAAAACTCAGGCACCCCCCCCCCAACATTTCCCCCCCGCACCGCCTTCTAAATACACACACACACATTCACTGACAGATATGCATACACTCGCTAACAGAAACACACACACACTAATAGACACACTAACACTCACTAACAGACACACACTCACTGACACTCACAGGCAAACACACTCACATTAACAGACACACAGAGTCAGACACACACACAGTCACACACACACACTCACAGGCAAACACACACTCACTAGCAGACACACACACACTCACTGCACACAGTCAGACACACACATACACACTAACAGACACACACAGTCAGACACACACACACTAACACACACTCACTCACTAACAGACACACTCATACAGTCAGACACACACACATTAACAGACACACTAACAGACATATACACACACATTTTTATTTTTTTTCTCTCTCTCCCAGTGGCTGCTGGGCGGGTGGCTGGCGAGGGAGCTCTTCCTCTGAGCTGTCTGCTCAACTCCGTCACGCGCCGCAGAGTGAGGCTGGGAGCCGGAATATGACGTCATCTTCCGGCTCCCAGCCTCACTCTGCGGCGCGCGAGGGAGCTGAGCAGACAGCTCAGAGGAAGTGCTTCCTCGCCAGCCGCCCGCCAGCACCGCCCAGCATGTCAGTTAGCCGCGAGGGTTAGCCATTTGGGGGGGGGCGACGTTTTTTGCCGCCCCCTGAAAAATGCTGCCCAAGGCAAATGCCTTGTTTGCCTCGCGGCTAAAACGCCCCTGTCCAAGGCCCTCGTAAGAGGACTGAACTCTGCCTGCAGCCAGAGGAGTTGCAGGCTGGAGTTACTACCACCGGACCACCAGGGCTTGCAATGTCCCATCTCCCTGAGAAAAATGGGGAAGAAAGGGGGAGGGGACATAAATATTTTTTGGAAATAATAAAATTAAATTTTTTTATTTTTGCTCCCAACCCCCGCAAAAACACAATATGTGGGCCCTATACCTTCCAACACAGTCACACACTTCACCTCTCACACACAGTACTCCCCTCACACACACACACATTTCACCACTCACACACACAGAATACACCCCTCAGACAAAGATACACATTGAACACCTCACATACACATACACATTGCACTCATTACACAAATAATGCACTCTTCATAAACACTGCAGCCTTCATACACACTGTACCCCTCCACACACTGCATCTCGCATACACACTACATCCCTTTTATACACTGCATCCCTTATACACACACTCTGAATCCTATATGCACTGACTAAATCTCCTTTATGCAGAAACACAAACAACGCTCCTTTAGCATACACTTTACAGCCCCTACACACACATACATAACAGTCCCTAATCACATACTCACTGAATCCCCTATACACACACACTATGCCCCCTATACACACAAACATACACACTCTTACCACCAGATACAAGTCACAAGCTAACACAGTGCAAACGTGTCATTAAATCCACTTGTGCTGTGCAGAACAAATACAGGGCCTTTTTCTCATAGGATAGCACTTCAGCATGGCTCTGCGCATGGTCTATCCTTGAATAGCATTGAATCAACATGCTCACTTTGAGGGAGGCATACTCATCATTGGTGGACACAACAGCCCCCTCTGACCCTAACCCCTTCCCACTGGACCGCTGTGATTAAAAAATGCCCTGGACGAATTTAAGTTTCACTATTTTTACTCATTGTTACTTTGTGAAATTATCCATGGTGAATCTCCCAAAACTCAGTTACAATATGTACCTGCAACAGAAAAAAATAACTACTAACAAATAAGTTATTTACTTTTCAAATCCTACTCATCACGGTTCGCCACGAACGGTTCGCCGCGGACTCCATTCAGCAGACACATTCCAGCCAATCAGCAGCAGACCCTCCCTCCCAGACTCTCCCACCTCCTGGACAGCTCACTAAGAATGCAGCTTCAAAATGGATGCTCTCCAGGAGGTGGGAGGGTCTGGGAGGGAGGGTCTGCTGCTGATTGGCTGGAATGTGTCTGCTGACTGGAGTCCATGGCGAACCGTTCGGGACATCACTACCCCACTGTATAAACATTGTTTCAGTTCTCCTTTTCTTTATATTCTCTCTCCATGCTGACAGCATATTCTACATTTAATTTTATTTTTTTGCTACTCACAAAACCATATGTTTTAATCATAGGGCTAAGGAAATATATATATTACATACCCTGGGAAGTGGTAGCTCCACCTTAATAACTCAGATAAAAAAAAAAAAAATGTAACATGATTATAAAAGATGCACTTATAACCAGCAGGTAAAAAAAAAATATTAAGCCATTAAATCAGGCAATATTTCATAAAGAGAGCTCTTTGTCTGCTTTAGAGGTACACAATTGATAAATGAATGTGAAAGAAACTAAATGTTATTCTAAAACAAGAGAACATAATTCATATCACAAATTCTAGGGTATTTTTTTTCATTAGCTTAAACTGCAGATGGCTCTATTTAAAAACTTCCCAGGACAAATATTAAAGATTATGAAAAAACAAAGTCTATCTCTTCCATACCTGAAATAACAGGACTGGTGGACTGGTGGATTAACATAGGATATAGAATGGAGGATAAGATACTACAAGGTGCGGAAAATAGTGAGGCACGGAAAATTTTGGGAACATATACAGGTTCTCAGAATATTATTTATTTATTATTTAAGGTACAGGAAATATGGAGATACAGATATGAAAAGGACTTGATGGTGTTGGATAGGTTCTGTTTTACAGCTTGCCTTCCAGCTATTTTATGTTTCAGTTGGTAATACAAATAAATGTCTGGTGTATTTTTCAGTGTTTGTTTTATTTTGATTAGTTGTGGTTTTGCTGTTTGTGTTGCATATATTGTATATATTATCTTTATGAGAAAATCAAATAAAGAGTATTATTACAAAACAACAACAAAAAAAAAATAATAAAGAAAACTAAAGGGCCTGCTTCAATAAGACACCATAGCACCATTCCAATTATTAAAGAGACAATACAGTTTCAGTACACAAAAAATCAGGACCATGTCTACAAAAGGTTCAACGTGAGATTAAAATAACAGGCCTGATTTTTCATGATAAATATGTAAAATTGATGTATTTTTTCTCTTCACTCAAATCTGCTTAGTTTTGTTTAAAAAAATAAAATGTTGCTTTCTGCTGAAAAAAAATCCCACCTTAGCCATGCCTTCTCTTTTCACTAATTGTCTTCCGGATTGGAAGGTTTGTAGTTTACCTCAGCCAATAAGATATTAGCTTGAACTGAGCTGGTGACTTGACTCCACCAGACTGAAAACAACAGACTTTTCATTAAAGTGCATACGTCCCAACTCCAGTGTCCAGAGAATCAGGATACTGGAGGGAGGTAAAGGGGACCGATCAGGCATACAATTTCATAACTAGCTCCGCCCCCAATTACTGTCAGGTCAGCCTGGTGTTAATGCACACCATGTTGCCTGTCCATCATTTAAGCCAGCCCACTGAGGACAGGCCGTGCAGGGAACCCTGTAGATTCACTTGTGCTATGCTTTTTGGGGACAGTTCCCCGGTATGCCCAAAAGCGGAACACCAGGTAACTAAGTGTATGGCGGTGAAGACCATAAGATTGGAACAGTTCAGAGGCATTTTTTAAGCATGTAGCTACCGAGGTCATAAGAACTAATACAGAAACCGCAAAATTTACTTACAAACATATGCAAAACTCTAAGACTTCTCGACTGGAAAATAAGATTATTCAGCTCACTTATTATTCAGCTCACTTATGATTTAGCAGTTCTGTCAGAGTTAAGGTAACAGAGTGCAGGCACAAAGAATCCAACTATACCATGTGTTTTAGGCAACTGGTTACATGATGTAAAACAGGTAAACTTGTAACTTGGTATTTAACTTCTTTCACACCCAAATGACTGACATTGCTAACTAAAGTGTAAGTTTCCTTGATAATGATACGTTCCTTGGGCTTGCCTGCTCCCAGTCAATGTATCTATTATCCAGTGTTCTCAATATAAAAATCACACAACCACATTTAATTACCTAACTGAAACCATATTTTTGTTTTGTCAAATTTCTATATTTTCTTTGTTTTAAGGTGTATAATGCTTTTAGTAACAGAATGATGAATTAGGTTGGAAAGAGCACAAGAGATTGCACTCTGAGAAAGACCCATACCAGGTAAAAAAGCGTTAATGCGGATATACCCTAGGACTTTTTTTAAGTGGGCTTATATAACATATGCTATTATTTTACCTTATTTGCTTTAAAAGCTGGTATAAAATAAAACAAGAAAGACAGTTTATGAGAAACATCGTTTGGTGCTTATTCCATACTAAGGTGATATGGCACTCTGTGGATTGTCCTGGAAGTACCAGAGATGGAATTCCCAGTTTTCTGTACTTGTATTAAAGTCTGCAGCTGCTGCCTCTGCCGCTGATCTGGCTGCTTGGCTGACATCATCAGAACTGAATCTCTGAACCAATCGCAATGCTTTCCCATAGGATTGGCTGAGATTGTCAAGAAAGCAGACAAGGGGCAGAGCCAGCACAAGTCAAACACAGCCCTGGCCAATCAGCATCTCCTCATAGAGATGCATTGAATCAACACATCTCTATGAGGAATCGCCATGGGGTTAAAGTTTAGTAAGGGCCATACACAGTCCAATAGAAGTCCATAAGCCCCAAGACTGTTTTTAAAGTGCCCAATCTCCCAGGGGCCATAGTCCCAAGGCACAAGGCTGGTAATCAGTCCCCTCCAAAAACCAGTGGCGAGGCCGCTTTCGCCACAGTAATGTTAACCCTCAGGGGTGTATTTAGCCTAAGGCAAACTAGGCATTTGCCTTGGGCGGAACTATTTAGTGGGTGGCAAAAAATGCTGCACCTAAACGCCCACTGAGGCGTCCCGTGTGATTTCCCTGTCATGGGGGGCGGGGGGCAAGAGCTGACCTGCTGGTCAGCTAATACAGACCCCCCCCCCCTCCATCCCTCAGACAGGCGGCTTCCCATCCCAGGTGGCGAGGGAGCTGTGATTTCTCTGCTCTGCTCCCTCTCGCACCATTTACTGATGCCGTGGGAGCCGGAATATTATGTCATATTCTGGCTCCTAGCATCAGTAGACAGCCCGCGAGGGAGCAGAGCAGAGAGATCCCAGCTCCCTCGCCGCCTCGGATGGGAAGCCGCCCGCCACATAGCAGCCCAATTATTAAGTTGTGAGTGTGTGTGTGTGTGTCTTTGTGTCTGTGAGTATGTGTCTGTGAGTGTGTGTGTGTATGTGTGTCTGTGAGTGTGTATGTGTCTGTGAGTGTGTGTATGTGTCTGTGAGTGCATGTGTGTAGATGTGTGTGTCTGTGAGTGTAAATGTGAATGTGTGTGTATGTGTCTGTGAGTGTGTGTCTGTGAGTGTCTGTTAGTGCATGCGTGTGTCTGTTAATGCATGTGTGTTTGTGTGAGTGTGAATGTGTGTGTGTCTGTGAGTGTAAATGTGAGTATATGTGTGTGTCTGTGAGTGTAAATGTGAATGTGTGTGTCTCAGTGTAAATGTGAGTGTGTATGTGTGTGTGAGTGTGTAGGTGTCTGTGAGTGTGTGTGTGTGAGTGTGTATGTGTCTGTGAGTGTGTGTGTGTGTCTGTTAGTGCATGCGTGTTTGTGTGTGTGTGTCAAATCAGTGAGAGTCTCTGAGTGACTATCAGTGTGTCTGACAATTAGTGTCAGTGGGTGTCTGTCAATGAATGTGTCAGTGAATGTGTGTGTGTCAAATCAGTGAGCCTATGTTTGTCATTGAGTGTATGTGTGTAACTGTAAGTGTGTATCTGCCAATGCGTGTGTGTCAATAAATGTGTGTCAACTCAGTGTGTCTGACTGTCAGTGATGTCCGTGTGTCTGTCATTGTGTGTGTGACTGTCAGTGTGTATCTGCCAGTGTGTGTCTGTCAGTGGATGTGTGTGTCAGAGTGTGTGCTTAAAGGGACACTATAGGAGCTCAGACCACTTCAGTTTAGTGAAGTAGTCTGGGTGAAGTATCCCAATCTCTTTAACCCTGCAAGAGTTGTTATTGCAGTTTCTCAGAAACTGCAATAATTACCTTCAGGGGTTAACTCCACCTCTAGTGACTGTCTACCAAAAGTCGCCTAACTGATGCTGGACGTCCTCACGTGGTGCATGAGGACATCAGGCATCTGCTAAATCCCCATAGGAAAGAATTTAAAAAAATGTATCACACAAAAATATATAACATAACTCATCATTAAAATATATATATTATCCTACTGCATGTATCAATTCAATGGCTATCAAATGTCCTATTATAAATGCCAAATTTTAATTATATATTAACCCCAAATCAGTGTTTATTTAAAATAATAATAAAACATGCCATCTTACTGAATATTTGCTCTAAATAATAAACAGATATGGGACCCCCTTCTATTGCTTTTCTTCAAGCTGACATGAGTATGGCACAAGGGCGCAGGCTGTGTGCGGTGATTTTCTAGTGGGCATTCAACCTATAAATACTGAGGCCCATAAGGGATTTATCAAAGACCACCCAAAAAAATAAGTCATGTACTCCAAGCAGGTCCAGCTTAGCTCCTCCCATTCCTGGTTACATTCCCTTCCTCTAACGGGTTATACATTTATAACTAATTGTCGTGGTCTGTAAATGGCAAAAAAAAAATTTAGAATTTGCCTGCCTAGATAAATGGGGGCTAAGTTTTAATTTTGATTATACTGGGTATTTAACCCCTTCAGGACGTGCGTTTGGACCGTTGACGGTCCTGAACCGTCATAGCGAAAAACGGGCTGTGGGAAGCGATCAAAGATCGCTCCCGCCAGTATAACACTGTAACTATCTGCCAGACATACCAGGCAGATAGTAACAGCCAATTGCGGCGTGTGAGCGATCCGCGATCGCACACAATTGGCTGCTGTCAAAGTGGGTGTTACAAACACTCACTTTGACAGTGATCTCTGCCCCTCTCCTCTGTAGTGTTTTGTGAGGCGAGAGAGACAGAGATCCTGATAGTTTGTTGCAGAAGTATTTAGTGACCATCAGAAAGTATCAGTATTTTATTTTAAAAAAAAAACCCTTCCCTGCCAGATCTGTTACAGCAGTGCATTTGTACTGTCTGTATTTTTTTTTGCCCTTAAAGGGTTAAATTTGTTTCAAAAATCTGTGTCTTGGTCTGTTTTGGTCTGTCTTAGTCAGTCAGTTTCCTTCCCCCAAATCTCCATTAGATTTTTGTGACAGAAGTTAGTTTAGGGATTGCTGTTTAGTCTGTTTTAGTAAAAAAAAAAAAAGTATAATTTTTTTTTGTGTTTTTGTAATTTGTTTGTCGTATGTAAAACATGCAGCGTATGTATAACTTGCAGGAGGCATATGCCTTCTTGGCGTCAGACTGACGCCACTGACACTGCGTCAGATTTTGACCCACGTCAGTTTTCTGACACGTCTAGTCAAGACGACATGTCATCTGTGTGTGAGCCGGCTGAAGAAAGAAGCTGTGCTTCCTCTGCTACGCCAAATGTGGAGGAGCACTGGGTACCTCCACAGTTAGCCGAGCTCAACATCCCCCCTTTTAGTGCCAATGCAGGCATTAATGTTAATGTGGATGGCTTCTCCCCAATGCAGTATGTAGAACTATTTTTAGGGCATACCATCTGGGAGGAGATTGCTTCCCAGACTAACTTGTATGCTACCCAATTTATTGATAACAATCCAGGTAGCTATACAGTCAGGGAGCATGACTGGCATCCCACAGATGTCCCAGAGCTTAAAAAATTCTGGGCTCTTACAATGCTCATGGGGATTATAAAGAAGCCATCGATTCGCTCATACTGGAGCACCAACTCAATAATGGCTAGTCCAGTATTCTCCCAAACCATGCCTAGAGCCAGATACGAGTTACTGCTGAGATTTTTACATTTCAGTGACAATACCCTCTGTCACCCTAGAGATCACCCCCAATACGATAGGCTTCATAAAATACGCCCACTGCTAGACCATTTTCAGGACAAATTTTCTGATGTTTATACCCCCTAACAAAATTTATCCATAGATGAATCGCTAATGAAATACAAAGGGAGATTAGGGTTCAGACAATACATCCCCTGAAAGCGCTCTAGGTATGGCATAAAACTGTACAAACTGTGCGAGACCGAAAGTGGATACACGTTTGCCTTTCGTGTATATGAGGGGAAAGATGGTCAACTGGACCCTCCTGGCTGTCCTGACTACCTGGGGACAAGTGAGAAACTTGTATGGGACCTACTAAACCCCTTGTTTAATAAAGGTTACCACCTTTATGTGGATAATTTTTATAGTAGTGTCCGTCTGTTTAAAACACTTTATGGTTTATTGGCACTGCCAGAAAAAATTCCAAAGACTTTCCACGATCTCTCATAGAGGCAAAATAAAAAAAAGGTGAATGTAAAGCACTTTGCAAAGCTGAAGTGCTTGCACTAAAATTTAGGGACAGGAAGGATGTCAACATGCTAACCACCATCCATGACGAACGCATGTCAGACGTCTCTGTCCGGGGCAGAGTAGAGTCCAAACCGGTTTGCATCAGGGCGTATAATAAGTACATGGGGAGTGTTGATTTGGCTGATCAGCTGATGCAGCCATATCTTATTTTACGAAAAACCAAAGCATGGTATAAAAAGGTGGCTATCTATCTGATGCAAATAGCAACCCACAACTCATTTTTGCTTTTTTTTTTTTAAATAATCCATGGAAAACCACCTTTCTCTAATTTCAGTTGAAAATAATTTCTTTAACAATTTATGGAGATGGACAAGTTCCAACAATGGTGCAAGCTGAGTCCAGGCATTTTATTTTTAAGTTAGCGCCAACTGCTAGAAAACCCCCACCCAGAAACGTTGCTGAGTCTGTTTTAAAAACTAGAAAAGGACAGACACCCCTTTTTACTGTCCTGATTGCCCTTCGAAACCAGGACTGTGTGTAGGAACATGTTTCAAGCTGTACCACACAGAACAGTTGTAAGAAGTGTTCCTGAATTTTTATTTTATTTTTTGTTTCCTTGGAAAGCAGCCATTTTTTGTTAGTCAGTTTCCTTCCCCCAAATCTCCAGCTAGATTCTATTTGCAGGAGTCAGTTTAAAGATTGCTGCTAAATGTACATTTGCTACCTGCAGATTTGGTCTAACAAGTTTTATGGTAGTAACACATAACCAGATGAGGTGTGCATAAAACCAGAATTTAAAAAATTACCACTACACTTTCTCTGTTTTTTCTGGGGGGCAAAATGGTTGGGGGAAAGAAGTCAAAACACCCCATCTTCTATAACCTTTGATGTCTACTTTATAAAAATATATACTATATATACTTTTGTAATGGTAAAATTAACTGGGGGGTGCAAAAATATGTCAAACTGAAGGTAGACCAAGCATACCTATAAATCAAGTTGAAAAATTGACATGTACAAGTTCTGATTGTTGCCTTTTGGCCCCCAAACAACCCAGCAACTCTATACATGGGTGGTATCACTGTACTCGGGAGATGTTGCTGAACATATTGGGGTGTTGTTTGGCAGTGACACATAACAGGATCTGTTAATTCATGCCTAAAGTACAATGTGTGTGAAAAAACAGAAAAAAAAATTACTACCTCAATGTTTGACAAAGCCTGGTGGTATAATTAGTGCGTGGAACGTGTTAAAATACCACCATGTGAAATACCCTAGGGTGTCTACTTTTCAAAAATATATACTTTGATGGGGGTAAAATACATTGGCCTGCTTCAAAAATGTCCCAAATAGGACATGCATGCAGGTTGACTACATGTCAAAATTCCAAGCTTGGAAACTGATATGCGCACCTGCAAAATGTGGCCTTTTAGCCCCCAAACAACCCAACACACCTATACATGGGGGGTATCCCTGTACTCGGGAGATGTTGCTGAACACATATTGGGGTGTTGTTTGGCAGTGACACATAACAGGTTCTGTTAATTCATGCCTAAAGTACAAAGTGTGTGAAAAAAACAGAAAAAAAACGTACTACCTCAATGTTTGACAAAGCCTGGTGGTAGAATTAGTGCATGGAAAGTGTTAAAATACCACCATTTGAAATACCCTAGGGCAGGGGTAGGCAACTTATGGCACCTGTGCCATGCACGGCACTCGAGGTGCTTTTGCATGGCACTCAAGGCTGCTAGAGCAAAACAGGCTCTGGCCCGATCAGGAGTCCCAGTGAAACTTCAGATATCTGCCAATACGAAAAGGTGGTGAAGGACAATCTTCAATTTATGCATTGCAGCACGTAGAAGATCAATTCCTCCCAGCACTTGTGAATGGGAATCCATACTGTAGTAGAGCAGCCCTCAGCAGCTGTCGCAGCTCCTGCCCTTGACATGTATATGGCCAGCCAGGTACCCACTAACACTGCTAGATATACACAGAGCTGCAGAATAAACCTCCCCTCATACAAATAATAGCAGCCAACACAACACAATCTCAACACCACTGACAATCCATGTACATGCAGTCTCTCACATGCAATACCCCAAACAGCCCCACACATATACACTACGAAACACACATTGCGATATATCCATCCACACACACACACACACACACACACACACACAATTCCACAAGTAGCCCCCATACACAGCTGACATTCATAGGTACACAATACCACAAACTACTCATGAACATATAAAATATAATAGCTAATATGCGCACAAATACAACTATAAAAAGCAACTGCAGTATAAATAGCACAAGCAGAATACGCAACATACACATCTCAATTTAAAAAAAATAGGAGACATCACAATCTTATTTCGGCACAGTGCTGTTAAAAGGTTGCCTACCCCTGCCCTAGGGTGTCTACATTAAAGGGGGTAAAATGTCCCAAATAGGACATGCATGCAAGTTGACTACATGTCACAATTCCAAGTTGGAAACGGATATGCACACCTGCCAAATGTGGCCTTTTAGCCCACCAACAAACCGACATACCTATACATGGGTGGTATCACTGTACTCGGGAGATGTTGCTGAACACATATTGGGTGGTTTGGCAGTGACCCATAACAGAATCTGTGAATTTATACCTGAATTGCAATGTATGTGAAAAAACAAACAAAAAAAAACTACCTATGCAAAGTTTGGCAAAGGTTTGTGGTAAAATGGCTGCATAGAAAGTATCAAAATATTCTTAGATGAATACCCTGGGTTATCTAGTTTAAGAAAAATATATACATGTGGGGTGTTTTTTTGGAGATTTTTGACATAACAGTGTTACAATGTCACTATTGATACATTTGAAAAATGTACATTTTGAAACAGCAATTTCCTACTTGTACTTATAGCCCTATAACTTGCAAATAAAAGCAAGAAAACACGTAAACATTGGGTGTTTTTAAACTCAGGACAAAATTTTGAATCTATTTAGCAGTTTGTTTCGTTCGATTTTGTAGATCAGTAAAAGATTTTTTAAGTAGAATCAAAAAACTTGTTTTTTTTATTTTTCACCATATTTTAAATTATATGACATGATAAAAATAATAGTATGTAAAGAAAGCCCTTTTTGTCCTGAAAAAAACAATATATAATTTATATCAGAACAGTAAATGAGAGAGCGGAAAATTACAGCTAAACACAAACACCACAAAAGTGTTAAAATAGCTCTGGTCCTTAACGTACAAACATCGCAAAAACAGTCCGGTCCTGAAGGGGTTAAGGCAGTTCCAGAAGGTTAGCCTTGGTCTTCAATGCTGGATTAATTAATTAATTTTCATTTTCTGTTTTAAAATAAAGTTATAGAGTTTACTATATTAGTGATTAGTAATAATGTTATTTTAAAATGCCTTTAAAATAAAGACCGCTGCCTTACTCCAACTGTGTCATAGTGTCATTTATTTTATTCAGTTTGCTTATTTACACTGAACAAATTATAAACGCAACACTTTTGTTTTTGCCCCTATTTCTCATGAGCTGAACTCAAAGATCTAAGACTTTTTCTATGTACACAAAAAGTCTATTTCTCTCGAATATTGTTAAAAAATCTGTCTAAATCTGTGTTAGTGATCACTTCTCCTATGCCGAGATAATTCATCCACCTCAAAGGTGTGGCATATCAAGATGTTGATAAAACAGCATAATTATTGCACAGGTGTGCCTTAGGCTGGCCACAATAAAAGGCCACTCTAAAATGTGCAGTTTTATCACACAGAACAACGCCACAGATGTCGCAAGTTTTGAGGGAGCATGCAATTGGCATGCTGACTGCAGAAATGTCAACCAGAGCTCTATCATAAGCCATTTCTCTATCATAAGCCATCTCCAAAGGCACTTCAGGGAGTTTGGCGGTATATCCAACCAGCCTCACAACCACAGACCACGTGTAACCACACCAGCCCACATCCAGCATCTTCACCTCCAAGATCGTCTGAGACCAGCCACCCGGACAGCTGCTGCAACAATCGGTTTGCATAACCAAAGAATTTCTGCACAAACTGTCAAAAAACGTCTCAGGAAAGCTCATCTGCATGCTTGTTGTCCTCATCGGGGGTCTCGATCTGACTGCATTTCATCGTCATAACAGACTTGAGTGGGCAAATGCTTACATTCAATAGCGTCTGGCACTTTGGAGAGGTGTTTTCTTCACTGATGAATCCCTGTTTTGCACTGTTCAGGGCAGATGGCAGACAGCGTGTATGGCATTGTGTGGGTGAGCGGTTTGCTGATGTCAACGTTGTGGATCAAGTGGCCCATGGTGGCGCTGGAGTTATGATATGGGCAGGCGTATGTTATGGACAATGAACACATGTGCATTTTATTGATGGCATTTTGAATGCACAGAGATACCATGACAAGATCTTGAGGCCCATTGTTGTGCCATTCATCCACGACCATCACCTCATGTTGACAGCGTGTTCCAGGTCCTGCCAATATCCAGCAACTTTGCACAACCATTAAAGAGGAGTCGACCAACATTCCACAGGCCACAATCAATAACCTGATCAACTCTATGCGAAGGAGATATGTTGCACTACATGAGGCAAATGGTGGTCACACCAGATACTAACTGGTTAGTACACTCCCCCCCCGGAATCCCCCAATACAGTAAAACTGCACATTTTAGAGTGACCTTTTATTGTGACCAGCCTAAGGCACACCTGTGCCATAATCATGCTATCTAATCAACATCTTGATATGCCACACCTGTGAGATGGATGGATTATCTCGACAAAGGAGAAGTGCTCACTAACACAGATTTAGACAGATTTGTGAACAATATTTGAGAGAAATAGGCCTTTTGTGTACATAAAAAAGTCTTAGATCTTTGAGTCCAGCTCATGAAAAATGGGGGCAAAAACAAAAGTGTTGCGTTTATAATTTTGTTCAGGGTAGTTTCCTTTCCAAACATATACAATATTCAAGCATCAATGCTATCTAATTGAGTGTGCTCGTACGGTAAACTCTTCAGACACTCCCTCTCAATCTGTCTTCTTTACTGCCTGTAGAGGGTATTACTGTATCGGTGAGAACCCTGTTGCGTCCAAATGTAAAATGTGATGACACTTAGCAGAAGTACTATATAAAATATAAACATCTCATTTCATTCATCTACTGTAAGGCTGCAAAATCTGATTCTACTAAAGAATCTGCTTTAGAACCAAAATTGCACACCTGCTTGCGTTACACATGCTTTCATTTTACAAATGTACATATATATAAAATTTCAAGACAGTAATACAGTGACAATAATCTTGCTACACTGATGCTCTTTGTCAGCAGGAAATCTGTAGCCTAGACGGATTATACTGTTAGTTTCTACAGGATCAATAAGGATTAGGTAAACTGTAAAAAAAAAAATCTCTTTCCTTCTATTGACAGAAGGTAATTAGCCGAGATGCTGCATCTATCTCTTTGCGTGGAGTTATAGGCTGTATTGTTAAGCCGTTTGTAATAGATAACACGTCTGGTCTGTGATAATAATAAGGGATTTGTCTAACCCTTGTACATGTAAAAAACAACGCAAATAATGATCGTAGCAAATCATACTTTTTGGGTTTGATGTAAAATGAAAGAACTATCCTTTTTTTTTACATACCTGATAAGCCTCCTCCAATGACGACCACATCGCATTTGTTACTCATGGTGAGATCCTTTCTATTGTTGCTGTTTTTTGTTTTTGTTTTTATCTTTCTTTTTCTCAATACTGAAGCAAAAAAAAAAGCCCTGATGCTTGAGTGCTGAATAAAGCTACTAGGACTCCCCCCTTTTCAGCTGTCAGCAGCTTCAGCGAGCCTTTCTAAAGAGAGTTCCGCCTAACGACTCCTCCTTCTCCCAATGTGATGTGGGAAGTGTGCACTGATCCTCTTAGAATGAAAAACTAGAAGCTCAGACTTATTGCTCTGTCGGTACACAAGCCTGTTTTAACAGTTCGAGAGCCAGAGAACTGTAAGGTAGAAAAGAAAAAATAAATGGCAGAGGAAAAGGATAGTTTCATTTTTAGTGACAAAACAAACGATTACAGGTTTGCATGGCAACTTTTGACACGTTGCCAACATTTAATATTGGTGATAATATACCAGATGCTGAGAGAGTAATTGCATATATTTTTTTAACTGCTTGAATGCCAGGTGTTTGTCCCTTTTCTACTTATTTGGTTGATATGATTGTCTCAGCTGCCCACTAAAATGCAAGTGTTGGTTCACTTTTGATTAAAAAAAAAAGAAAAATTGGTGTGAGAAGCGGGTAACATATGTAACATAGAAAAATAGAAACATAAAATGTGACGGCAGATAAGAACCATTCAGCCCATCTAGTCTGTCCAATAAAAGTTATGCAAGTTTAAACATTTTACTTTAAATATTTGAATGTATAAACACCACTTTTAATAACAGCATATACTGCATGGAACATTAAACACTCAACACGCATCTCCAAAGCAAACCCCGAGGAGTCTGTCAGGTATTAGCTTTTGGCATTCAGATGATTACAAATTCATACTGTATATATGGCTGTTTGTTCATGTGGCCTAAAAGCAAATATTCATATTGCCTTGTGCCCAAATACACTAAAACTACTTCCATAGTGAATTAAATGTATACATGGTTAGCGGAGCTCCTATACCCTGGCTGGTTATCTCTGCTGGAATATCCCTTGAACTGGAAGAAAGCGCTGTTTAGTGTTATAGCCCTTAGACGACACTTGATTTTGGGACAATGACAAAGTTTAACGGGACAAGGTGGTCTTTAATACACAGATCCCGTCTCCATTGTGCACATAGGTAGTCCCTCCCTGGCGTCTCTGTGTCTGGGAGACAATTGAGTCACCTCTCGCTAAATCAATTATCTCCCGAATACAGAGCACCTTACATAAAAAAATAAATAAATAATAATAATAAAACAACCCCTACCCCCCACAAGCAATATATGATTCGAAAGGTCTGAATTGAGTGCCCCTTCTAGCAAAAGATCGCTCATGTCCATGAGGAATTGGGGAAATGCAACCAGGTTCAAGTTCTGACTGGCAGTTTGCCTATTGTTTCCATGTGTCTCACCCATGGGTGGTTTGTGAAGGACATTTACTCTGTCCTTCATCCCCTGGACTGTGAGATGAGGGACACAATTACTTAAAGGGACACTCCAGGCACCCAGATCACTTCTGCACATTGGAGTGGTCTGGGTGCCAACTCCCACTACCCTTAACCCTGCAACTGTAATTATTGCAGTTTTTTATAAACTGCAATAATTACCTTGCAGGGTTAACTCCACCTCTAGTGGCTGTCTACTAGTGTTAAATCTGTGTTAGTGAGCACTTCTCCTTTGTCGAGATAATCCATCCATCTCACAGGTGTGGCATATCAAGATGTTGATTAGATAGCATGATTATTGCACAGGTAGACAGCCACTAGACAGCCACTAGAGGGCACTTCCTGGTCCATAGCACAGAAAACCGCTGTGTGAGGACCTCCAGCGTCGCTCAACTCCTCATAGGAAAGCATTGAAAAGCATTTTCAATGCATTCCTATGGAGAGCTCTAATGCGCATGCCACACATTCGCATTAGGTCTCCACGGCCGTCGGGATCAGTCTCGCCCACCGTCCGACGTAATGAAGAGGAGGAGTGGCGGCGACCCGACACCACCGGCCGAGGGACATCAGCAGGGGTCTCAGTTAAGTAAGTTTTCACCCCTCCAGCAACTGGGGATTGGGAGGTGGGAGGGAGAGGGGACCTGCAGTGCCAGGGAAATGGATTGTTTTCCTGGCACTGGAGAGTCCCTTAAAAAGAGAACCTGTCAGTAGTCCCCCTTGCATACAATTGAGACCATGCTGACACTCTGTCCAGCTCTCACAGTCTGCTTGTGGGATAATGGCACAACAAACCAAAGTGGGTATTAGCAGGGTTCAAACTGCTTAACTACCTATCCTCTTATTGTCAGATATACCAGTCCCATAGGCACTAAAGGGCACTACTAACATACAATTGTATAAATGAAATAATTTTCTTACCAAACATCTGCATTGTCAAATGATACGACAAAGGTACACACACACACCAGAGGTCAATAAAACACAGATTTCTTACTAAATTTCACACTGAGTAAGCATTGAGGGGTAGAATTCCTCACCATAAAAACACTGTTCTCTTTCATCTTTAGTATGTGTTTCCCTTGCTCTCCTTTCTTTTATAGAATACATTTATATTTGCGTTATTCAAAAACTGATTGATATATTTAATCCCCTATTGATTGTTTGAATGGTGTTTTTATTTCATTATCTCCTGCCTACAAAAATAAAAATTCATAAGGTAAAACAACCACCACATTGTGGTCATGTAATGCAGCTGAAGATAACAACTACATAGAAAGGAAGTCAACTGTGGTGTTCCAAAACCCTTGTACAGGCAATACTGAAAAAAAAAAATAAGGGTGTTCAGCTATGTGAAAAGATAGTCTAAACAGAATTATTAATTTAAGGAAGAGGTGGGAGAGATCACCAGCACCCCACAACGTTACCAGTCCAGTGGACAGGAGTGTATGTATATGCCAGAAAACCGCTCCCACTCTTTCCTTCTCAGTCTTCTCATTTGTGGTCTAAACAACAGCCGAAGATAACAATTTTACATAGAAGAAATAACGGCTTTGGGTGTGCCAAAATTGGCTTACCGGCAACCCTGATAAAACTAGGACAGAAATAACCTGAAAATATATTCAGTAAGTATTCAGGCCCCTTCATTTTTTCATATTTTTTTATATTGCAGCATTATGCTACAATGGCTTAATTATTTATTTTCACATCAATCTACACTGAATACTACTTAGTGACAAAGCAAAAACTACATTTTCGAAACTTTCCAAGTTTATTTAAAAAACAAACAAACTGAAATATCACATTGACAATAGCATTGAGACGCTTTGCTATGATACTTAAAATTTACCTCAGATGCATCCCATTTCTTTGGATCACCTTTGAGATGTTTCTGCACGTTGACTGGAGTCCACCTGTGGCAAATTAAATTGATTGGACATGATTTGGAAAGGTGCACACCTGTTATATGCGGTCCAATGGCGTGTCAGAGCTAAACAGAGCCATGAAGTTGAAATAAATGCTTGCAGAGGTACAGGATAGTGATGTCACGAACCCGAAATAGACTTCAATGGGCAGGCAAATTTTAAAACACACAGGGACTCTTTCGGGCCACAATAGTGATGGAAAAGTTGTTTCAAGGGGACTAACACCTGGACTGTGGCATGCCGGAGGGGGATCCATGGCAAAACTCCCATGGAAAATTACACAGTTGATGCAGAGTCTGGTCTTAATCCATGAAGGGCATAAATCATAACATTCCTAAATCACAATGGATATGGATTGACATATGACATATTGAAACCTTGACATATGGATTGACACCTGTCCTCAGAGACCCTGATAAACACTGACACAGAGCAGAATAGAGACTGTTCCTCCTACATAGGGTCACTTGGCAGATATGGACCAGATAGGGCAGATAGGGTCACTTTGCAGATATGGATTGACACCTGTCCTCAGAGATCATGATACACACTGACACAGAGCAGAATAGAGACTGTTCCCCCTACATAGGGTCACTTGGCAGATATGGATTGACACCTGTCCTCAGAGCCCCTGATACACACTGACACAGAGCAGAATAGAGACTGTTCCTCCTACATAGGGTCACTTGGCAGATATGGATTGACACCTGTCTTCAGAGACCATGATACACACTGACACAGAGCAGAATAGAGACTGTTCCCCTACATAGGGTCACTTGGCAGATATGGATTGACACCTGTCCTCAGAGCCCCTGATACACACTGACACAGAGCAGAATAGAGACTGTTCCTCCTACATAGGGTCACTTGGCAGATATGGATTGACACCTGTCCTCAGAGACCATGATACACACTGACACAGAGCAGAATAGAGACTGTTCCTCCTACATAGGGTCACTTGGCAGATATGGATTGACACCTGCCTCAGAGACCATGATACACACTGACACAGAGCAGAATAGAGACTGTTCCCCCTACATAGGGTCACTTGGCAGATATGGATTGACACCTGTCCTCAGAGACCATGATACACACTGACAGAGCAGAATAGAGACTGTTCCCCCTACATAGGGTCACTTGGCAGATATGGATTGACACCTGTCCTAAGGATCCCTGATACACACTGACACAGAGCAGAATAGGGACTGTTCCTCCTACATAGGGTCACTTGGCAGGTATGGATTGACACCTGTCCTCAGAGATCATGATACACACTGACACAGAGCAGAATAGAGACTGTTCCCCTACATGGGGTCACTTGGCAGATATGGATTGACACCTGTCCTCAGAGACCATGATACACACTGACACAGAGCAGAATAGAGACTGTTCCCCCTACATAGGGTCACTTGGCAGATATGGATTGACACCTGTCCTCAAAACTCCTGATAGACACTGATACAGAGCAGAATAGGGACTGTTCCCCCTACATAGGGTCACTTGGCAGATATGGATTGACACCTATCCTAAGGATCCCTGATACACACTGACACAGAGCAGAATAGGGACTGTTCCCCTACATAGGGTGACTTGGCAGATATGGATTGACACCTATCCTAAGGATCCCTGATAAACACTGACACAGAGCAGAATAGGGACTGTTCCCCCTACATAGGGTCACTTGGCAGATATGGATTGACACCTGTCCTCAGAGCCCCTGATACACACTGACACAGAGCAGAATAGAGACTGTTCTCCTACATAGGGTCACTTGGCAGATATGGATTGACACCTGTCCTCAGAGA